ATTATGCAGACAGTTCACGTCCGAACACACAGTACTCGTGGCACCATCGGTGGCGACGACCGTGACATGCTCAGCGAGACTAGTTGCAGTTGGAGCGGCGGTAATAGCAAGTGAAAGGCTGGCAATGTTGTTTCCTCCCAGCACCGAGGTGGGAATCAATCCCACGCTAACTCCGAGCAAGTTCGTGGCTGCAACATTCAAGCACACTACGTCGGTACACGTTGAAGTCGGACCCCCGTTGGTACCAGAGATGGTAACAGGGGTCGCCAAACTGGTTGCAGTTGCTGTAATAGATGTACCAGCTGAAAGCGTGGCCAGGTTGTTGCCACCTAGTACAGAAGTAGGGATGAGCCCAACGCTTACTCCAAGCAAGTTTGTAGCAGCAGCACTAAGGCATACTAGATCGGTACAGGTCGATGTTGATCTCCCATTGGTTTCTGTGATAATAACAGGTTGAGCCAAGGTTGTCACCGTAGGGTTTGCTGTAATAGCTCCCGAAAGCGAGGCAATGTTGTTTCCTCCGAGGACTGAGGTGGGAATAAGTCCAACACTAACACCAAGCAAGTTTGTGGCCGCTGCACTAAGGCAAACTAGATCAGTGCATGTTGAAGTCGGACCTCCGCTAATTGCAGAAATCGTGACGGGCGTAGCTAGCCTGGTCGCCGTTGGGGACACTGAGGCAGTGGGAATCACCCCAACATTTGCACTCAGCAGTCCTGTTGCAGCAACTGATACGCACACGAGGTCCGTACACGTGGTTTTGGCTCCGTTTGTGGAAACAACAATTGGCTGGGACAGGGTACTGGAAGCGGCAGTACCGCCAAGTCCGAGAGACAGGCTCAAGAGACCGCCACTAGACGATGGAAGCACTCCCACTCCCAAACCCAGGCCACCAACTGCTGCATTGAGGCACAAGAGGTCACTACAGGTGGTTGTAGGCGCTAAACTCGAAATCTGGCTCGACGAGCTCGAGATCTGAGTAGAACTCGTGCTGGGAGTTGCAAGAATTGACGAAACAATAGAGTTCGCATGACCCGAGATGCTTCCAGTTCCAGAATTCATTGAGGATGCCATTGAAGATACCATGGAGGCGACATTATTGGGAATAGCTGCGGCGTTTGAAAGCACAGAAGCCAATGATGCCAACGATGACTGGGTAGACTGGCTTGGTTGATTAGCAACTGCAGAAACAGCGCTAGCAAGCGAAGAGGCTGCTGCGGGATCCGTGCGAATTGACGAGGCAGTAAGCAAGGAGGAGATGGCTGCGGTGGCGCCACTTGGGCCTGTTGTAACACCAGTAATAGCATTCGAGATGTGAAAACCAAGACTGGTGGGAAGAGCAGTAGCTTGTGATATAACGCTGTTGAGAGAAGACACCGCTTGGGTGTTGCTAGTTGCTACCGGGTTGGCAAGGATCGAGGACACCAAAGACAGGGCACTAGAAGGTTGGGCTCCAACAACCGAAACGACTGATGACAGTCCAATCGGAGCAACGCTCACTGACACACCAGCCGAAACACTGACCGAAGCCAGGGGTGTGGTAGACGAAGAGCGACTGCTCGAAACCGTAGCAGACGATACAATGCTGGCAGAGGTTATGGCAGACGATGAGCGGCTGGTTGATGCCGTGGTCGAGGCCACGGTCGAGGCGCCTGCGCCTGCGCCTCCGAGCCCGATTGATAGGAGAGCGGAGCTTTGGAGGACACCGATACCAAGACCTAGAAGAGTAGCTCCAGAATTACCGCCTATGAGAGCGCGTTTCTCAAGGTGTTCCTGTTCATGATCTTCGGGTTGTTGTGCGTTGTATGGACCTGCGGGAGCGGCGATGGTCGTCGCCGCCAGGGCAGTCAAAGAAGTGACGGCCAAGAACCGCATACTGGAAAGTGGCGAACAATTCGAAAGATTCAAGGCAGGAAAGAGAGCCTGCTCGTTGATCTTACTGAGATGTTCAATGAGCTTTCCTTCGTATATATTTGTACAGCACTTTTTCGTTGAGTGGAGTGAGGACAAGAAAGCGCAAACATCATCGGAGCATTACTCTCTAGCCAAGAGGCAGATCACTCGAAGGATGAGACTCACATATCCGTTACAAGATCTTCATCATGGCGTTTATCTCGCGTATCAGGAGATACAACGTAGATGCTATGGCAGTAGAGCACCGGTCGAGTATCATGCTACCCACACATCATCGGCCGTAATGCACTCTACCGAGTCACAGCATTCTTTGCAAGCTTGACTGAAAATGATTGGCAGGCTACAAACCGCGAGATGTTGCATCCGCCGAGAATTCATTCGCTAGCGAGCCACGATCTCTGTGGTCATCGATCCGATATAAGATCTTGTTCTAAACCACCCCACATCGGATGGATCCTATAGGATAGCGTAGTTAAACCTCCATCATGGACCTTCCAGTATAAGATAGGTCCAGGGAAGATCTTTCCAGGCAAGGTTAAGATTAGGCATAAGAGACCAACGGCGGAACTATCAGACGGTAATATGGCTCATAGATTTGACCCTGTGGCGCTATCCGCATGAACCGGTAAGGAGTACTGGAGCGTTCTCGAAAGCGTACCCACGCGTATGGAATTTATGAGATGGAGTCGCCCATTGCTTTCATCCTTCTGGGATTTGGATCCTTAATTGGATTGGTAGAGGTCTTGGCAGACCCAAATAGGCCAGTGCAGAGGATTTGAAGAAGATCCACGTAGTTGGCTGACATCCCGTTACTCGAATTGTCAGCGTGAAAACGTGCATCGCACAGAGCTCTGATTGCACAAGAAGGCAAAGAAAAAATGCATCCCCCCGTGTGCTGAATTTTGTCACATCAAATCCCTTGCCGCAGCGACGTGCATCAAAACACATGTAGAGATGCACAATAATTTCTGACACCAGAGTTAGGCCCAAAGAGAGAGCTCTGGAGCGCCGCTCTCTGTGGACGAAGCAGTCCTACTCAAAATCATTGTGCATTTCTACAGCTCCACGCGTGACGAAGTTTAGCACTCGGGGATGACGTTCTGTCGATTCGGCATCCCCTTTGTGGGTCGACATCGATCTGTTCAGTCGAGGGTCGGTTGCGATAAGTTGGCCTGGAGCGAACCAGCTACCAATGCTCATCTTGGAATCTAATTAGCCCTCCAACATGAAGTGTCGAGTACGCACGTATTGGATATGCGGCATTCGCACTCAACGTGGAGGATTGTATCTTGCTGTTTGTATTGCTTAGAACCAAGGAAGCCGTTGTCGTGGAAAACGCGGAGTCTGGCACCTGTCAAGCCATAAAGAGGATTGTAGTGAGGACGTTGATGGCAGGCCCGCTCGAAGAATCCGAACTGAGCCGGATCAACACGCCGAGAAAGCGTTGTAACGTGTGCTCCCCATGACTTGGGACCTGTAAGGTAGAACAGACATGTCTTGAATCCTTCTCGTGTTTGTGTGCCCTGACATCAACTGCGGTCATATCTGAGACGCCGAGAACAATCGGCAATAGACTGAACCATGATGATGCGAGTCGACATCACCTGGAGGTGAGATTGAAGGTACACAATACCAGATGCACCAGAGATCGAGATGGAGAAGCGAGTGGCCGTTCTAGGTTGGTCGGAAGATGTAGATGCCCAAGCAGGTGCTGGCGAGATACCACTGCCCTTTCGAAATGATTGTATAGAGAACTGCTGCCCCACAAGCATACAATGACGCCAAATTCTCGCCAGTTGATAGTTTGAGGAGTGTAGAGTAGACAACCATCACAACGTTCAGGTGCTAGAGTGATAATTACCAAGGAACGTTGAACGTTTGAGATGGGCGGAGGACCTCGGCGTGCCGGATTATCATTATTCCGGCACACACACGTGACTATACCAGCGGCGCCAATAGCAGAAACTCTGAGCCGCCTCGTATCTCGGTCATCATAACCTACGTTGTGAGTTTATGTTGACGTCTCGCCGCTCTCCTAGGGAGAGCTTTTGAACTAACACCAACCAGCTACCATATGCACACCATCTTGGCTGCACATGAAAGGCTTCCTGCTGGTCTCTCCATTCAGCTGCTCAGCTAGCATGCTCTTACAGGTAGACGGAAAATTTTCGTAGGGCTATCGTCACCAACAACGATTGATCGAAAGAATGCAAAAACACAAGAGCCTGAATGGTCAACAAGCGTAGTTCGAAAGTCGATACACAGAGCGTCATGCGGTAGAAGTCGACCTCGCATCTTTCGCAATAGCGGTGTCCAAAGGCTGCTTCTAGCTCTCCGAGTCGATGTTCACCAACATGGCTTCTTGGACTGCTGTTTCCAGTGCGGCTTCCATGAAGATGGGAAACCGACAACCGCATATTCATCAGCGGACGATATGGCAACGTGATTGTCTGATACAAGGACCAGTTGTAAACAGGATGCTCCTAGTAACTGGAACCATGTCCGATCATCACGGGCAGATCTTTTTGCTCTATGAGAACTCTTCGACTGCTGAAGCACAGTGCTCTTGAAGGGCCTAAAGGTCGCGAGAGCTAGCCCAGGCGCACTAAGAAATCGTGTCCACATTAGCAGGTGCTACCTGAAAGGTGGTCATACCTTTCTCTTCTGGAGTCATTTACTCTTCCTTACATGTATTGGTTGAAGACCATGGCAGAGAAGCATGGTTTCTTTGGCAGCCAAAGCCAAATGCATCAAGCGCTGCTGGATTAATAAGTACTTAGTGTGCTTTATGGTAAGAAATAAGAACACTACAAAGATCCCGTGTTATCGCGGATATCAAGGGACAAGTGATGTAAAAATGACTGAGAGTTGAAGAGCGGCAACACTGCGGGAGTTGAGGGTCGGTGCTTCCTGAGGATGACTCCGAAGGCAGGCGCATGCTGATTTGGCTCACCACAACACTCAGCACAACACTTAGCGCAACACTTATCTCTCATTCGTTCTATTTCTTATAGACATGACTACGCCGGTCTTATCGTCACCATCGTTGGAAATTCGTCCAAAGCGCAGCAGGATGACTGACAATATCATGACTGCCAATCGTGCTGTGCACAAAGGAAACTACACTGTTGCTTTTGATCTATACAGCAAGATCCTCCACGAGAAACGTCATCCAGTAGCATATCTTAACCGCGCCTTATGCTACACCGCAGAGAAGAAGCCACATCTTGCGGTCAATGATGCCCTCAGGGCATATATGATGGCTCAAGCGATGATCGACGTTAATCGTGACAGAGTTGCAGGTAACGACCACATCAGGAGAATTGACAGAGACATCTCCAGCTATAGAGGTATGTGCACGCTGGGAATCAACTTCGCAGGTCTTCACCATCTTCGACGTCTGCTTAGAACAGAGTCTGTCGAACACAATCTTGCCACGAAGGGCTTACGACAGTCAAGAATCTGCTCAAGAACCCAGCTAACACGATTGTCATGTACAGACGATTGTACCCATGCACTTGCCCAGGGCGAAGAGTGGTGTAGTTCCGCATCAACCGTTCTTCGAAGGGAACATTCCAGATTCAAGCTCGCAAAGATGACTCTTGTCGAAGACCACTTCAAAGATCCCGTCTCAGGACGAACAACAAGCACATCAGATGTTGAAGATCTGAAGTTCAAGGCGTTGTTTCGCTTAGTCGATGCTTTGGCTCGATGCGGAGCCGGTTCAGCTCACAAAGCTCTTTATATCCTCGACGACAAATTCATGGCGAGCAAGGCGAGCAAGGCTGGCCCGTCAGAAGAGCCTATTCCGCCTTCGCTTCGCAAAGAACTCGACCTTCTCTTCAATTCGATCGAAAACAGGATCTTTGAAATCCTATTCACCCACAAACCATCGATCAAAGCCCAGCAGCTGACTGCCTCTGGTCACAGTCTTCTCAATCGTGACAGCTATGGCTTCGCTGGCAGCCAATTCAATATCGCCACCCTCAACGGTTGCATAAACACAGTCGACGAAAGTGCAATTGTGCGTTATGACTTCAAGTTTGGCGTGCCCACGTCTCTGGTGGCTACTCAAGATGTTTTCCAGGGCATGATTTTGTTCACGGAGAGCCTCCCGTTCGCTGTATCGACGGCAAAAACCTGGGACACGTCAGAACTCGCAACAGTCTGCGACACATGCGGGGCCGATCTACAAATTCCATCACCATTCGTCCTTCGTGTGTTGATCGAAGAGCTGAGGCATGCAGAATCAGAAAAGACCTCGAAGCAAAATGCAAGAACGTTGAGAAGAGCAGCTCGCTTCAAGCCTTCTCCAGCTCACCATCGCCGTACCGCCTCGGTCGACATCCCGGCCTTCATAATACCTGCACTTCCGATCTCCAAGCTTGGCAACAAGCTTGGAACTGCTGATGTGCGTCATGAGCATACATCTGCCAAAGGAAAGGAGAGAAAAGTGGAACATGAAGATGATGATGATGGCTCAGGTGCTGACTCTGACGAGGATTGGAACTCCGAGTCCTCGAGCGAGGAGAGTCACACATCTTCGGAGCACTCGATCCCCGATACTCCCCTCCGCGGCAGACCGACATCCAGACCTGGTATCTTTGAGACTGCCGATATCCAAGTCTGCCGTGCCGGCAACGAACAGCGACGCGAGAACTTCTCGTTTTGCTCAGTCGACTGCTATGACTTGGCCAAGAGTACCTACCATGACAGTGTGTGTGGTTCTCATCTTGAAAACTATCTGCGCGATGCCATCAGCACGATGGAGCATCCCAAGCTCCCCACCGTTGAGGCCCGAAAGCTCGGCCTGCTCCTCCTTGCTCGAGTTCTCGGATGGGCGTATGCCACTTCGACTGACCCGCTTGACTTGCCTGTTGTTCAGCTTCTCATGGCATCGCCTCGCTATGGCCCACTTGAGAAAGGAGGTAAAGTTGCATGGTCCTTTGACAACAACGTCATGCGCCCGTTCCAAATGTTGCAGACCATGGACGGTCGTGGCGATGCTCCAAAGTCGGTGTCCAACCCCAACTTCTCTGATGGCCGCGTCATCAACACGATCATCAGCCTCATCCATCGCCACATGAACATCACCGACAAGATCCTCTGGACCAAAACCTACGATGAGGAGGGCTACCACGAACAAACATATCCCTACGCACACAAGGTCGACACCAAAGAGGAAGAGAACGTCTCATTCGGCCGCCTGTATCCTCTATGCGACCTTGTACCTCTTGCCGCCGTGCCCGAAGACGCCAACGTGGAGCTCGTTGACTTGGGAGATGGTCGTATCATCTGCCTGCCCACATTGGCCATCGAAGACAACGACGGCAACTCCGAGCCCTGCCTCAAAAAAGGTACACGCTTGCTTCTAGATGCCCCTATCCCTCGCCTCGCCACAAAGGCCGAGCGCACAACCTACGCCAGAAAGGAAGACTACGGCGAAGGAGGCACAATGATGGACGCAGACCAAGACGAAGGAATAATCGAACAAGAGCCGGAAGAAGAGTACAGCGGCTATGTCGACGAGGAGTCCTATGGAGCCAGAGACGAGCTCATGGACGATATCGACCAGGAGGAATCAGACGAGGACTTGATGAATTTCTAAACGGACGTCATGGAAGCGTGTCAATGCGATGAAAGATGCCAGACCTCTTTATTTGCTCGAGCAGGCATCAAATCAGACAAAGAGGTTTGCTGCACAGGCGTCATCAAGCGGGATCAGAACAGCTAGTTTTTTGAGAGAAAAGGGTGAGATGGCTTTTCGGTATCAGAAGGTGACATGCTCGTTATAGCTGTAGCAATCGTCAACTTTCCTTTTCTGAAAATCCACATGATACTCATGTTCATGATTGTCCAAATCTTGGATATGTTTGTTGATGTCGTTGGCGCTGTTTGATCGGATAGAGATGTGCCGAAGCTTAGCCGCTGGAGGCCGAGACAGGGTTATACCCATTCACAAGTGCTGCTGGGGTCGATATCTTTCACGACAGCGGCAATACATATTTGAATTTGTATTAACCTTTTTGAGCATAATCTGTTAGTTCATCAGAGAACATTTCACCAGTCTAGATGATCTAGGATCACAGATGATTGAGTAAAAGCATTGTCAAGTATTCGGTATTTGCGAGCCCAGACACAGTGGCCAGGACACAGAAAACGAGTAAATGGAGGAGCCCATCACATCCAATTGAACAGAGATGAGCAACAACAACAGTGAGGTAGACAAGGCACTTGAAGCAATGAATTTTGAAGATGGAAACGTGAATCAGTCGAATGTTCGCAACTCGACAGGGTTGGCCGTGAAGAAAGTCAACAAGTGATCAAAGGTCACGTTTCTAACCACAGACTCAAACAACAAACATATCTCTGTTGTAAAACAAGATCGGAAATAGGTGTGGAATAGAGGTATAGTAATTATTCATAGCCGTGTACAAGCAACTCTACTCGTGGTGTGGACAGCATTAATCATCCTCAATATCATCATCGCTCAGAACGAGCTTCTCAACCGCATGCTCGACTGGTATCTGTAATCCTCCTCCTTCAGTCTCGGCTTTGGGCTTTCGCTGACCCTTTCCTTTCCTAGCAACAGAAGACTCGATGTCTGGACGATCAGTCCATTCTGATTGCTGCATGTCAAGGTCATCGTCTTCTCCCACATCCAGAGCTGCATCGTCGAGGGCAGTAGATGTTGAGGTCAATGTCGAGATACGTGTCAAGCTGTTCATGCCTGAGACGAGATGCTGTGGTATATCCTTCTGCCGAGGCAATATCTGAGCAGCGTAAGGAAGACGCTCGAGAAGTGTTTCGGTCCTTGCAGTGGAGCTCAGAATGGAATTTGAGAGCGGCGTAGTCGCACCAATGTCATCGCTATTGTTTCCTGACGAAATGGCCGACGTCTGCTGGCGCTTCCATGCCGCTACGCCTTCTCTGTCTGCGGCGGCAGAATCTGAAGTCTGACCTACCGCTAGTGTATGCATCGTTGATATCACGCTCTCTAAAGTGCCCTCGAATTCTTCTTTCTCCTTCCACAGCTTCGAACTCGACGGAAAGAACATTTTGAACTCATCACCACGCTTAGCTGACTTCCCCAACCCTGCTAGTCTGTTCACTGGACTTGGTAACCAAAACAAAATACCACGAACTGCAGTCTGGAACGATATGTCGTCCTGACGAAGGTTGTCTTGGGCAGAACCGGAGGATGTTCGTGTTCCGAAACCAAAGCGATCACAAGATAGCATGTCGAAATCCGAGAGAGCGTCGATGCAGCCGTTGAGTGAGTCCATCGCATCTTCGCTTGATGACGATCCGCAGGACAAGACATAGTTCTCTTGAAGTGCTCCAACGAATGTTGAGGTGTCAGTACCAACTTCGTCGATCAAGTCGTTGGGATCATGCTCAGGGACCTTCGGTTTTCGATGCTGGGGAAAATATGTTGGAGGCTGAGGAATCGGATTCGGAGGGTTGATACGTTTATTGTAGACGACTCTGCCAACAGCATGAAAGATACCAAGACTGCTTTCGCGGTTGCTAATAAGTTTCAAGGCTTCTTGCTCTTTCCTTGTCAACGAAGGCTCGGCAGCGCGACCTTTGGGTTTCGTGAAAGCGACTTTCGTAGACCAAGCATCGCTATTATCACCGGCAAGGCAGAGGAACTCGAGAGAAGAAACAGCACTGCGTATATCACCAGTCTCGGCCAAGTGCTTGAGAACAGCAGGACCAGGTGCAAAGCGCCGACCTGTTTTCCGAGACTCCTTGATCACAATGGCGTCCAGCGCTTTGATGAGATATGTAGGAGCAATGTTGTTAAACTCGATTGGCGCAGTTTGAGGGTGATTCAAGATGGCGGGCCCGAGCAGACGGTGAGCGGTGAAACTGTCGGCTGAGGCAGTCGTGGTAGAGAGCAAGGCTTCTGAGACGACCATGACCATTGGTGTAGGATTCGATGACGAAGGTGCAGCCAGATACTGTAAGATTGTGTTTCTGAATGTCTGTAGAGCAGGCGAATTCCTAGCAAAGGTGTTTGGAAACTCTTCGACGAGCATGATCTGCTTTCCGTGCCCCTGCTTGACCGGCTCAGCTTTTTGGGCTGTGCCGTCACTCCTGACCAGATCTAGGCCAGCAAACTTGCCACTTCTAAAGACGAAGTCCTCGAATTGGCTCGAATACGAGGTGAAGGCACTGCTCGAGGTATCTGTGCCGACAGGGCTCTTCCACTCGATTATCTCGATTGCCATCTCTTTCGCCAGAAGACTGACAGTGGTCGTCTTTCCAGTGCCAGCAGCACCTTTCAAGACAAGCAGTCTTGGCCTCGCGCGTTCAGACAGAGCGGCTTCCAGGACACTGCGAACATCGGTAATCTTCCTTTTGTGTACGGCGAGTTCGGAGATATCGACAGGCGCATATCGTTCGGTCCACGGTCTTGTGTCAGTCGTGACGGGGGCGGCTGTCGAAGGGACTCTAGTCCCACCAGAGACTTTGCGAAACTTTTGCGAAGCTGCTGGCAGACCGTCTCCATTGGTGTCGTCGACACTGCCCTTGTTCAACTTTCTCTTGCGTAGCGTCTGTGCGACTCGGGAGGGCTGGGACAACGAAGCAGCATCGTCGGCAGAGATGTCGTCCTCGATGTCCTCCTGTTTCGGGGCAGCGTTGGCAGAAGCTGTGGGCGTGGTTGAGTCTTGAGACGAAGGCTGTTGTTGTTGTTGTGTAGCGGCATTGAAGAAGGAGAAGATGGACTTGTTTGCACGTTTGGGCTGCGCTTCGGCGACAGATTTGGTCGATTGGCGACTTTGTCGTGGCTTGGACGGCGATTTGGTAACCTTCGTCTTGGTGGCAGTCGATTTTGAGCGCGAAGCTCGTCCAGACTTGATTTCAGCTGGCTCTTCCTGTATGACTGTCTCTACGTCGGCCTGAGGAATGGTCGCAGAGTCATCATCGTCGTCTGAGGAGAGGACTATTGCTTTGTTCCGGCGGGGACGGCCTTGCCCCATACTGCCTGAAGAGTCGTGTAGAGTGTAGTCGCATTGGTCGTCCGCAGAAGTCGACAGATTCAATATCAACTCATCGCCAAGTCATGATGCACATGTTGGAGGGGAAAGGTCGAGACCTCAGGCAACAACCACTGGAAGCAAAGCTTTGGCCCATGACGCGTTTTTGCTTGCGCTTTCACGTGCTGTGGACGCAGTTGCCGATTTGGTCATTGATTGTTTGCTCTGTCTTTGGATTTCAGCTACAAACATGTTTATGCTTTTCAATTCTTAAAAAGGCGTCTGATTCACAGCATTTTTAACTAGCTCTTATTTTCATGGCCTTTTTCGATTGAGCTATCGCGTAACATTGCTGATGGCAGTCTCCATCCACAACTTGGTATATTGTCTGTGCAAGAACTCGATGTGTGGCGGCATGGGCTTGCCAGTTGCCTTACCGAGTCCTTGGTAAAAGACGCTCTTCAGCTGGAACTCAGCAACACCCTCGGCCTCCTTGATCTCTGCTCTCATCTCAAACAGTCCATCGCTGGGTCTGACTTCCATCTTGCGGGGTGAATCACCGCAGCGCACGATGATGGATTCGGGAGTCTTGGTAAGGACCTCGAAGTGGTCGGTGATCTGGGTGCCTACGGGGTACTCAGACTCTTGCAAAGCTTTGGTGTCCCATAACTGGCTTTCTGTGTCGGCATCGCGGTACTTCTTTTCCAAGTATTGGCGTTGGTATGCGTAGCCTGCCAATCCATGTTAGCGAGCTGTACAATATATACTGAAGCGTAGTGACTGACCGAGACCTCCCCACACGCCAGCGCAGAACTTCTCAACCAGCTTGCCCTCCTTCTCAAGGTATTCCGGCTTGATCTGGCTCAGCGGCACCTTACGCACACACAAGTCGCTCATTGTGGGGTTCTGATCGGGGTTGTTGCGAGCAAAGAAAGTCGTGTTATAGATGTAGTCGTTGGACGACATGGGCACGAAGCTGGACTTTCTCGTGTAGAGAGCCCATCCTCCTGCTCCTGCTACTGTGCCGTATGCAGTGAGCTTTGACAATGTCTTGATCACGCCCATGGTTGTCTTGTGTGTGTGAGAAGATCCGTGGTGAATGCTGTCGTTGAAGCTCGAGTGTCTCGGAATAGCGAAGAAGTCGCTAAGGTTGTCGCGTGTTTGTTCGAGGGAGAGAATTGCACAGCCGGGCAGAGATGCAGCGAGTCGGCAACTGACCAAGCTCACGCGACGGCTGAATTGACCTGCGTCATTTGCCGACGACCCGAGGCCGCTCCTTCTACGGCAGGAAGGCCGAAGCGAAGCGGGCCCGGTGCGGGGCAGTCGGCGTCAAATAGAGAATCGATTTGTCGACGTCGACCAGCAACTTATCTTGATATGCCAGCGAACAGCACATCATCTCTATACAGTGTCGCGACATTCTGGAGGTATGGCGAAAGGTGTTGATCATGGTCATATCGCGTAGATCAAGACTTCTACCTCCAGGCTCGAGTCAAGCTGTACATGAACGGACTCTGCATAGATCGCCCTTTCGCTTCTTGAATATCGAATCACCTCCATGCGCATGCGCATACCGAGCACGCGATGGATGAGTTTCTTGACGCCATGCGATAAGAGGCTTGATTCACTCTTTCGAAGGAGGGGAAACATGTCAGCTTGCTCAGCTCGACGGCATACCGCCTTGTCTTCCCAGCTGTCATCGGTCAATCGGAACATAATCACGAGCTTATGTGTGTCTTCAACGTACCTAAAGACATAGCTCCAATACTCGGAGCTGGGCGCAGATCTTTCGAGAGAAAAAATACTGCGCACGATGCAGAGGCCCATCTCCTCCTCGGGAGTCGAGTAAGCTCGCTCGAGCTCGCGAACTTTTGGTATCTGATGATGACATTGCATTTTGCTGATCTTAGTGGGAATTGAAGTATGGAGATACTTCCTGTAAAAGTCTACAAAGCTCTCATGCCTCGCTCTTACCTTGTCTCTGCTTGTTTACAGTCCAACCTTAGATTCTGGTTCCTCGACGTCTTCAAGATACTCAACCTTACCCTCGCGATCTATACCTCAATATACATACATCAGATATGGCTTCATCCAAAGCATCGCTCTTTTTAGCATGGACGGCTTTCCTACCATCTTTATACGCAGCTCCTTTATTACAAAAACGATCCGAGTCTGGTCCTTATATCACAACCGATTTCCCTGATCCGTCCATCCTCAGAGTTGGAAGCACCTGGTACGCATTTGCTGGACAATCTCTATACGACTACAAGAGCACACACATCCAATTTGCAACCTCAACAGATTTTGAGACGTGGACGCTACAACCGGGGAATGACATGTTGCCAGATCTGCCAAGTTGGGTAGACTCTTCAAAGGATCATATTTGGGCCCCAGACATCAATCATTTGGTAATTCCGCTTGGGGTTCGTGTGCTCTTCATCATCTAACAAGAATCAGGATGATGGCAGATTCCTCTTATATTTCAGCGCACCTACGTATGACACCAATGCTCCTCATTGTATTGGCACTGCAATCAGTGACTCTATCGACGGCCCATACACGCCACATGAGACCAGTTTTGCCTGCCCTGCTGATCGAGGAGGCGCCATCGATGCATCTGGTTTCCGAGATGCAGATGGAACCCGGTACGTCGTATACAAGATCGATGCCAACTCGCTCGGGCACGGCGGGACTTGCAACAACGGAGTCGAGCCGATCGTGCCCACACCTATCCTTATCCAACAAGTCGAGAGCGATGGAGTGACAAAAGTTGGCGACACATCCGAACTCATCACGAATGACTCCCCTGAAGACGGACCGCTTGTTGAGGGACCTAGCCTTATCCATTCTGGCGACACATATTACTTGTTCTACTCCTCCAATTGCTTCACCACTACAAACTACGATGTCGCGTACGCCACCAGCTCATCACCCACCTCTGGCTTCACGAAGCAAGGAACTCTGTTTGGAACTGGCTATGGAGGTCTCAAAGGTCCCGGTGGAGCAGACGCCGCATTTGACAACAGCCACTTTGCCTTTGCCGCGCAAAAGGGCGATGGAAGGAGAGGCCTGTACACGGCTCAGATTACACTCAGTGGGGACAGCGTCTCCGCATAGAACACTCTAGGAACAGAATGTGGTCCCTAGCTTACACCCATCGACCCCTGATATTCACTTTTGTCGCGCGAACAAGCGAAACCAACTCACCCTCGGACGATACCACAGTGCCATGTCCACGACCAAACGTATACCAGATATCAGCGCGACTGAGCAAATAACCTTACTAGGTACATCTTACGCATACGTCTCTCGCTAACCGACTCTCGATGTTATTCCTAATGATTACCAGCCGACCCGATTGGCTTCCTCGACTACGGCATGCCTTGCACTGACACTCAAAGATCACAAATACTCCATGTATCTTTTTAAACATCATAATATTCTTCATCATAAGACCTAAGATACACATCCAAATATCCACAGATATCTCTACCTCCCCCTTCCTTCCACTCCACACTTTTCAAACATTCCTCCTCTTCATACCAACCCAACACTCCAAAGGCTTCCTCAAGAATCCTTCTCTCGTCTCCAATTCCTTTTGATATAATTCGAAATCGTAATTGCGGAAGACGGTGGACACGATCAAGGCCAATTCCATCTCTGCGACGTTGCGACCCACGCAGGCGCGAGGACCGTAGCTGAAGGGGATGAATGCCGATTTTTGTCTATTCGCACACTTTTGCATCAGCTTTTTTGATTTCATCTTGACTAGGTGAAGGAAAAGGGGAATACGCTTACAGTTCAGTCACTTTCTCCCAACGCTCGGGGACGAAGTCGTCGGCGTCGGGACCCCAGATTTTCTTGCTGTGGTGCATGGTATACGCCGGCACCGAAAGTACGGTTTCGCCGGGGAAATGTCTTCCGCAGACTTCTGCACCTTGGGGAGGAACCACTCTGGGCAAGCCTAGGGAAGAAGTACTGTGGATGCGCATGGTTTCCTTGATTACGGCATCCAGATAGGGCAAATCTTTCACTTGCTCGAATACGGGGACTTGAGTGCCTTGAGGAATTGCGGCGTCCAGTTCCTGTTGCAGTTTTTTGACCACGTGGGGGTTGGCTAGGCAGTGGTAGAGGAGAGCGCAAGAGGTGTTTGAGGTTGTGTCGCTGCCGGCGATGAGTTGGGTCAGCGCTTCGGCTGTTAGTTCTTGACGGCCTAGTTTGTTGCCGTGTTCGTCTTTTCCTTCCATGAGGCGGGCAAGCAGGTCGACGCGGTCGATGTTGTCGGCATTGTCTAGACGTTGCTTTACGCGTGCTACGGCAATGCCGGCGAGATTCTGTACAGCCTGTACGCCCTTTGTGAAGAAAGGATCAGGGAGATAGGCAGCGTAGGGCTTAATCCAGGGCCAGCAGCCGATTGTGCCCGAGACTTCACCTCTGCGGTTGAGGACTTCGATGGCAGGAGCGAATTTGGGAGGTGCGTCGGGTGACTCGCGGATTTCGGCGATATCAGCGCCCTTCTCTAGCATGCCAAAGGGAGCACCGAAAGCGAGATCGCCAATAATGTCAAAGGCTGTGTAATTGAACCACGTCAGGGCGTCGAATTTGGCATACTTGCCGTCAGCCATCTTGGCCATCTTGTTCCACTGCGCTACCAACAAGTCGAGGTTGTGATGCATGTATTGCTCGAATTGGCCAATGCTCTTTGAGCTAAAGGTGTGGGAAACAGTCTTTCTCTTTCTGGTGTGCTCGGCGCGGTCGCGTGTGTTGAAGAGGCCGCGTTGGATGCTGACAAAGGCGTCATAGTATTCGCTCTTGAGGAAGCCAGTGCCGTGGCCGTAGACGATGGGGATGGCTTCTGGGTCTGCGATGGAGACGTGGTGAGGTTGGATGCGGACGAATGTGCCGAGTTCCTTGTGTGCAGCGTCTACAGCGAGGTACCGTCTACCTCGGCGGCATTGGTACATGAGCCAGAGGTTGGTAAAGGCTGCCGGGAAGGGTGAAGGTACATCGCGGATAGACCAGTTGCGCAGGTAGGGAAGAAGGTAAAAGAGGATTGGGATGGCCAGCAGAGTGTATGGTGTAAAGAGGAGCTCGACGACACCCATCTTGACTGTTTGATCAATTGCTCGACTGGACTAAAAGAAGAAGGAAAGTCAAACAAGACTTGGCTGATCTCTGTCGACTTACAAGAAGGTCTCGACTACTTATATCAGAGAGCAGGCAGCTAGAAGAGGGGCATCGTGACCCTTGGGCCTTGGTCGACTTGACTTGACTTTCTACCACTCCACCATCCCGCATCCTTGGCGGTTCGTCACTGTGCAAACGTGCATGGCTGTCTCTTCCATCAGCCAAAGGTCAGCATCACTCACTCCCCCAGTTCCCATCACCCTCTCGCACCGCTCGTTCCGTTCGTTTCTCCTCCGGAACCGCATCAAGATACGGAGAAGATGGAGTTGATTCTGGTGCAAGAAACGCGGGGATCTCTCTTCCGATTCTGGTTTTCGGAAGTGCTCCGTGCGCTCGGCAGAGCTATCAATCATCTTCGGCTTCCTCTCTCACCAACCATTTCTCAAGACATAGCACAAAACACCGAACTTCGGGCAATGGCAGTTATGACTGTCAATTCTGGCAGTTGAACTTCGCTACACTTGTATGCAGCCTTTCGATTCTTGAAAATCTCATGCCGACTCAACCTACTATCTCGTCAATCATGCCACTAATCCTCCTCGCACCGGTTCAACTAGTAGACAATCTCCTTGTAACCCTTGGGAACGTCTCTTCTGTTGTGACCTGTGCCCTTCCAACTACCCCAACCGCCCCAACTAGGGGTCCATCCACCAAAGCCACCGTGGCCCCATGCTCCACGATGTCCACCCCAGCTGCCTGCCCAGTAGGTTGGTCTGCCCTGAACCTCCAGTACGCTGACACTAAGGTTGGGGAGACTAAACTTGAAGACACCACCAGCTGATGCCTTGATGGTTGTGTTTGTGGACTTCACAACCTGAGTACCAACGTTGTTGTAGCTGTCTCCGCTGGGTGCTGTGAGGATACTCAACGTAGCAGTGGCGCCTGCGGACACTCCCTTGAACGAGACCGAAACTGGTACGTCTGCTGTAGCATTGTAAATGGCTGTCTTGAGCATGTGAGATCCAGTCTGGTTGTTGTAACCGGCAACATAGTAAGCAGGTCCAAAGTTGCCGCCCGTGGTGGGCAGAGTCTCTGTAATCAAGTGATTGCCGAGAAGCTGGAGCATGTGCCAGCTGGTTGACAAGACATCCTTTGTGGTGTCTGCTGTGAAGCTGATCATATCTGGCACCCATTGGAAGCTGTTCAGGTTTTGCAGAGTAGGAGCCTACGACATCGTCAGCTTCTGGATTTCACTGCTAACCACACATGAGCTTACGTATGAGGCTCCGATGATGAAATCAGAGTTCCGTTCGGCACCAATGAGGAAGACTGCTTCAGCAACACTGCCAGTCCAGGACGGGAAAGCCAATCTGGTCGCGCCCGATGTCCAGTCAACAGAAGCCATGCTGGCGTTGTTAGGCTCGATGACGGCGTATTCACCTGCTCTGAGTTAGCTGTGTCACTGCGAAGCTAATGTCTCGTCTTACCAATCAAGATGGGGTGGCTTCTGTTGTAATGATCGAAGAGGCCAAACTCTCTGACAAAGTTGTCAGGTCTCGAGTACTCATGGTAGTCAAGAGAGATGTGATCAGGAATGGGGTCGACGGTCGGTGTTGATCCGATGATGGTGATGTCAGGATAGACTGCCTTGATAGCTTCGGTGAACATGGGAAGACGGTAAGCAGAGTAACTGGCATTGCCGCCACCAAGATTGTCCTCGTTGCCGATCTAGCCAATGTATTAGCCCGGGGATATTCGAATTTAAGAGCATGAGAAGAGTTCACCTCGACATAATTAATTTGGAAAGGCTCAGGGTATCCCAAAGACGCTCTGAGTGCACCATACTTAGTACTGGTCGAGCCCATCAAGAACTCGAGTTCATCAAGAGCAAACTGAATCCAGACACCGAGCTCAGACTGAGGAGTCACAGGTCCACTCAGGTAGAAGCCGTCCCAAACAGCAAGAATGGGCTCCAACTCCAGATCTTGACACCAATGCAAGTATTCAATAAGACCTAAACCATCTGTGTTTTGGTAGCCCCAAGTACCGGGTCGGCCAGGTCTATCCTTGAGAGGTCCGATTGTCTCGTTCCAGTACCAGAGGTATGGTGGGTCATCACCTTCAAGATTCTGTAAGACATCAGTGTATGTTTTCTCTAGCGGAGGGTCGCATCAGAAACTTACGTTTCCACCTGGGAACCTAAGGAATTTAGGGTTGAGCTCTTTCAATGCCTCTGCAATGTCTTTGCGGAGACCATTGGGTCTGTTCTTATAGGTGGGAGGGAAAAGACTGATCAAGGTGAAGTCCAGCGAACCACCAGTAACACCAGATTTCTTGAAGGTGAGGATGAACGAGTTGTTCGAGTTTTGAGCAGCAGAGGCAGGGGTAAGGGTGAAGTTGTGTTGGATCCACTCGCTCGAAGACGCCTTGGGTGGAACTTGAACACTGGCAAGCGTTTCTTTGGTGATGTCGGACTTGAGAGAAGCCGTGAAGCTGCCATCGTAAGATCCTTTGACCCAGAAAGAGCCAGTGTAGTCTTGGACTTCAACTCCAATGCCCCAATATCCACTGCTATATGTAAGTCCTTGTACGATATGGAAGCTCTGGTGGTCCTACGTGTTCGAGAATCCAACGTCTCCACTGGAAGCCTTCGCAACTGCAACGTTCATAGAGGTTGGAAGAGCACTAGAGAGTGGTTGAGACAGATTCTTGAGAGATAGAGTCGTGCCTCCCACAGCGGAATACCCGAGTAGAGTGGAAGGGTGAACTGTGTTTCCCTGGAAGGCTCTGTTGCGGATGAGCTCGGCATAGATGCCGCCGTCACCAGAGAAGTTAATGTCCTTCACAGATCAATTGAGACTCGGGAGGTGTTTGAATCGAAGCAACATACCTCGAACATCAATCCATACTGTAGGGGTGAAGTAGCATTACCGCCATTGGCAGCGACCGTAAGATCCAAAGCATTGGCAGAGGCAACAATGGCCGCTAGAGCGATACCAGAGAGCCACATTTTGGTAAGAGATGAGAAGCAAGATCTCGGAGATGGCGATAATTTTCCAATGGAAGGCAGCTCTTGCCTTTTATACTACCCCTCGCTCCTGCCATGTCCCAGCTCTTCGGCAATATGCTCATCAGGCAACATCTCTGATGATTTGCTCAATTTTATCCTGGCTTTGCGTTGTCAATCCATGTCGATTAGTTCTAGCCGCAATTGCGTCTTGCATCAATGCATAGTACGGGTTGCCGGCAGGGCCGTGCATGTATCTTCTGCATCTCGTGATGCCATTGGCGATCCAACAGGTGAGACCTTTAGACCATGCCCCTTGAGTAGAATCAAGGTACAGTATAGAGATGTGCGAAGTCAATTCAAGTTGAAGAAGATCGTTCGAGAGCTTATCGGTATAGACTCTTGATTGATCATGCATGGGATAGACTTGAATAGATAAAGAGGATTAGCTATCAAGCGCCTGCAGTATGAACTACGCACTGGATGGAATTTCTTCATTTGAGGTCGTCTCGAGGCACCCCGCGCGGGGTGTCCCCGCGGCACCGTGTGGGGAGGGGTATAGAGGCCGGTGGGTGACGACCTGCATGAGAGCTCGTACAACTCTCCAAAACCTGTCTGCGACCTTGCATCTTGAAGCCTACTTGTAGCTTAGCTCATTGTGAGGTCTAAGTCGCATTGGAGACACGCATCTTGTATGCATGATTTAGCCTAAACCTGTCGCCCGTATACTGATCTCCCCCTTGCATGCAAGTTCCAAGACCGATAAGCACGCGGAAGCAAATAACGTGGTGCTTTTTGTTCATTTTTGGAAGGTATTACCAACTCTGCCGCCAAGCATGAACGAGAAATCTGGGTAAATTTGGTCGACAATTGCCATGACATCCTGGACCTACGGCGACGGACAAACTATACGACTAGCCTAAAAGCGGACGAGAACGGATCAGTTTTCTCTCTGGGATAGCCACTCTCTCCACTTGGGTGCGCATCTCCGTCTCCAGGACTTTCCGAACATTGCCATGGGGATAGCGGCAAGCATGGAGCAGAGTACGCAAAGACCAAAGAAGAGAAAGGCATATCCGTAGCCAGCTGCCTCGATAAACGGCTGAACGCTGTAGCTGATCGCAAAGTTGATGCAGGATGAACAGATGGCAAGAACCACGACCAACTCACCACTTATGCCAGGGAAGCACTCCATAGCATAGGTGGTGGCGATAGAGCAAGCGGAGACCTGGTGAGCAATCATGCAACCAACGCCAAATGCGATTGTCATCCAGTGAGCTCCTGTCTGAGCTCCCCAACCATACATCATATAACCAATCGCGGCATAGACGAACGAGAAGCACAAAGTCCACAGGCGCATCTCAGGCTCTTTCACACCACCATTCCTGCGTGCGAGGCGGAGGACGATTTGGTCAGACAAGACGCCAGTACCCCATCCTACGAAGTTGCCGACAAGAGCAGCAAGGAATACGAGGCCGGTAGATGATGTGCTCCAATCGTATGGGGGCTCTGTTAATATCTCGGAGATAGTATTGAAAGAAACGATGCCAGCTATCAAGAATTAGTACTGCAATATGACGGAGAGAAAATCTGGTAAACTGACCGGTACAGCCGAAAGCGAATATGCAGCCAGAAATGACTACATTGGGAAATAAGAAGAGGGCGAACGGACGACGGAAGTATTGCATGTAGGTAGTCTTGTCCTCTGGGAAGTACACCCAGAGCTTCAGCTTCTGTACGTAGGTGCGACGAGGGTAGTCGCGTTGTTGGACGTTGTGAGCTTTGGAACGGACTGTAGTGACACGGCCGAGATTCTTCTTGTCAACATCTTTGCCCTCAGTGGCAGACTCGGTAGGGCTTGAACGACCTTCGGTGACAGGAAGGACCCCTTGTATCGTCTCAAAGATGAATCTGGGAAAAATCGTTTCCTCAAAGGTGAAAAACAGCAGAACCAATACACCAGCGTCAATCATTGCGACAATATATTGTGTCCATCTTGGGAAACGTGTTAGCGAAAAACATTGTTGTGGTAGTGACATAGCTTACCTCCAGCCGAGTTGATCTGAGATGATACCGCCAGTAATTAAACCAAGAATACTGCCAAGTTGCTGGCCGAACAAGTAGAAAGACAGCATCATACCTCGTTCGTGGGCAAAGAAGGTATCGAAGACTGAAAGTTGAATGACGGCTTGATAAGCACTGGTGCCGACTCCATTCAAACTGTTTGATAGAAACCACTGAGCGGTACCATGAACACGGCCCTGCCAAACGCCAGCCATGCAGCAAATCAGCGTAGTGAGAAGAAATACTGGTCGTCGACCAATCTTATTCGCCGTGCTGCTCCACCAAATGTTGCATAGGCCGAGCAGTAAATAGTTCAGCGCACTGCCTCCATTCATATTCACGAGAGAAACTCCAGTATCCTCTGAGACGGTCGTCCATGCGGCACCGAGAGTGTTCTCTCCGAAAGAAAATGCACACGCATAAAGGGCCAGTAGAAAGAGCTGATACCACTTCTTCCATCTAGACCAAGTAAGAGGATCCGAACCGCATTCAGTTGGGCGTGGTATGAGGACAATATCTGAGCTGCCTTGGTGTGCAGTGTCAAGGTCGTGGTTGACTTGGGATGGTCAGAAACAATTCAGTAGGACACGTGAGGCTCTCTTACCATCTACGAGTTGTTCGGTGCCAGGCACATCGAGATCATAGTCTCGGGTGGGCATGACCAAGTATTACTGTATCGTAGACGTAGGGTTGATTGATTGAGAGTCGAATGCATCGATGGTAGAGGACCGCATGCCCTTTTATGGCTGGCTGGAAACCGCCTGCCAGAGATTCACCTTGAAGATAGTCCACATGCTCACGACTGATGTAACGATGTTCCTCTGATAGAAGGGCGTTGCTGCGGAGAAGTTGAAGGTACAAGCGAGGCCAATAGGATCGCAGACCTATACCTGATAAGCTTTAGCCCCGGACGTCAACCCGTGTTGCGCAACCACGGCTGATCCCTTTTCTGGGGTAGAGATAGGCCACCACGATGTCACGCTTTGTATCTCGAAAAGCAACAATATGAAGGTACAGCCGATCAAGCGCTTCGAGGAACGCAGAGTCGGTATGTGCAAAATATACGAGGAGAAGGTCCAACCAGCGTGTGGATGTCATTAGATGGTCTGAATAGCTGCCCCGGTCGGTTTGAGAGATAGGCAAATTCAACCGCAGTGCAGTGACCCAATATGGAATACGCTCAGATCGTATCCCATCAGAGCGATGATTGATTAGTCCGGCTCTCAAGCAAGGCTCATATTGCCACACAATGGAGCGACATATCGCTCCCAGTCGTTTTGACCTTTCTCGTATCCTTCCGGTCGGAGGTCAGAAAAATCATCATGGCCTCTTGCAAGCCATACCTGCTCGATGACAGATCTTGTTTTGGTGACGTTGGTAATCGAGCCGCTTAAGCGATCCAGAGCATACAAGACGAAAGGTCGAGCGTGATTTGGTACATCGTTAGAGACATCGTTTTTGCTCGACCACTCAAGATCTTCCATAGGATCGAGCTCAACAGCAGCAACAAATAAAGGCCAGCTCAAGCCTGCAAGTACTCCGTGCTCGAGAAGAACAGAAACTAGGCGAAGTACCTGTTGTACATGTCCAACAACAAGGGGCATTGCAGGGGTTGCACCATTGAGAGCGCAATGAAGATATAGCTCGGCCGCCATTCTCTTCAGCTCGGCGGAGAGTGAGAGAATATCATCTTCTTCGTCAAAGACTCTCTGCCTCAAACTGCAAAGTCGGCGCTCTAGGGATGCTGCTTGGTATTGGAACTCGGGCAGAAGGCTTACTTCTGGTCGTGATCGATGTCGGCGGCTCAATTCTGTGATCTCGCATAAGATAGAGACAAGCCCAGCCGAGCAGCCGAGCCAGGCGTCTGTGTCTTCGCCCTGCGACGTCCAAAAGTCGCTGCCAAAGATAGGCTCTTCTCCACAAGCTGTTCGTCCGATCACGTCCTGGAAAGCGAAGTACTTTTCGGCAAATTCGACAAGCTCGTTGGAAGACTGCCCAGAAGAGGGATAGAGCTGAGCATTTCTTCTCACGCGAATCAAATCTCGAGCTCCCTTCAAATGGACCACCCAGCGCTTATCACACTCGTTGATGATTTCATATTGACAGAGAATCATCATGATGACTAGTGTCTCTGGATCCATGGCAACTTGGAGGGCATCTTCAGTGGCAAGCCTTCCTCTCAGAGTCCGAAGAACGTTATGTCCAAGCTTGAGTGATGTCGAACGGAAAGCAGTGTCATTCTTTGATCTGTGGCATGCAGCGAGCGCAAGCAAAGCCTCCAAGACAGCGGGCGATGATGTTATTGAGAATGGCAGGATCAAATTGGCAAAAGGAGACTTGTTGACAGAGCTTGGAACAGTAATCGGACAGATTTTGTCCAGGTAATACGAGAGTAGGCTTGAGTGCATTGGGCTAGGCAGATCCGGGAGCATTGGTGGTGAAGAGGGTATGAAACTGTGGCGAGGCAAGAAAACAGGCTGTCTGGCAGAAAGCCATGGTGAAAGAGAAGCAGTGCTTAAGGCATCGTCTCGGTCATTCGTACGGACGACATCCAAGATTGGCGAAGCTTCTGATGCGATGGCCTCCAGAGTAGTCAGCTGCTCAACGTTCCCTACCGTGGCGTTGACAAAGCTGTATGAAAAGATCTGAGGAACTTGGATCCATGATACCTCATCATCATTGACATGTATGCACGGCGAAGAAGCATTTGCTTTCTCGGCAGACTTCTTAGTCCACAATCCAGCTCGACCAAAGGCTCGCCCAGCACTGGTATAGTCCTGCTCCCACTTGAGCTTGATGCTCGTTTCACAATCAAATCCCTTGGCGCGACATTGACTGCAGATTGGTTTCTGCTCGTCACACCGGACTTTGCGAGCGCGGCATTTGTTGCAGCCAGTCCTGTTACGCTTTCGCGGAGCCTCCTGGGTATTCAGTCGTTTGCGGGGCATGGCTGATTTCTGGTTTGAAGGAGGTGGGCCTCAGACATGATGCCCTATTCGGTAGCACGATAGGGCGATTGAAGGTCCAAGGAAGGTCCAAGTCAGCTTTGTCGCGCGATTACTGAAGGCGTGATAGGCCGAGAAAATGCGGGCGAGAGGTTGGGGCGGCCGAAGAGGCACGACTCGTGTAGACTGCGCCAAGGCTCTGGTTGGACCTTCCACTTTTTGTATTTCCCCGCTTCTTTTCCACCATCCTTCCTGATTCAAGAGCACTGTCGTAGGCGAACCATTGTAGGTAATAGACATCATACTATGACAAGATTGCAGTTATTATCCTTAAAACAGGCAGCACCTGCCAATGTGATTTGACTCTTGAACACTCGACCACTCCTTCCCTTCTTGAAGCCTGCGATCTCGTACAATGTCGGCTCCACTTTCCCTGGATTCATCCATCCTCATTGTCGGAGCAGGCACTTGGGGAATTTCTACGGCTCTACATCTCAAAAGGTATCTGCACAAATCTGTGCTCAACCAGTCCATCTGTTAAAGTGGAACTGACACGCCATCAGACGAGGATACAAGAACGTAACACTGCTTGATCCATTCCCGGTACCGTCTCCCATTTCCGCCGGCAACGATGTCAATAAAATCCTCGAGTTGGGCACTTTTGCCGCCGGTGCTGATACAGATGAGCGATATGTCGCAAACACGTTGATCAACGAGGCAACTAAGGGATGGCTAGAAGACCCTGTATTCAAGCCATACTTCCACGAGACCGGATGCATCATCGCAGCAACTTCTGAAGCCGGAAGAGCCCACATGAATGCCGCTAGTGGACCTAGCGAGGATGCAGGCTGGTTGCCTCTCAAGACGAAAGAAGACTTTCAAGCGACTATGCCCAAGGGTGTCCTCACAGGAGACTTTCCCGGATGGGAGGGCTGGTGGATGAAGAAAGGCTCTGGATGGATACATGCAAGAAAGTCCATGGAGAGTGCGGCAAGAGAAGCAGAACGATTGGGTGCAGTCTTTGTCACTGGCGAAGAGAAAGGCAAAGTCGAAAGCCTCATCTACGAAGCCGGCGACGTGAAGGGAGCAAAGACATTCGATGCAGTCGAACACAGAGCAGATCGTACCATTCTCTGTGCAGGGGCAAACGCTGGCATTATCTTCGATATGAAAGATCAGCTTCGCCCCACTGCCTGGACGTTAGCTCATATCAAGATGACGAGGGAAGAGTTGCAGTTGTTCAAGAACCTACCAGTACTCTTCAACATCGAGCGAGGCTTCTTCATGGAGCCTGACGAGGACAAAGGCGAGCTCAAGATGTGCGACGAGCATCCTGGCTACTGCAATTGGACTGTTGATCCTCAGAAGTAAGTCATGGCATCGCGATACTTGTATATACATACTGACCTGTTCCAGCTCTCAACGGTCAAGCGTACCCTTTGCAAAGCATCAGATTCCAAAAGAGGCAGAAGAAAGAGCCCGAGGCTTTCTCCGAGAGATCATGCCACATCTCGCCGAGAGACCTTTCAGCTTTGCCCGCATCTGTTGGTGTGCTGATACGCCGAATCGTGCATTCTTGATCTCAAAGCATCCTGACTACCCTAGTCTTGTGCTTGGGTGTGGTGCCTCGGGCCATGGTTTCTGCCATATTCCAGTCATTGGCGGATTGTAAGCCTTCCTCTCGCACTGAGCGATAACTATATACAAAGCTGATTGTGTCAATAGCATCACAGATGCCATGGAGGATAAGCTAGATCCCCGTATCAAGCATAGCTTCCGTTGGCGACCAGAGACAGCAGTCAATCGCAAGTGGGATGACCTGCAAGATAGGTTCGGACCAGAGGAATCAAACAGAATGATGAATTTTGGCGATATAAAAGAGTGGACAACCATTCAACCCGAGATTGCTGAAGCCAAGCTCTAAGAAGGGCCTAGTACCGGTGTTGGCAACCAAATCGAGAGCTTGGAGCGCGAGTCCCAGTCGTCACGACGATTCGTGATTGCACAACAACAATAAAATCGCAAAGACTATAATCCGGCTTTCACGTTTTCGATCCAACCCACGCAAACGCCTACACCATCCATCATCAAACCTTTATCTCAAAGCATCATCAAACATTATGACAGGACTCCAAGGCCTCCAAGAGCAGATTAAAGGTAGGTAATATGCAACAGCACGTATGAACGCAGCAAACCCTAACACCTTATATAGACAACGCTCGCATCATATACCGTGATGTCGACAACTTTGCCATCGAAATGGTGGAAAGCCCCTCGCATCCGCCGGGTGCCAGCGTCTGGAGTGCCAAGTTAGTGACTCGTAATCCTAACGGTAGCTCCAGACTGCTGTTGGGTGCTGTCGGCGGCAGCATTGGTCTAGCCTTGTTGCTTCTGTTGTCATACACCGCTAGGCTGTTGAGAGAGCTTAACTGGTAGCGGATTAGCACGGGGTGCTTTGTAATTGTACATTACTTGTATTTGTATCGTTGTTCGAACCACCCCTGCTTTGTGTCTTATACTGTGACAAGACTTATGTCTGTTAAACTGTCTCTAAGTCTATCTATACTCTTCTTTGTCTCTATATATGATCGTTGTAGCCGGTCCACTAAGCTCTGACATAGCAAGTATTCCTAGCACTCTTTCATCTACCTTCCGTCCCCTGTGTACGGCGCTGACGTGCCCATAAAAAGGCACAAAGGTATTCAGAAATGACAGCACGTTAATTGAAAGAGCCCCACAACAACACTCTCGATGGACAACTCAGCTCATTCAGAAATCATTATGCATTTTGACAGGCCCTTCCATCCACCCCTCGCTGCCTATGTGAACATGTAAACCACTCCCAACTCCATCTCCCTATCCATGGCACTAATATGTCCATCAAAAGGCACAATGGAATTCAGAAACGGCAGTACGTCCATTGAAGGAGCTCTCACCTTAATACTCTCATTGGACAACTCAGCTCATCCAAAAATCATTATGCATTTTGACAGTCCCTTCCGACCGACCTTCGCTGCCGATAAGATCACGTATATGGACCCAACTCCGTAGAAGTCACTTTTACATCGTTAAGATAACCCGATAGAATCCTACCACCCGAAACTCTCCTCGAAATACTCTATTCCAAAACATCCTCTCTTCATCACGCCATGTACAGCGATTCTGGCTTCATCGGCCATAGCTGGAGGTCCACAAACCAGTACCGCAACTCTTTGTCCCATCATCTCCGCCTTCATCGCTGCTTTTAAAATTGCAGCCGCGATATCTGGACGTCCTTGTTGAATTTCTGGTATTGTGGTTTGCGTACCGTCATCTTCTTCATCGTCTTTGTGGCTGTCGTCCTGACGAGTAAAGAACAAATCTGTGGAGAAGTCATCGCGGTGGGAAACATCTCGTAGTTCGCGGGCGAAAACTTGATGGATGAAGGAAGCTTGGCGGGCTGTCCAGAGGAGATGCATTTGTGTCGTAGCTGTCTTTCCTGATCTCGAAAGTGCGATGTGCTCTAGGATGTAGGGTACGGCTGATGCTATTCCAGTGCCACCTGCAATCAGCAAGACTGAATCGAAGGTTGCGATAGGACAGTGATGGCCGTATGGGCCTTCGAGGAGGATTGTGGGGGAAGTGGTGTGTGTGGGTGAGGCTAGACATGAGTCTCGAAGCCGCTTCGTCCAGCCATCGTAGGGGCGGATCCAGAAGGTCAGGGTTTGCCCGTGTGATTGACGCTTGGAAGCACTAAAGACTCCATTCTCTTCGTCAAACTCGTCATGCGTGCCGGTGCTTCGGAGAAGAGAACTACCAGCTTCGTCTGATCCGATAGAGCTAGATGACCACGCTCCAAGTGTGAAGGGATGATTTTCATAGCCTTGCCATGTTGTTGGTTGATAAAGATAGTAAAACTGTCCGGCAGCAGGTGTTGCCAGAAAGGAGTCTGTTCGTACGTCCAGTCTTATGACGTCTGACCCTTTGCTATAAGAAGCAATTGTGTATGTGCGACTAATAACTTTCTTGCTGAATCGGACCTGGAGATTGCAACAAATGAGACGTAGAAGCCGGAGTCCGCGGTCAAGTATCCATACAACTACAATGGGCCAGAGATACGCATCATATCTCGCATTGAAGATGGAAGTATGCCTTTCAAAGTCAGCTCCAGCGGTTGGACGGATGGCAGGAACACTCACAGAAAGCAGCCTACTAGTGTGACCACAGACAGAGCGATATGAAGAACCAAGAAGATCTCGTAAAACTTGATGCGAAGCCAAGAAACAGAAAACAGCAGAAGAAGACTCATGGTGATTGTTGCCTGCGCAGTATCAGCTACAATGCCTTTTGCCAAGATTGCTTTATCTCTTACCATTACACCGAGCAAAAGCCAGAGCTGAGTAAACTCTCTAGCAAACATGCTCCAACCCTCTTTGACAAATTAGCATGTACCCATCTAGGAGAATGACTTCCACGTACCGAATTCTACGAACAGATAGGTGTAGACCACAGAATGGACGATGGCGAGTATCGTACCAGCTCGGGCAATGTGACGGTGATAAATGTTGAAAGCCTGGTAAGATAAACCGGTAGCCCACATGAAGACATTGTTTCTACCCGCAAAGATCCAAATCAAAGGCAGTGTGGCATACGCCATGATACCTGTGCGGTCGGCGACATATCGCCAGAGTTGTTGAGACTTGTCGTCCCAGCTATGTTTCTGTCAGCTTCTGGTATCGAGAAAGAAAGCGCATCACTCTTACTAGATATTGTTAAATATGAGGCGGTAATGAGAGACAGAAAGATATGTTGTAAGGAGATAGAACGTCGCTACAACAACCGTTTCCATACGTGTCGGGACGGTGCACCAGAACAGTAGACGCTGATGATGTGAGCCAAACGCAGGTGGTATGATCAAATTAACTTGAATCCACCTCCACGTCGATTGCGTGAATTGGGATGTGCTCTCTGAGCTGGTAGATGGAGTCTTGAGCACATTGCATAGTGTTGCAATGCCCAAAATCAAGCCCCAGAATCCATATAATGCGAGACCAGATTGATGATGCCAGTTCATCTCGTATTCCCAAGCCATCTGAAGAGGTCAGTCATGCGTTTAATCACAACTTTGCGATGGACGTACTAGAGTGTTTCCAACTCGGTCCAGGAACGATCTAGAAAGTCTGACTGGTTCTGTGATGTTCATTCCGGTAGGTAGCTCGTCAAACTCTACGACTCTCATTCCAGCGATATCCCCCTCCGTAACATTAGCAACAAGCTCCTGCCAATCCAGAAATTCGAGGTCCTCATTGTTGCACTCTTTACGGATCTTATCAAACCCGACTTGAATTTCCTTCTCTGTACAAAATGTCTTTCCCGAAGCATATGTTGAGATTGTTCGTAGTGGGTTGAGACACTTGGGTCCATTGTATGTGCCGTAGCCGTCTCCAGCGAAGGTGATGTAGTTGTAAGAGACCGACGCTGAGTGTAAACAATACTCATTACTGGGCATCAAAGTGCCCTTGATTGTACTGACGCAGATTCCAACTCCATATAGTAATGCCAATATCGTCGTCGTGTTGATAATCGTAGATGCCACAGAAGTCCATGACCAGTTCGTCCGTGAGAGGGAGTATGATTTATTTCTAGGAGCAGCAAAGGACCTTTGACTGAGCTGATTCGAGGCATTCTGTCCTTCCAGTAGAGGAGATGAAGAAGTCAACATCTTGACAGGCAATGCTTTCCTGTTGTAAATCCAGAGACTCGACCTCTTATCAATCTAATCAGATGACGCGGACAGTACGCCCAAGAGACTCGCCATCCACTCGAGAATTATCCAGTATAGAGAATACGTACAACGCTCCGAGCAATACACTCGTAGAGTCTGTGAGACTTGTTGGTCGATACTTGTATTAAAAGGCTCAGGCCCGCCGCGACATGAGCGGTAAGTGCTGAGTTCTCGAAGGCTCGGCAAGAGATCTTGGCGATAAGATATACTGAATCGCGGATTTAACTCAATGCATGCAAGCCTCTGTGCAACGAGGATGGAGAACAATTGATCTAAACAAACAGTTGAACGAACGAAAGTATTAAAGTAATTAAAAAGTATATGGAGTTCTAGATTTCATTATGACCATTCGACCTTGCCACAGTCGTCGGGCGCCTCAGCAAGCCATTTCTCGATTTTTGGCGTCTGCCAACCTGAAGTCCACAAATGGATATTGGTCGCATTCTTTTCGTCAACCCACGACTCTTCGGGTCTCTGATCTCCGAACCGGAAAACACTGCTCAAGTAGCAGATTCCGCCACCATGTTTCTTTTCATCATCTTCAATTGTTGTGAAGTTGAGATGTGCCCATTGGAAACATGCTTCAGTGACTTCGCAAGCGGTATTGCATGCATCAGGTGAAGAATTAGGATCTTTCTCTACAGTAGGCTCACCCACACGCTCGTTCGGCTTTTCTTTGGCCTGGGCTCGTGTACGTGGAGCTTTGATAGTGTAGACGTTGTCGTTTGACGCATTGTCCCACTCGTCGCGTCGCTCTGGGAACTTGACGCCAGAGAGCAAATCCCTAAATAAGTGAGAGAAGCGTAAATGTGGAGCACTGCTGGAAGAAGTGTTGGTGTAGAAGTCATCTTCCAACATCCACAATGTCTGGACTTCCTCGGAACGGAGGTGGTGCTGAGTGATGACAGGGCGACACCAGATACCAGCGCCGATTGGCAGGCTCATAGGTTTGTGGCCACTGAACATAGGAGCTGCAGAAGTCAGGTTCAAGCCCAGCTCTTCCTTAAGAGCTTTCGCGACGACGTAATCGCCGAACCACAGATCCGGTATGCGAGCATCCCAGCGACTGGCAAGGCCTTTCTTGGTGACGCAGAAGTCGTACATGGCGGCACGCGACAGCACGAAGCCACTGCCGCCATGGGCGAAGTAGAAGCCCTCTCCCTCCTCTTTCTTCATAGGCTCGCCTCGGCCGAGGTACAGCGATTTGCTAGGATCGAACCTCTCAAGCCATTTTACGAGGTTGCGCCAAACGATATAAGTGTCTGTTTCTGCGAAGACATACCAGTCTTTGTCTGGTTGTAGCTCCCAAGCTCTTTCAATCATGTGCAGAAATTTGTATTTGTCCAAGGCCCAAGCAGCATTGTGCCCAGCAGTACGCCAGTCCGAGTTTGAATCTTTCATGGTGCTCAAGGTTTGGACGTCGCGGCCTTCGGCTTGGTACTCCTTTTGCTTGCGATACAATTCGAAGTCGGCATGATTTGCGAGGAACTCAGGATCGTAGCGGGAGAGCACATCATGGATATGTAATGAGTGGATGTCTTGTTCCAGGTCGGAGAAGAGAAGGAGCGTATCGGCGCATTGCAGGATGGTGAGCAGCTGCGTCGGTAGCTTGTCGAAAGCCTCGGTGGCGCCTGTCTTGATGGATAGGACGATGTTGCTAATCGCAGATGACGGTGGGCATTGCGAAAGTTGTGGTGATTGTGTCGAACCTTTTATCGACAGAAGATGTGTGTTAGGGGAAGAAGAGGCGTGGAAGTAGAGATAGGTCAAAAGAAAGAGACCAGAGAGGAAAGCCAGCCCTGTCGGCAATGGCGCTCGAGGGATGGTCAAAAGCATCTCGCTGAGGTTGACTAGGATGGTAATACGGGAAGGCACGACCTACCTGTAGCAGCTTACCTCTTTCCTCGTGTATTCGTACACCAGGCGTCAGGGGGTGTCGAATCACTTCGCAAGCTCGCCCGTTTCTGCTCAGCTGAGACGACTCCGAAATCTGCTCGGCCCGCAAGCTTGTTTCGTTTTCAGCTTGGGACCTTCGGACGGCCTTGTAAAGCTCATCAACATCAACCGAACGACGTCAACTAATCAAGTAGTAGGAGCTGGTGTCAATCACGGTCTATTGGCATCGTCATGTCTACCGTAAGGTGTTTCGAGGACGTGTTTCCACCAAGATGAGCCGGAGCTCAAAGTACTTAACTCCGTCCGGATATAACTACGACGACGCATCTTTCGGCCGATGATTTTGAACAATCTAAACGTCTGCGACAATTCATCATGACTTGTCGTGCGTGAGCTTCTCTGTCCGGGGGCGGATCTAAGTATCCAGTTCTTACTAATTCCGTTCCCTCACCGGATTTTGTAGTCCGCAAGTCATCATCATGGTCAATCTGTGGCATATATAACGAGAAAACTCTGGAACTTTGTCCGTTCAACAACACTCATCAACTCGGATACTGTTTCAACTCAAATCTTTTCGCAACTCATCATGTCACCTCTAACCCAAGCATACCGCCCTTACCTGGACAGACACCAGAATCTTGCCGGACCTGGCGATGAGCGTCCCACAGCTATCGAGGTCGTCAAAGACCTTGGCCTGGTAGGCAAGCTCAGTGACAAGACAATCTTGATCACTGGTTGCAGTGCTGGACTTGGTGTACAGGCCGCTAGGGCCCTCTACTTGACTGGGGCCAAGCTGTACATTACTGTTCGCAATGAGCAGAAGGGTCAGAAGGCCATTGAAGCCATTATGAAGGATGCACCTCAGGGCCAGACGGTTGAGATGGTACAAATGGATCTTGGAGACTTCGACAGCGTACGCGCGGCGGCCAAGGACTTCCTGAGCAGAAGCGACAGACTCAACATCTTGATCAATAATGCCGGTAAGTCTTTGTGACATCAAACAACCTTTACCTGGGCTAATTGTTGTTCTAGGTGTGATGAACGCTCCTAAGGGCAAGACCGTCAGTGGCTTCGAGAACCACATGGGTGCCAATCATCTCGGTCACTTCTTATTCTTCCAGCTTCTCAAGCCCCTCTTGCTCTCTTCATCCACACCTACACAGACTTCCCGTGTCGTCAATTTGTCCAGCTATGGTCACACCATGTCACCTATTCGCTTTGATGATATGGATTTCGAGAACGCAGAGTACAACCCCTGGGTAGCTTATGGTCAAAGCAAGACAGCCAACATCTATATGGCCAATAGCATCGACCGTCTGTATGGATCACAAGGCTTGCATGCAGTCTCTGTGCATCCTGGTGTCATCTTCGATACCGAACTGATCCGTCACACTACTGATGATATTCTGGCTGGACTCGGTGGTAAAGGTCCATTCGAAAAGAGTGAGAAGAGTCCTGAACAAGGTGCTGCAACCACTGTCTGGGCCGCTCTGACTCCTCACTTTGACAGCAATGGTGGTGTCTATTGCGCTGATGTAGGAGAGTCTGTTGCAGCAGGAGAGAATGCTCCGTTGGGCGGTCCGGAGTATGTAAGCCATGCTTATGACCAGAAAGCTGAAGATCGTCTGTGGGAATTCAGCTGCAAAGCTGTTGGCGTCTAACTTAGAACTCTTACAGCTTGAATTTGGTGCCGCGAACAACTTTGAAGCTCACTCAATCACTCACTGTCGCCATCAGGTTCAATCTTTTCCCGCACCGACTATTAATCAATCACTCACACTCAATCTCACACTCAATCTCACACTCAATCTCACACTCAATCTCACACTCAATCTCACACTCAATATTACTCTCACTATCTACTTGCACTTTCACTATCTACTCACACTCTCACCATTTGCCTACGCTCTCACTATCTACTCACCTCGTCCGCCCAACTCTCCACCTTTCGCCTATTTCAACACCTTTCGTCTACAAACAACCTTTCGTCTACTATAACAACAACAACCTTAGCTCTTAGGTCTCTTCGATCTCCCCGATCCGCACAGAACCAGCGAAATCTATTGGTCTTTGATCCAGCACAGCACAAGCGTTGAGAGTTATGAGAACAGCCCGTGTTTCAGTGACCTGTTCGTCGCATCCCTTCTTTCACTCCACACAATCTCGATTCCGGAAGATATATGTGCTGCAGATTGCCTACCGCGTCGTCCTTGCCGTCGAGGTCGTCGACACCTCCCAAGTCTCCAAGAGCAAAGCTTGTCGAGAGGTCATGGCCACCTTAAGTAGGACTTGCGTGTGAGCTTCATGCCTCAGGGCATCATCGTATTTTAGTATTATGAATTGATAATGCGTTGATAGTAATCAAGCCAAAAGAACTGTTGGGGATTCATGTGCCACACGTATCTTGGATTCACTACTGGAAAATGACCGGAGAGACGAGAGAAGCCGGCAATATATCGTGAAGCGTAAGATCAAACTAGGAAGAGAGCAGGGAAATCACCAATACATGATGAAGTGCAAGATGAAACTAGGCAATGTTTAGCTTACGATTCGATCCGACTTTGTATGCGGGTAATTGCTGACCGTCACTAGACACTGATACTCAAGAGCGGAAGGTGCTGATAAAGTCCAATCAGAACCTTCCTATGGGCTTTTTGACAGGAACTTCGAGTCTATGAGAACAGCACGGGAGTGTTTAAGGCTGTGGACAAGGAGTCGACGACAGGACAACGCCGAGCGACCACTAACAGTAGGACCATGATACTGGTCCAGCTCCCAGGATCTCTTGAACAGTCATCGCAGTAGAACAGCCCGTACAGCGACTGGGAAAGGCGATCACAGGAGTCGCCAGAAATTGTTGTATCGTAAACCTGTTGCTCTCTTTTGCTCTCCCTGCCACAAACATGAATGACTTTTCCAGACGAGGACTGTCTCGCACTCCGACAAAATCTCAAGGACAATTGCGGAATTTCCGTGAGAGTCTATCTTGGGAAGTCATCGTGGCATAAGAGGTTTCTATAGTCCATTCCTAGGGATCTCAGATGACAAAACTTTCTTGAGGAGCGAGTCAAGCAGTGAGTACTGTATCTCTAGTTGGGTGAGTCTTTGACCTGCTGAAACGGAGTATTGCGCTCAGTGGATTGAGCAAGCTGATTGGCTAGCTGTATGACTCGTGACCAGGTGCTCCATCACTCGTCGTACGCGAAACATTGATTCGCGCGTCTGAGATGGGATGTTTCGTCGTCTAACAAGTTATGATGTCGTTTGATGGGTGTGATGGATCGCTTAAAACATAAATGCCTTACCAGACACCGGTTGCATCATCGTCCAAAAGTCAGCAGTAAGATCCTCAACCAGCCAAGTGTCTTTCAAGAATTCTTCCATAAGCTTGATAGAACCAAAAGAGAGATATTCAGCAGCAATTTTCAAAGAGTTCAGCACAGTTTGCTGAGACTCAGGACTGATACAATGGGTTCCAATCATCAGACAAGGGAAGAGCAGACAGTGTGCGAGTTTGCCGATCTGAGGTGCTTGTAGAAGTGCATCAACTCCTTCTTGTACGCTTTCTTGCACCAGAACATCCGAGATTTCAAGATTGCAGAGGGCACGGTACATATAGATGCGGGCGGAAGCGCGATAGGCTGAGCAGAACACCGTGAGGGCATCGATGGACTGAATGCCATCTGCGGGTGATGAAGGTGTTGTTATGCTCTCAAGTCTAGCTTCTGTCCGGCCGAGTGTGAGCTGGATCTCGAGCAGTTCTCGTATGGGAGCTGGGAAGCCAGAAACGCGTGCGTCGTGACCGAGTTGTGCTAGTTGTGCGAGCAATGCCATGATGTCGACGAAAGCGTGGTCATCCTTGATGCCTGTCCACCAGGCCTCGCCATCTGCAAGTTGAAGCCAAGTCTCTGGTCCAAGATGTGGTGCTTCACCGCCGAGTATCGCGTATGTCAGATCCATCGTAGCATAGACAGAAAGTAGTAGTGACATGGGTCCTGCCTTCGCCGAGGACACTTCCATCATGTGGTTTCCATGTTGGAGAATAGCACGTCCACCACGAAGATGAAAGGCGGCAGCAAGGCCATCATCCTGCGGCTCGATAATACCGTCCAACATGCATAGCAGCACGCTCGATGGGAAGGTAATGGCGTGTGATAAGTTGAAAGAATCCTGGAGCCGTGTCCGTAGTGATCGTATAGCTGTCAAGCGTGCTTGCTTGATCTGTGATAGTGTCTCTTCCTGGACAGCATGATTTCTGAACAATCGATGTGCGTTCGCGACGGCGATGACTGCTTGATGTATAGACGGGTCTGTGACGAGCCACGCGGGATCGACACCCGGACCAGCATCCATGAGACTAAACCGTGGCAGCACTTCTCGTGCAAAGTACAGCACTTGCCAATCATCTGGAGTCGACGGCGACTGGATACGAGGTGCAGGTACGAATTGCTTAACAGGTAGCAGATTTTGCCCAGCGAAGCGTCCTCGAGCTGCAACTCCATTCGCCCACTTAAATCTCATGCCATACTCGCACTTAGTGTCAGCAGTCTCGCATCTCGTGCATGTTGGCTTCTTCACATCGCATAGGACACGGCGGTCCTTACATCGCCAGCATGATCCTTCGGAGACTCTGATGCGTTTAGGAGGCATTGTTGAGGGCGCAGCGATTGTTTGCTATGTGTGTAGTTTCTTGGCGAGGCAAACATGATGCTGCTGTAGAGATGCTGAAATCATATAGAGCATGACCGATCACTAGGATGCAAGATACTCCACAAGATCCAGAACGCGTGTATGCATGCCGAGGATGTGATGGAGGCTAGTCAAGTACAAGCCGAAGCGTGAAGAAGGAGCTTATCGACAGCGCCGGAGCGAGCAACATCCCTTTCATAAGGCGAATGCATTGTGTAAGTTTATCTATCGGTCCTCGTGTCTGTCAGTCCAATAGTGAGCCAGTACAAGAAGAGGGAAGAAGTCCAGCTCGAGACGCCAATCAGTTGGTCAAAGCCAATCATTGACAGCCCCGCCATGTCATCTTGGCAATCTAGTCCCGATATGGAGGTTATTTTGACCACAGCTCGACCTCTCCGACTACCGCTCACGCGTACACTCGGCACAAGATCTGAGGTGCTGTCGTTACAATGACACGGCTTTCATAGCGTGTTTGAATTGAAATGACAAAGATAATCACAATACCGATAAGAGCGGCAGGTCGACGCGCCTACTCCAACTGAATCGTTGCGGCGAACGGCTGGTAATCCTCCTCTCCTTTCCACTGATCTTCATACAGTGACTCGCCCATCTGAGATGCGTCCATGCCAATCATAACATCTTTGTCGGTCGCCAGCACTTCCCAGCCTGGGACGCAGTCGATCAGGGCGATGATGATGTATGAGACGCTGAATGCCCAAGTGAATCCGATCAAGGCTTCCACAATCTGAACACCAAGCTGTCTCGCATTGCCGTCGAAGAAGACACCACCGACAATCTCTGTGACTCCATCAAGAGCGGCGACCTCCTTTTGAGCAAAGAGGCCAGTCGCAATGGTACCGACAAATCCACCAATGCAGTGAGTAGCGAAGGTGTCGCCATTGTCAACCCACTTCCACCGTCTTGCGAAGTCGGTGAACTTGATCCGCAGAGCTTGTCTCGATACAACTGCACCAGTGATACCGAAGAAGAACGCTGTGGCCATGTCGATGAAGCCAGCGGAAGGGGTGATCATGACCAGACCAGAGATGGCGCCCAAGAACGTCGAATCCAGCGACCACTTTCCAGTCTCATAATAAGTCATGCAAGCCCAAGTCATGGCGCCTGACGCAGCACAAAGATTCGTCACACACATCGCCATGACAGATTTGAAGTTGAAAGCAAGTGTGGTGCCAGCGTCGAAGGCCAACCATGAGCCCCAGATAGTGACGAGGGCGAGCAATTGACTCAGTGTGTTGTGGGGTTTATGTAGGACCAGATGAGCTGGCGTTCTTTCTGCGGACTTGCGGGAGCGGAAGAGTGGGTAGGAGAGGTAGATGCTGAGGGCTGTTGCTGTGGCGCCCGAGCAGATATGTACAGGAGTGCCACCAGCGAAGTCGAGGACGCCGAGTTCGCCGAGGAAGCCACCGCCCCAGACCATGTGGGCGAGTGGGCAGTAGACAAAGGTGGCCCAGAGCTATGAATATGGTCAGCGCTGATCAACCCATATCATCAAAAGATACTCACAAAGATGAACGGAATCAACGGCAGCAGCCTTCCCCTCTCACAAACCCCACCAATAGCAATAGCACAAACAGTAGCACAAAAAATCAACTGGAACTCGCTGAATAAAATAGCAGGAATAGTCCCCACAGGCTCAGCCAAAACATCAAGATGCATGAAATGTTTCAAGTCGCCAATGAAGCCATTGCCCTCACCATAAGCAAGCGAGTATCCAAACAACCACCATTGAATTGTGCAAACGGAAACTGCCAGCAATGCTGGCATGAAAGAAGCCAACCCGCTCCGCCGTGTCGAGTATCCTGAATATCCTAGTCCGACGGCGGGGATGATTGGCCAGCAAAAGACGCTGCAGATGAGAATGAAGGCGGAGTCGGTTTTGTCGCAGGCATCCCATGCTTTGAGGACTTCGGTGGCTGTGATCATTTTGAGTATGTTCAATCGAAAGTTACTTTTCCATCTCGCTCGAGCACCTTGATGTATTTATGTTTCCCCGGAGCCGCATACATGGAGATAACAAGAGTGTGGGGCAGAGATAGCGATAAGGTTGGTGGTCAGAAAGGCTTCCGCTTTGGGTATGTATCTTGGCCGGGGTAGGAGTGGTCCTTCGTGCTTCCTTGTCCATGCTAATGAGTACCAAACAGATTAGTCGAAAATAGTACAACTGCCACCGTCGGAGTGATGACTGATCAGCCAGGTTCGATGTTTTCCTATAAAATTCGAGAAAAGTGCTCTTGAGCACGAGTTTGGTATCTTTATAATTATGATCCTAATTCCGGAATGTCTTGGCCTTGCGCTAGCTCTCTTCTCTCAATCATATTCAAGACCTCGAGTGATGGGGCATTTGTGAGCTTGTGTAGCGATTCCTCTACCTCTGACCTCCCGCTAGAAGGATCGAGGGTCCATTCTCTCGGTAAAGATAGTGGTTGATAGTCACCTCCTCTCAACTCTGATCTAGCCTGGCTCAGGTTTCCAGTGTCAAGCTCGATCACGAAACGACCGTTCTTTTTAATCTTTGAGAAAACCTCAGCCCAACTGCCATCTCGTAGACATACACTGCTGATGTAAAGAGAAGTCAATGTATCGGCGTGCTTCTCCAGCAAGTCGACGAGTGTCTGGAAAGATATTGGAGTGTATTCCAACCACAAAGATTTCAGACCAGTCGACTTGACAGAGCTCAATATGGTGTCTGCAATTCCAAATTGTCGATTCGTGATACTTTGTGGTTGGTGTAATGGCGGCCATTCGGTGGCGTCAAGATCGTCACAGCCCTGTCTGTACGTGAGGCTCTCCAATGAACGGGCATAGGACAGGACATGGCCAGCAGATCGTGTGCCAGCTTCGTCGAACGTGTTCACAAGATCGAAAGAGATGGAGTTCAAGCTGGACAATAGTTCCAAATCTTCTAGATTCATCTCCTGAGTATCAAAGCCTCGCTCGTCTGGGTCGATTGAGAATGCGTCGACAGTCAACTCAAGCTCGGCGAACCTCATTTTTGTGCGGAAGATTGCTTCTAGACAAGGCTCCATGGTAGACTTGAAACAGAGCTCCGGCTCTCCATGGAAATGATTGTACTTGTCAAGAAATAAAGTGACAGGATCCCATCGCGGCACTTCAAAGTCCGAGATATCCAGAATGACAGGTGTTTGGTATCCTCGCAGAGACGCAAAAGCTTGAGCGAGGAGAGTGACCGCATCTCCTGAAGTTTCAAGCTCATATTCTTTAGAAGATCTGTTCATCGCGTCTTGCATTTTCGCTTTCGCTCGCTTGACTTGAGCGGACGTAGGTGGAGGAATTCGCCTTTGCATATCTTCAACTCTCTCGATAAGTGCCCTCATCTCTCGTGGATGAACGCGGCCGGATGACAGATGGACTTTGCGAACGTGAGGTCCGAAGTCTGGATGTGCGCAAATTTCTGCCAGTTTCTCTAGACTGCGCCGGGTCATGAGAGAGCATAGATTGAACATGTAGGCCTTTGCCAAATGTGTGGTTGCAACTGAGGAAATTCTTTTGTTGGACAGTCGAAGGGTCTTGAGGTCCTTCTTTCCCAGCTCATCGCAAATCACGTCGATGATTTCACCTGGTATGGTGTCCAGACGCAACATCGAATGCTGCGGCATGATCCTATTTTTGCCGGAGACGTGTACTGGGTGTCCAATGGAGGTCTCCAATGACGCGATGCGAAGGGTAATAGGTGCGCGTCTGGAGTACTTACAATGACCTGTCCAGCAATAGCTTCTCGGTCAGGAAGTAACAAGACTACATTGTCAACACCGCTTGCTTGGTAATCGCAAATGTTTCGAGGTTGAAATTTCGCGCTTTGACCTTGCGCGACAGGGTCACCAAACTCTTGTTGACATCGTTCTGCTAAGGTACACTGCATCGTACGAATCGTGGACGATAAAAACTGCCACAGATAAGTTTTCGCTGTCGGTGACAGTCTCTCAAGATATAGCGAAGAACTATGCAATAAGACAAACCAAGCATCAAATAGTCATATTGTTTGCCTTTGTTCATGGAGTGTCCGAAGGGTCGGCGTTGCGAACAAAATCAGAAAGCCACGCCCACACCTTCCCAAGATTTTAAGGGTTTCAATCCCCTCTCGAAACACACACGGAGTACCACACCCTCAGGTGGACCAAAAATAATGCCGTCACCGGCAAAAGCAATGATTCCGCCCGGGTTCGAACCGGGGACCGCCTGTGTGTTAGACAGAAGTGATAACCAACTACACCACAGAACCAATTGGTGATAAGAATTTGACCAAAACCATATATGAATCTGTTCAAACAAGACCTTTGGTTGCATGCAGGCATACCTGTTGTATGATCAGGAGCAATGTGTTCCTTGCCTCGCTCTCACAACCACACACTTATGTCATCAAGTTACACTAGCCCCTCGGTAGCTTCAAAATCAAGATTCCAGGAGAGCGGACCAGTGGTCTCTGTGTTACTGCAACTGGTTTCGCAGTTGGATCCTGCGCTGGTGATGCCTATGGGAACATGTCATGAGTTGGAGCCGCTGCAAAAACTTGAATGATGTTCACGCGTTGCGGCGGCTACGAGCCAATACTTGATACTAATCACTGCATCTGTTTCAGCCTGGCGTTTGTTGGTAAACCATTGGATGAGCGAGTACGAAAACCAACATAATGCAAGCCACCTATGTTACGCAGATATGTGATGGGTCAGCGCATAGGTTGGCGCTCCTTTGGATTTGTGGTATAAAGACAGGCATCTTTTGACATCGATCCAATACTCACTTCACTTGCTCTATCGATTCAAATCCCTTTGTCTACTCAGAACTCACAAGCATATTCTTCACAACACCATGTCACTCGCAGATCTAGAGCCCAACAGCTTACACGTCGTCCTCCATGTACGTAGCCATCCTCCAAAGGCAAACGACTTTCACTGGGGTCTCTACCTCCACCGAGACTTCGAGGCTGGTGGTACGAAATACCATCTAAAGGGCGCTGACAAACGCTGGCTCGCCGACCACGGCACTACGCGTGGCGTGTTCAAAAGCTTCCTTCTGATCGGTCTATGTCAAGTGGCCAGGATCCCTTCTGGTCTTATGAAAGATGTCGATGCTATGTTTCGGACATACGACCACCAACTAAACGAAATGCCGGGGTTGACTTGCCGCACTTGGGTTTTCCGAGTGCTGGAGTTGTTGCAGAAACCTCATAGTGGACAAGTACTCTTGGAGTGCAACGACCTCACGTCCCTCGAATATGAGTTGCTGTCTTGGGGCAATGCCAATGCTCTGGCGGCAGCTGATTGTCAACAGCCTCGTCCCACACACCGCTCTGACCTATGCGGACTTTAACGTCGGCATGATTTGCAATGCTGCATGAGGTCGGTTCATTCTTCAGCACCACAAGAACGCCATAGGCGTCGGGCTGACATGTGAGTTTCTAGCGACAGTGTCGAAAATTGTTCAGATCGGGATTTCAGGGATGGCCGGAGGAGATATCATGACACTCGCTCACTGGAAAGCGTTTTTGTTTCAGTTGCTCTGTAGTTATTCTCGAATACAGCCTTTCAGACCTGATTCTATGTTTCATGTGCGATCACCATCCAACACACCATCCGCCCGTCAAAGTTATGAGTGCTCTCTCTGCGTCTCGATAGACGGTGTATCTGTGGCCTCCAAGTCTGACAACAAAATCGTACCACCAAAAATCTTCACGCTGGAATCTGAGAGCAGTGGTAAACTCCCAGTACTCCGGATACCAGCCCGCAGATTCCCAATCGATGAAGCCAGAGACATGTCCTTCATGGATCAGGATATTGTGGTGCTTGAGGTCTCCATGGGTGTAGACTATACGATGCTTGTCTGAGAAAAGCTTTTCTATCTCTTTCTTGAGACTGGGATAATCTTCCTCGGTATCGTATGCATCATGTCCAGCTGGGAAAAGGAGATAGTCATTCATCTGGTCCTCCGTCTCGAAAGGACCCATCGTAGTGAAAGGTACCCGAACACTTCTGATAGATGTCCCCGATGATGAACATATCCGCTCTCGGCCCCAAGGGCTCTTCCACTGCCGCATGGATGAAAGATAGGCATTCATCTCATTCAAAATAGCATCCCTCTCGGCGACATCGAGATCTTCGTAGACTCTACCGAGTTCGCGTCCAGGCAATCGTGTCATGAGGATCGAGACAGGGGCGTGTGGGCTGTCGGGTTGTTCGCCATAACATATGACCCGCGGCACGGGCATACCAGCTCTGCGAGCGGCCTCCATGGCCAAGACCTCTTCGGCGCGTGTCCCATCTGACCACTTGAGGATAAGTCCGAAGGGAAGCTGCATGATCTGGCCATCGAACGGAATTCCATGCCAGCGACAATACAGTCGAGACAACCTCAGCAGTTTTCTGTGAACGATTCCCCAAAACCTTCGTACGATATAAGGTGATGCTTGTGGGAGCGGATGCATCTGGAGGTTGTGAGAGACTTTGTAGCTGTAGGGCCAAGTGAACGATGGAGACAGTACATTCCATCTTTTGACCAGCCCTACGCAGCAGTCCCAGAAGTTGGATGTCATCGATGACTAGCCGGTCGAAGCAAAAGAGTGTGTGGGGCGATTCAAGGGCGATTGCTGAGGTCGGTCGACGTCTCCAACTCGGCTGGTGAGTGTGGTGAGCGCAAAGACAGAATGGAAATCAAAGGTAGGCGCGTCTCGAGCGACGTGTGCGACGCGAGGAAGAAACATGTTTCCATTGGCTACCGACACGTGCTTTAAGCGCCTGGCGGCCGAATGCGCGGCAATGGTCGTCGCCAAGATTGACTCTTAATTACAAGATCACTCGAGAGTATGGTTTGCTTTAAATTGAAGTAATCGAAGTCCGCTTCATGGAGGTGTTCATGACACGAGCAATGGTTTCTTGAGCACCGCAGTTGCTGTACAACGGTATACTTGGCTCGAGTGCACGGGCCTGTCTGGAAGAAAGATTGGCATAAGGTATCTACAAGAACAAATTGAATAGCCTCTGTAACAATGCTATCCTTAGCTCTGAAGTGACGTCCCCCATGTTGCGATGATACGCATCGAAGTCAAATTGTTCGTTTCCAAATGAACGCCAGAAGTCCCCCAAACCAGGCTCAAACGAATGAGCAACCCATATGTTGTGTGTGTATACCCTTGCCAGAAAGCACCATTTCCAATAAACGCCTCATTATTCAATTTCATATCGTCCTCAATGCGCCGAGATTTCGAGATGGCTTCGTTGTAGCGCTCTTGCCAGTTCTTCTTCGGTGAATGGTGTGTGGTCGTGAGCAAACTTTGCGCTATCGACTGCTCGCGCAGGCGTTTGTGCTGATGTTGTAGCAGGAGCCGCTGTGGTCGTCATACCAAGTGGTGAAGCTTTGGTTGGAGCTCTCGATCGATATTCAGCGGTTTGACGACGTGAATAGACAGGTCGATGCGGTTTGTCTTCCCTTGACTGAACTCGTGAAAGACCGACTAGGTGCAACTGTTAGCCAGACGCCTTTTCAAGACGACCAAGTCATGTACGTACCATTGGCGACATCATCATCACCCTCTGCTTCTATCTCTGTAGACAGAGCAGGCGCCAATGCGGCATGTCTTTCTCGTGGGACCTCAAGGCTTTCACGTCCACTCTTTGCTCCTGCCCCTGAGACGCTATTTCTCCTGCTCATGCTCATGCTGTTTCTGCGACTCAAACTGCTTCTTCCTCCGAAACTCTTTCTGCTGATCAGACTGGCTCGTCGACTGGGCATTCTTGTTCCCATTGGGCTGTATTCGCTCATGAAACTTCTTCTTCTCCAAGCAGCAGAAAAGCTGAAGGATTCGAGTTTCTCCTTGTGCTCTTTCTTGACTGGCGCTCGGTACTTGGCTCGGGGCATCGGCTCGCCAGGTTTATAGACATTCGAGGGCCATCGATCTCGGTCTTTGCTCGAGTCCTTTGTTGATGATGTTCGGAGTGAAGAGTTTGGTGAGGCCTTTCGTAGTGCCTTCTTGATACGCTCGCGGAAAGCCATGGCGAGGGTGGTTATGTGCTACGGAAGAGGCCGGTTCAGGGATGGCGAAGTTGGTGGCAAGATGGACAATGAACAACGTGCCACTCGCGTGGTAACAAAGCGAAAGTTCCAATGACCTCGTGCTGGAATCGTGGAACTTGGGACCCCCGTGTATTATGAATGCCGCAAAGTCCGTATGTAACGGTCGGTTTGACGCGGCTAATATGACGTGCGGCCCGTTGGCTCGGGTTTGACGTTGATGGATGATAGTGAAGGAAGCAACAGTTTGTTGGAAGGTGTTAGTAGGTCAAGGATGGGGATTGTATGAAGACAAGACAAAGAGAAGGACAAGGAGAAGGCAATTGACAATGGAAGAAGCAAGAAAGAGCCGTCTTGCGTCGCGGATGTGGTTGCGGAGGACTGCGTCGCCCCACTCTCAAAAGGTGCACGGTTCAGGAAAAAGCCCTGCCGAGAACTACCGTCTCGATGCTGAGCTCGGCCACTCTCGGTGTTACTCTTATTAAGAGAGGAGAAGTGCGGAGGAGTCTGGAGAAGAAGGATGTGTGACAGGAGTTTGATAGAGGGTTGGCGTGTGGTCGTAGGACTTCAAGTCAGCGACCGAGGAGGATCTGCCAAAAGATTGACAAGGCTGTGATGATGTTGACGATCGATATGCAAAAGAAGCATTTTCGAAGCCTGCTGACAGCCCATGCGTCTGGGGGAGTCTCACTTTGAATCCTGAGGTCAAGCAAAGATGCATCCGAAATCCTTTGTTGTACCGAAGAAACAATCAAACAGTAGCGCAAGAGATGTTGACCTCAACTGACCCACCTCATCTTGGTTAATTTGTAGTCGTCTAGGCAAAGTTGGTGTGTCTACTTGCAAGTTCTGACAAGTTGCAGGCGCCTTCACAAGAGGCGTCTCAACAGACGCTGCCATCGATGGGCACTGGGCAGGCTGCAGTAGCAAGAAATGAACTCGGGGTTGAGTTGACGGCCTTCCCGCCTGCATGATGGATCATGGCTGACCTGGCGTCTGGAATGCTGCATGGTGGGATTGAGACGGCATTTGTTGGCAACACGAAGGAAACGAGCAGGTCAAAGCCACAATCTAGCCACCGACGCCACATGACAGGCCAACACCCCGCCAGACGACGCGGCTCGCGATGGCTGCGTCACTTGATCCTTGTTTCGCTCCCGCATCTTCATCGACGAAAGCGTGGTGGAGGCATCAAATCGACGCCCTTGAGCCAAAGACACGGGACATATCAAGGTCAAGCTTCTCGTGAAGATGCGGATTGGTCGTAGGCGTGGTCGTGCAGGGCTTTGCACCCGTTCCTTTGCATCAAAGTGGCATGGAACTAAACCTGTTTCGCCGTTGAACTGTTGTGATGCAGCACAAGCCAGCTCGAAGAAGCTTCATCGACGTCATCCGCATACCTTGATTTCTATTAAAACAAGTCCATTGTGCTTCCTTCTTCAGTCTCCAGACAACTCACTGTCGCGTTTTATTCCAGTACATTCTCCACAAACTAATTCTTGACGATCTTGAAACAGCACACCATAGTAACGACCCCGATTTACGACAATCAACATGGAGAAGCTCAAGAAGATCTTGTATGTGCTATCTTACTTCGGCAACTACCACAAGCTTGCTAACGATTCTCGACAGTTCTCCCGGACACGAAAAGGACGAAGACGTCATGTATAACGACCCTAACACCAGCAGCAGCTCTACCACCCGCGAGAGCGCCACGCCCACACAGCACGGTCTCGAGAGCTCGACCGGAAAGAACACAGACCTCAGACACAACGTCCTTGACCCTCAGAGCAACGTCAATTCCAGACCAAACCCAGCAGCTCACGTTTCATCAGCTTCGACCATTCCTGATGATGCCAGCACTGCCAGCATTCGTTCAGGTGTCGTCGGCGCTGGCCAGGAGCCTCCGTCAACAGTAGCAGGCACTGGCTTCAACGACTATGCTAGTGGTCTTGCACCCCAGCAGAAGATGCCCATCAGAAGCGTTACCCCTGTTGGACAATCTCGTCCCAAGGCTGCGCCAATGGAGACTATGGATCCCAGAGGTTTCGTGACGAGCTCACATGCACACAAGGGTGCTGGACACAACTACCAGGGCGACCCCTGCCCAGAGGGCGACGAGCCTTTCGTTCCCGGCTATCCTCACCACCAACAGGGCCCCCACAGTACCGACATTGCCAACAGACTCGACCCTCACGTGCCTGGCGAGTTCCCTTCAGACGACGGTCTTGATGCACATGAGCGCAGAAGAGAAGGCGGTCTGACATCAGGCTCTGCACTTGGCTCTGACGACTACTCAACTCAGCAACGCTCTGGTGTCTTGCCAGGACAAGGTGGCTCCACTGCAGACTCCACCTCTAGCCACCACGGAAGAGATGCAGCTCTTGGAGCAGGTGCCGGAGCTGCTGGACTTGGTGCATACGAATCTCTCAAGCACCGTGATCAAACATCCGAGCCCAACACCTTCAACCAGACTTCGCAGCCAAGTGCTTACAACAACCAGAGCTCGGCTGTCGTGTCTCCCTCGACCACTGACCGCTCCTTCCCTCTCAGCAGCCACCCAACCGACGCCAGAGCTGCCAACACTTCCACCGCCCAACCCATCACAAGAGATGCTACATCAGACACTTCTAGAGACCACCACCTTGGTAGAGATGCTGCCCTGGTCGGAGGTGGACTTGGCGCTGCTGGTTTGGGTGCACACGAGTCTGGCTCTCACAGACCTAGCCGTGAGATCGAAGGCTACGATGACCAGCGTTTCGACCCCTCTGCTGCCTCTGGTGACAAGCCTACTCGCATTCCCAACCTGATGTACGGTCACTCAGACAACACAACCCGCTCTGGGCCCTCCGATTCAACCAACCACGGTAGAGATGCTGCTTTGGCCGGAGGTGCTGGTGTTGGTACCACTGCCGTTGTTGGTTCTGGCCTCCATGGCTACAACCACGGCGGACGCACTGAGACCGACCCTGCTTCCAAGACCATCGGTCCTCACAAGAGCAATGTCATGAACGTCTTGGACCCTCGTGTTCAGCCTGAGCCTGAGAAGATGAAGGACCGCGAGACTTCTGGCCCCTACAGAAGCGATGCCATGAACACCCTTGACCCTCGTGTCAACTCAAAGCAGACTGAGCAGTCGCACCTTGGCCGTGACGCTGCAGTTGGTGCGGGAGCTGCCGGAGTCGCTGGAGCTGGCGCTTACGAGTATGGTCAGCACCGTGCTGGTGCTACTCAGCAAGACCCTGCTAGCTACACCACTGGTCCTCACTCGAGCAACCTAGGCAATGTTGTCGACCCTCGTGTCCAGCCTCAGCCCGAGAAGATGCACGATAGGACTACCACTGGCCCTCACCAGAGCAACATGATGAACCGCGCAGACCCTCGCGTGGACTCTGATCTCTCCCAGCAGAACAAGGAGCATCACTACGGTAGAGACGCAGCCTTGGCTGGTGGAGCAGGTGCCGCTGGTATTGGAGCTTATGAATATGCACAGCACCGCAACGGTCCTAGCGATGGTCTCACTGCTAATGTGGTCGACCCGAACCATGACCCAATCCTTGAGCAGCAAAGACTTGAGCGTGAACGCAACTTCAACGCTGGCCTGACCGGTGGTGCCTCCGGCGCCGGCGTCGGTGCTCTCGGACATGGCAAACAGCACACCCCTAGTGACAACCTCGGCAGCTCTCCTTTCGACCCTCGATCAACTAACACCTCAAGCATTGTGAACCCGAGCACCGATCCCAGTCTTGCACAGCAGACTCAAGGCCACCACTACGGTAGAGATGCCGCAGTGGCCGGCGGAGTGGGAGCTGCGGGCGCGGGTGCCTATGAGTATGGAAAGCACCACGACAACAACGCAGGCCAGAACATTGGATCATCTACCTTTGATCCTCGTAGCACAAACACCTCCAATGTTGTAGACCCTAGCACCGATCCTACACTCGCACAACAAAAGCAAGGACACCACTACGGTCGTGACGCTGCTGCCGTTGGTGGTGTAGGCGCCGCAGGTGCAGGTGCATACGAATACGGCAAGCACCACGGCGGCGCTACCGACAGCAACCTCGGAACTTCCACTTTCGACCCTCGCTCTACAAACACCACCAATGTTGTGGATCCCAACAACGACCCTCTGCTTGCTCACCAAAGACAGGAGCGTCAGGGACACCACCTCGGCCGTGATGCTGCCATCGCTGGCGGTGCTGGCGCAGCTGGCTATGGTGCTTACGAAGCTCTTGATCCCAAGGAACAAGAGAAGCTCGCAAAGCACCAGGCAAAGGAGGCCGAGAAGGCTCAGAAGGCACAACAACACCAGTTGGACAAGGACCAGAAGACTCAGCAGCACCAAATGGACAAGGACCTGAAGCATCAGCAAAAGGAGCGCGAGCATGAGATTGCCAAGCAAGAAAAGGCCGCTGCCAAGGACCGCGAGCATGAGCAGAAGAAGGTCGCCGCCGCCGCAGCAGCCGCTCACGAGAAGGAAGAGAAGAAGCACAAGCACGATCTCGAGAAGGCCGAAAAGCAACGCGAGAAGGAGGCTGACCGATCCGAGAAGGAAGCCGAAAAGGCAACCAAGGAGAACGAGCACCCGGAGAAGAAGCACCACTCTCTCCTCGGCTTCCTCCACCGCGACAAGAAGAACGAGCCCGAGGCTGATCTCGTCAATCAAGGTCGTCTCCAAGAAGCCGATATCGTCGCTCACGAGCGTCATCAGCGCGAGCTTGAAGCTGCCGCAGCCAGAGGACAAGTGAGCAATGCAGGCGCTAAATTCGAGCCCCCACTCGAGGAGCAGAGAGAGAACCCTCTGGCTTCTGCCCCTCAGTACTCCAGTATCGATGAGAAGGGTCATCAGACCGTTTCCACCGATACTTCTGGACGCCACCGCTTGCACAAGGATCCTCCTGCCAGTGTGCTCAAGGAGCGCGGTCTTGACAGTGATCAACAATCTTACGGCAGCGGTAGTGGTAGATATTAAGTTTGGTTTCAGATAATAAATGATAGTTGTCCGGTGTTTCGCGGTTTACATGATTAATGGTTTTATTATCTTTTGTGTCTCTATGAAGTCAATTGCAAATGGGATATGTTTATCACAATGAACATCTTTGATTTGGTCTGATCTGGTGTTTTGTAAAGAATCGGTGTGAACTTGAAACGCTCGTTGAGTTCAGAAGCTTTCGATGAAGTTGTAAGCCTTTTGATGAAGGAGTGAGGCAGTGAGCAGACCGACGCTCGGTGTCAAAACTTATACTTTTGTATACGTACACCTTTTTGAAAGGGATGTCGATAGCGCTTCCAAAAGTCTGTAGTTTGCATCCGTCACACAAATGATATAGCGTTGATCTGTCCCGATCCTTGTGTTTCTGGGAAAGACTATATACCTGCTAAGGGTCTTATAGAAAGAAAAGATTGCAAAATGTCTTAATCTAGATATTTGTTATGTGGTAAGAGAAAAGTACACTGGTGGGTATTTGGATACCTTGTATGTGCCTGATATATCATGACGCGGGTTCCGCTGTCTCCTCGCAGACCCAATATGCTCTCTGTTGGAACGAATCACGTACGTTACATTTCGGCATTCACGAGAGTGGGCCTTTGACATCCTTTGCTCGTGTTTAGGTCATGGTCTTGGGTGCTTTTTAATGGTGAAGCTGACGAGGGATGGGAAAAATCACGGCGTTGAAAAAAGGGAGACATTGAACTTGTTTTTGCATTTGTTTTTTTGGGACGGTGATTTAGTGTCAGAGTTATGCTGTTTAGTGCTGCGTACTGAATCATTTGTTGATATGTTTTAATGGTTGGGTGTGGTGTGAGAACCATATCGTCGATGAAGTCAGGGTGATACGCTCGGCAAGAAAATCTTGGAGCCGAAAAATGGAAGACGTGTGGCCTGCGTTTTGTGCGCATATCGACCTTGCACTCCATCACTCGTGGTCGCAAAGACCTCAGGCATGCTTTCGAATATCTTCCCGAGCGTCAAGTGTATGTGGCTATTACGTTTGCAGTGCCGCCCTTTGTTCGTATCGTGTTTCATTTTCGTGTGGTGATGTGGTGTGAATCTGCGATGGTGGCTCAAATGGCGGGAGCAGCATTCTCCTCCTCGGTCTGAACAAAGGGGTTTGCGATTTCTTCGCTGCCGTCGAGAGGGGAGATGAGGACGAGTAGGGTTCCGCGTGCGACTAGGAGACCGAGGGGTCTTGATGAGGTGTTGCCTTCGTCGTCTGTGATACTGATTAGTCTGCTGATATTTCTTTGGCGGTTGGGATGGGCAGGGAGGGAGATAGTGAGAGAAGGAAGTCGTATGGAAGGGAAGGGTCATTGGGATGGTGGATAGTCATACCGCGTGTGATTTCCTTGACGTCGTCCAAGACCAAGTTCATCAATTGATCGTAACCCTTGAGTGTGCCAGTAACTGTAATTCTCATCGTCAGCATTTGCTTCCTCTCATGTCCGTTGTCGACATGGAAGCTTCTTTTCCCATTCCACTTCTTCGCGCAAACCATCTCTTTCTTGCATTCTCACTCACCCTCTCTGCCTCCACTGAATTTGACCTGAATCTCCTTGTCCATGTACTTGTTCAAGTCCAGAATATTTTCCTTCTTGGGGCGCGGTGTCTCGCTGTCGTTTTGGTTGTTGTTTCTGTTGTTCTGGTGTTGGTTGTTGTTGCCACCTCTACCACCGCCACGGTTTCCTCCTCTTCCTCCGCGTGCGCCGCCGCGGAATTGACCGCGTTCTGACATTGTGTGTGATTGTGTTGTGTTGGTGTGTGAGAGCTGGTGGATGAGCAGCTTTGGTAGGATCTGACGTAGAGTTGCGATTTGGCGGAGAGGGCTACGGCGGAGAGATTGGGCGGAATGGAGGGTGAGGAGTGGAGGGGTGGAAGACGCGGTGGGGGCGCGTGCGTCACTTCCGCTCCGCGATTGCGGTGGAACTTGCGGCTTTTTTGGACCATCGCGTTGCCGTGATTGCCAGGTTATGATTTTGGAGGCGGACGATAGTGTTTGAATTGTGGTGACATAGGCTTCACCATGTGGTATGCGGCTGATAGGGGATCTGCTATTTCCGTGGACAGTGATTCGAGGCCTTCTAAACCGATACAGAATCTCGCTGTTCGCCTAAGCCGAGTCCGCTGTCATGGATGCACGTGAGATGGAAGTTGAATGCATGAGATGACAGCCATACGTAGTCTTTCTAAATACTGATAGCATTGCGCAATGTGCCATTGTTATTCGACGCAGAGCGTAGATATCGATGAGTCCTTTCATATCGGGTTTTACTTTCGCCATGGCAGATGCACCTTCCATGTAGGGATCAAGGTCCCTGGAGGCGTTCGATGTACACCGCTCCGCCGGCATGAAACGAGGACAATCGTATACGCGGCCTCTGACGAATGCACTCTAGCGACCTTTACAATCTAGACTGTAGTCTGTCGACTGCAGGCGGGAGCAGTGCCGAGGTGAATGGCCGTCCATGATTGCCAAGGCCTTTGGAATCACAGGGTGTTAAGTATTGGCAGCATTGGCGGCAGCGACAATCTTCGAAGCTGACCAAGCGACGGTGCAAGTCGAACAAACACGCTATCGACAAGGCAGTCTGACCTTTCCTCGCGTTGACATTTCGCGACTGAAATCGCCAGCGTCCACCGCTACCTGTCTCCCACCGCGCACCACCCACCGCTGTCCGCGCTGACCTGACATGTCCGAAGCCGCTCCGCCCACCGACTCCCGCGGCCTGGGTATGTAAATGCTCTATACCAACATTCAAATACCAAGCTAATTCATGTAGCCTTGAATCCCGGTGGCGCAAAGCGTAAGAGAAGTCCTTCTTTGACCGCGAACCAAGGACTAGGAATCGCTCAGAACAAAGCACCCAAGACTGGCAATGTGAGCAGTCAGCTGCAGATCAACTACATTGCGAGACAATGTATCGACGACCTTCCCTTCATCTCCAAAGATGACACCCTTCCTGGCATGCTCGATGTCTTGTCATCGTATACCCAAGTTCTGGACCGCCATGAATCCCTGGCTAGCAACCTAGGAGCCCGACCTCTAGGACCCATCCTGATCAAACGCTTCGAACGCTGCTTCGATGCGCCTCCTCGTGTCATAGCCCAGCACTCGCATGCTCGCGATCAAGACCTACCTCAAGTGACATGGCTTGATGTCGTACACTTCGCCCAGGCACACCCGTCTCAGTTCACTCTCTCGACCTTCAGCGAGGGCCGTCGCGTCTGCCAATTCTACTATCCGCAGAAACAGGTTCGCGTACAGATCTCAGAGGAAGACTTCCTGTTCATCAACAGCGGAAGATGCCAGGATCTTATCCCACCGCTTCCCATCTGGGAGGATGAGGAGAAAGAGGTGGCCACATGTGAATTGGTCGAGAAGGCCTTGAGAGACCTGACTGCGGCTGCCGATTCGGTCGCTGCTCGCACTCGCCAACTAGCACATCGTCTTAAGGGGAGGAGAATGGCTATCCTGGAACGTCGGTCTGCTGAGGAGACACACAACCAAGAAGTACAGCAGCAGGCATTACATCCGTCCTTCGTCTCAGTCAACAACAATCAGCAAATGCAGCAACCTCCGCAGCAGAACCAGCAGCACCCTCCACAATCGCCTGAGAAGGTCGACCCCGCCCTGCACATTCGCAACGACCTTCTCAAACACTTTCAGTCTCTACCTAAACAACTGCCACATCAAGCAGACAACCGCCGCATCTCTTCCATCCAACCACAACCACAATCGCCTCCCTTCCAAACTCCGCCCAACTTCGCCCAACAAGCGCGCCCTCAACAGCTCGAATCTGCCTCTACCTCTGTCTCACCCGTCCCCACCACCGTCGCCGCCCTCGCAGCCGCCGCCGCAGCCCAAGCGAACGCCTACCGTGATGAATCACCAAAAGACCAACCCCGCCACAACTTCTCAAAACCCCTTCCGCCAGCACAAGAAGTTTCGCAACCATACCGCGCCATCTGTCAAGCACATATGGAGAGCCTTCCACGTAGTTCCCGCGTCATGCCACCCTGCGACCGTTGCAGACGACTCAAAATGGATTGTTTGAAAAACCTGTCCAGTTGTGGTGGATGCACAAAGAAACACGCTCGATGCCATTGGAAAGAGGTATCACGCGAAGAAGTCCAAGGTCTCGAAGGATTTGAAGATGCCGAACGCCTCGCTCTTGAATATGCCAATGGCGGCGGCAGACGTATGAGTGTGGGCGTTGGCGATTACGCAGCTTCGGACACGAGTATGGATGTCGATGTGCGCAGTCCCTACGACTACGCAACTTCCAATTCTACACCTGCAAACCAATTCCGTCAGAATCAGGGATATGGAGATATTCAGCAACAGCATCAACAATCACCATATCCGCCCCCTCAACCCCCACAACAGCAGAGAAACGACTATGATGATCCGAATAATATCAACTACCGCGGCAACGTCCAAAGAAACGCTTTTCCCGAAGACTTGACGCAGCAGAATCAACATCAACAACAACAGCAACAACCTCAACATGTAGATCGAACAATGGATCTCCTCCGCGTCCTCGGAAACCACAACAACGGCATCAGCACCCCCACCACCACCGACCAACAATCCAGAAACAATGGTGCTTTCAGAGCTGGTTTCGTCGCTGCCAATGACACCCCCTCCACTCCCGTCCCTGCGAACAACATGAGCACTGGAAATATGAACGGAAGCGCCAACATCAGCAACCCAGAAACCGGAGAAGGTCAACGAGCGTAGACCGCTCAAGACCAAGTTTTTCAGACCGCCAATGAATGCTTTTCATCTCGCTATGGAAAATGGCGAGGAAGTTGCCAGGCAATTGAGGATAAAGAAGATTTCGATGGAGAGGTATGGACGATTGTAGTGTGCTTTTTTCGTGCATGAGAGGTGTAGGAGGGCGTTCTTGCCTTTCATGGTCCATTGTAGTGGAAAGTGGTTTAGCTGTCGTAGATGGGGGTGGGGAAAGGCCTAGAAGGATTGGACTGGACCGAGATGAACAAGATACGGATGACCTGTTGATAGCTATGTGGGTCATGCTGCTGCCTGGGACATACATTTTTGTCAAGTCGTCCTGAGTGTGGAAAATGAAATGTGACCTCTTGTTGATTTTCAATAACTCCATGTCAACATTAGCCTTTCAACCAAACATCATATCCTCCTCCTCCTCCTCATCGTCCTCCCTTCCCAACCCCATCCTAAACCCCTCAAGATCAAACGTCTTCCAAGCCTTTCTCCCCTTCTCAACAACAACACAATTCCTCCTCCCCGTCCTTCCATTAGCAACAACCCAACCAGGCACCCACCCCTTTTCAAACCTCTTCGCCACCAACCCCTTCTCTTCCATCTCTTCCATACTCCTCCATTCGAATCTAAAGTCCTCGGTTTGAGATCGATAAGGTATACAGAGCAAGTAGTGGAAATCTTCGTAGGTGAAGAGGCAGAGAAATGTTTCATCATCTAGGAATTTTAGAGCTGTGATTTGAGATGATGGTGAGGAAGAAGAAGCTGGGAGGCCGATTCTTCTCCATCCGGTTCCTGTTTCGCCGGATAGGCCTGCGGGACCTATATGATGGTGCCATAGTGCGATTTCCACGATTTCATCATCGTCGTAGGTAGCCTTACTCGGCACACCTAGGACGAATGTTTCGAAATGCTGGGGTGAGGCTTCTAGCATACGGACGTCTAGGTGAGATTGGACGGAGGAAGTGGCGGTGGTTCTGCAGGGTATGTCCAGGGTTTGTGGTTTTGAGCTTTGTTGCCAGAGAGTGATGTGTTGATGGGCGGATTTACAGACGTGGGTGAGGTGGGAACTCCATAAGTGTAACGAAAGTAGTTTCTCGCTTTCGGCGTCGGTTTGACCGGTTCTGGCTGAGTGGATGCAGCTGATAAGATCTTTGGTTGTTGGCTGCTGGGAAGCCTCGATTTCAGGAGTGGAGAAGACGATTGCCTTCAAGCGGCTCTTGGTCAATCCACCTTCGAGATATGCTAATGTGTTTGAGATATCCAGTTGTGGTGTCTCGCGCTCGGCCATATCTTTGGCGCTCAACGAGTCTGGATCGGCAGCTGCGAGATCAATTTGGTGTCGCAGCCATTTGGAGAAAGCACGGAATTGTCTTTGCTCTCTTCCAAGTATCTGCACTGTTTCGTGAACAAGAAGCTGAAGGGATGATAGAGTTGCAAGGATAGAGGTGAAAACTTCTGGTGGTACGTTGAAGTGAGGTGTGTCCGAGTAGTAGCGGGCCAGGCCTCGAAGATTTGTCGCGACAACAGCACTGCGTTCGAGGACAGGTAGGAGGTTAGTGTGCAAGATCTTGGAGAGTTCTGTGTATAATGTCGTCATTGCGTGATCCCATCTCTTATGACCACGCTCTGCCAATTCATCGCGCAGCCATTCCAGAATCGTTGGTGTAAAGTTCCCAGTCATAGCGAGGTGGTACAGATTGTCTTCCAGAACACCCTCGCCCTTCTCCTCCAGTGTCTCGTTGATCATCTCCATAAATCTCGAGGGCAGATTGGTATGTGTAGTCCAGTCGCTTTTGGCCGATACAATGCTGCACGAGATGTAACCACACAGATCGCGAAGCTGTGCTGTCTGTGAGACAATCAGATGCAGATGTGATCCGCCAGATGACATGAGCGGAATATCAAACAGACTCAGCTGGAGGTTCTTGTGGCCGGGCTGGGAGACATCAGAGAGTATATCATCAGGCTCTGCTCGTAACAAAGCATGAAGCTTTGATCGAGGATGAGATGTGTATGATAGAGGCACGAGAGCATGCGGTGTTTCCTCTTCCTCTTCCATAGGCCACATTATATCAGCACCTGGGTAGTCTGGTGTATACTTGATCTCGAGAATGTCGTCGACCGTGACTCTATTTCTGCCACCTGCGTGGCCCACAAACATGACATCTGCTGCAAGGCGATCCTTTCTTTGCATCGAATCAAAGTAGTCGTCTAGAGCAGCTTGCGTGGAGAACATGTCGTATCGGCCGCTTGCAGTATGCCGAGTAGGAATGGGGCTGAGTCGAGGTAATACAGACTCAACATCGAGGTATGCTAATTGTCGAGGTAAATCTTTTAGCAATGCTTCTTGCCCTTGCGCTTCCAGGTCATCGTCCCCATCGTCTGTTTGCGGCCTATCTTCATGCTTCAATCCGAGGCGAGTCCAGAGGCCATCAATCATGGACTGATCTAATCCAGATTTTGATGATTTCCTCGTGTTGGCCGTCTCTCGTGTCAGTACTGTCCCCCAGCCTAGACAAGTGATTTCGCCGCGAGTCGTCTTGGACTTGGGATTTGCGGCATCGATGCTGAAAGGATCATCACCGCCATGTCTGATGACTTTGCCAGTTTCTCCGGAAACAATGTCCACATAACCGGTATTGAGAGCGACAGCCAGGCATTTACCTGCTTGCGTCAAAATTGTTGGTCAAGCTTGGTAAGTCCAGAAAACGAACCATCACGTATCCATTCGAGGCCGACGATAGTTGTAGATGGGCTCTTTCTTTTGACAACGAAAGCACGTTGACCACCAATGCGATAAATCTCGATCACTTCATCCTGGGTGACAACCGCAAGTAGATCTGTCCGCGGGCAATAGGCGAGGAGGTGAGGGTTGATCGCATAGGACAAGACTTTCTCTGATTGTACCGAAAGACGAGGCTTTTCGGCCATCATGTTAGTTCATTCAACCTTTCGATTGCATCAAATGTTCTTGTTGAGTTGGTGACATATTTCGTCAATGATTGACTTGCTGGAAATGGTTGTTTACATCCAGACTTCAATGTCTTGGCACACGAAAATGGCAGTCGCGAATGGAAATAGTGGATAATCAAGCACGCAGTCAATCCTACATATCGTAATATCACATGTACAGGATTAAGTTGAAGAATGAGGAAACAAAATCTGCTGGGATAATAGCCAATACTCGTTCGCTTTTCGTGACACAATCTAATTACGCCTGACCCAACCAGATCCTTTAAACCACCAGGTATCCATCCGCCACCGACTTGATGTCCTTTGAGAAAGAAACGTCTTGGCCCATGTTCAAAAGAGTTACCGATGATACCTAAATCTATGTCAGCAAGGTCCGAATGTATAAAGTCAGTATTACTCACATCAACATCAACATATGGTCTAGTCTTTGCGAAGCGGACGCTCATGGGGAAGAACTCAGCCTCGCTCTCTGCTTGAGCCTCAAACTCGAAACTGCCGGTTGCGTTGGTATCGTCGACATCGCCGATAGTCCAGTCAATGCTGTCACCAGAAACCTCGTACACAGCATCGAAGCTAGAGACAGAAGGCTCGCTGGTTTGGTAGGGTATCGAAACAGTAACATCGTTCAATGCATCTCCACCAGTAAGCTCGTATTCCAGGGTAATGTTGTAAGTGCCAGATCCAGTCTCGTTTACCCAAGCGGTAAATGTAATGGGAGGATCGCTGATGTCCTCAGCCTTTGCAGCCAATCTCCAACGCATGACACCGATAGAGTTGTTTGCGGGGAATCCTTTTGAAGTGTCGGTGAGTTGGATGATCTTGTCGTTCTTGAAGGCGGTCTTATCGACCTTGGGATGCGAGTTGAGCTGTGCGCCGTGGGTGTCGCCCAATGCAAGAGCGAGTTGAACTTGTGTGAGAGAGGGATCGGTGATGCGAAGCTGGAGGTCACCCTTGACTTCGAAGGACTCGAGGGAGCCTTCTCGGCTGAGTTTGGCCGAGATGGTCTCGGCGACTGTGATATGGATGCCATCGCGATCGGAAGAAGTGGCAGGGGCGGCGGCTTGGACAGGAGCGCTGGCAGCTGGTGCTGAGGGAATAAGAGGGGCCTCTGCCTCGGGACCGAGATCCCCACGGACTTGCTCGAACATGGATGTCGTCTTCGTCTTCTTTCCAAGCTGCATACCCTTGCTTCTGGCGGGGAGCGACTTTTGGAAGGACTTGTTCTTCTCCGCGTTGTACGAGTCGTAGGTATCGGTGACGGCTGGTTGAGTAGGCGGCGGGGTGTAGGTGGGATATGAGGGAGCGCTGGGCATGTTGCTGCGACCAGAACGGGTGGCTTCCTTGCGCTGCATCTCGAGTTGCTTGGCCTTTCTCTTGCGCTCCTCGGTGGCTTCAAGTTCCTTGTTCTGTGTGCTGCGTCAGTATGCGACCAGCTGCGAACGAGAAGCATCGGACGAACTCTTGAAATGATGTCTTGAATACGCTCCTCGTGCGATTCCATGTCGAGGAAGGTCTTGATCTGACTCAGGGTGAGGTTCTCGCGGTAACCCAGAGTGACAAGCTCATCGAAAGCACTGAGAAGCTCAAAGGCATTGCGCAGAATCTCTCTCTCGTCCAAGCTTCTGCAGATGCTGGTAACAACCTGTGCGAAGAGGTGTAGCGAGTCGATGTCCTGGAGAATGTTGGATTGGCGGTTGGTGATGAGGACCATGTATAGCTCGTCAAGGGGCTGGTAGACGAAGCGGACATTGTCTTGCTCGACTGTTGTGTGCTGGGTACCACTGTCGGCGAGCTTAGGGAAAGAGGCGAGAAGACCTTCGATTCTGGATCGCTGCATCTCACGGAATTGACGTGAGAGGACGGCCTTGCCGCCGCGCGTGCAGATGGATGCTGCCAAAACGACCTATACCATTGCATTAGCTGTTGATGTGCTTGATGTCACGAGTGGGGGCTGTTCAATCACCATTGTGAAGAGTGTCAGATAGGCTAGATGGGAGTATGAAGCCTCGAGACAACGAGTGGAAAAGTATGGTATAAGCTCGTTGTTATTCGGGACCTTAGTTGTCCTCTCCTAAACTTCCCCACGCTCTTGCTCCTGCCTGGCCAGCGATTCGTCGCTCCGCCAAGGGAAGAGCGCGCCAAGGCTCCGCGGCCACTTCCGCCGCGCTCGAATTCGCGAGCAATTGCGGCCTGGCCGTTTTCGTCTTCAGCTTGTCTCAGCAGCCCGACTTCTCTCTTTCTCACAAACACTTCGTGACGCGAGAACGAACAGCACACTTTGGACCTTCACGCTCTGTACCTGCCGATAATACCAGCACGAAATCTGCTTATATCACCTCATTCCTGTTCAAGATCCTTGATCCTTCCGCAGTTTCCGCGCATCTGCATGTGCATTCGTGTGGCAAGCCGCTAGCCGTGTTCCACCACCCTTTCACAAGCCCGGCATTCCTTTGTTCTCTGCGCACAACACACAGCCCCTTGCCGACTTCTAGTATTACCTTCGCTGCTCCTCTCAGCCGTTATGGCTACCGCTCTCCAACCCACCTTCGGCCTACAACAGCCTGAAGATTCCATGGAAATCTCATCCGAATACGGCAACATGGACGCAGACATCGACATTGATCTTGACGCCCCCGACGCCGTCGACACAAACATGCAATCTTTCCAACAGCAATCCTTTCAGCAAGACGACCATCACATGCAAGAAGACCCAAAGTCTGACCGCCTGGACGACGATCTCATGATTGACGACTCCAACCTTGATGACCCAGACCGTATCATGCAAGACGATGCGCCAGTGCCCCAAGAGCAAGACGAGGAACTTCTAGATTTCAGTGAAGACGAAGAAGACGTTCCCATGAACCCGGCAGAACACACCGAGCCCGAGAGTCACCTAGAGCCTCAATATCAAGCACCCATCGAGCAGTCTGCTCCTGTTGAAGAGCCTGTCGAACACGTCCAATCAGCGGTCGCTTCTGAACTTCTGACCAAAGGTGTTCAGCCTGTTGACAACACAGCAACCCAAACAGCAGACACCCAGCAACAGTCTGAAGCACAACAACCCATTCGCGACCAAGACGCCACAAACGAAAAACCCGAAAATGTCGCTCAAGCACAATCCACACACGAGGTAGCTTCAGAGCCCCAGCCTGAAACCCAAGAAGAGGCGCAGCCTTCCCCTGCTGCGGACTCTGCCGAACAGACAAAGCCATCCGCCCATGAGACTGTCATAGAGTCTACTGAATTCCCTAACGCAACAAATGACAACGTCGACGAGAGCGCACACGCCGCTCACCCCACCGAAAATGAGCACAAAGAACAAGGTAATGACAATGTCGAAACTGGTGTCGCTCAGGAAGCCGATGAAGAATCCTTCCAACCCTCTCTGACCCGTCAAGAGACCGATCTCTCAAACTACACCGTTCCGGAAGACTATTCTCGTGAGAGACAGGCCAACTCACCCACCGTGACTGGTCTGCACCCTACCATAGTCGAGTATCAGGAAAACGAGGTCTATCTCTTCCCTTCGAGAGACCCTGCTGTGCCTGAGCAGTACCTTCTGCAAAACGAGAATCTCGTGACCACTAGCCTTGGCGATTTGCTGCAAGCTTGCCGCACTGCTCTTGGTGATGGCATAAGTGAAGACGAAGAGCTGGTCCTTGGCGTCGAGGAGTTGGACCTCTATGTGAGCGAAGTAAGTTTTGAACATCTCGCTTTCTCTTCATACACAGCCACTAACAACGTTCACCAGGACTCGACACCCGCCTTTTCCACTAGCTTTTCCGAGCTACTTGACATGTATCTGCAACTCCACAGGCTTGACGGCAATGACAATCCTCCGCCATTCCGTGTATCATTGACTACTAAAACAAGATTCAGCAACCGTATGGCTGCAATCACACAGGCTATTTCCGAAGGCAAGGGCTTCTCTCAGCTCTCCTTCTTACAATATTACGAGTATGACGAACCGACCGAATTGCCTGATGAGGACTTTGACGATGACTTTGACGAGCTCGCCAAGCCCGATGAACAACAGCATTTGATCGAGAACGGCAGACAAGCTGCCACCGAGGAGGAACACACGACTGAGGACCATCCGGCTCCTCAAGCTGAAGAGCAACATCATGAACAGACCGACCCTGCCCAACACGTAGAGGGCCAAGTGGGTGAGTATGAGGGTGAATCATCGGTTCAGCATGATGCGCCCGCCGATGCAGTCGACCAATCCGAGTACACCCAAGATGAGACTCAGTACTTCGATGCCCAAGGAGATGAATCTGAGTTGGTTGGCGAGACTGGTCAAGACGATCATTCTTCTGCCGCGCCTCACTCTACGACTGGCGATGCAGGGGCTGTAGTGCGAGATGAAGTTCACCACGATGAACAGAGCCATGATGATAATGCTCAGCATGATCAGGCTTCCGAGCATGTCACCCAAGAGGAAAGTCCTGAAGAGCCGGCCGAAATCGAGCAACAACATGCCAACGGCGAAGAAGAATCCCTGTTCGGCCAGGGCGAATTCTTCGATGAGAACTACGATTACCAGGACGGTGAAGTAAACGAAGTTGAAGATGCACATGCCCATGAAGAGCAAGTGGTGGACGATGACAGCCACTTCCCAGCAGAGGAAGATGCTGAAGCTTCTGCCGCCGAGGCACAACATGATCCCGTCGCGACTTCGTCCGAAGGACCTGCCCAGGCTCAAGTGTCCGAGACCGAAGACGGCAGCGCACAAGATGCCGAACAGCTCAACGTTGCTGATGAGTTGGTCACTGAAACCGAACCAGTTGCCGAGAACGGTAGTACTACGGCCGATACTATTGTCGGCCAAGCTACTGCCAAACGTCACTCACCCAGAGTTGAGGATGACGATTACGAAGAGATCAACTTTGACGACGAAGACGAAGAAGGCTATGGGGATGATGGCGCCGGACTCGCGCCGGTACTTACCAATACCTCAAGTAAAGCTTCGCCTGGAGGCAAGCGCTCGTTCTCCGAACTCGATCAAGTCGATGATGAGCAAGACAACAAGAAAGCACGAGCTTCATGAGTGTTTCCCATCTCAACATGGGTTGTGACTTTATACCAAAACGTCAAGGAAAATCCTATCAAGGATGTGTTGACTCTGATCGATGATGTTGATTCCTGGAGATGACATCAACGGTTCAAGGCAAGACGGAACGCTGTTTCCGCCTGATTTTCTTACCTCCACCCCTTTCGCCTTTGTTTTTCAGCATTACAACCAAAGGGTCATCTGCTAACCTACAGTGCCGGATCAAAATACTAACCATACCTAATGATCACAAGCCAGGTAAGACGCGAGGGCTCTGCCCTGACAGTATTTGATATCCTGTGGATATAGTAATGCAGCACGGACGAGAGAGGAGAGAAAAAGCGTGGTTTCATTTTGGGTTGATGGAGTTCTGGGAGCATAAGGCGCTGCATTCGTCCGATCCCTCTGGCCGGTTTCATTTGCGATTCGCGAAAAAAGGATACCCCCTTGTTGTTTCTGCTTCACCACTTTTTTCCCTTTCACACCTTCCCTCCGACATAGCAAACAGTTAAGAGTAGTCAATGCAACTTTCCAATCTTCGTCCTGATCCTACTGACGTCAATGAGGAGAGAGACGTGAGACCATGCTTCTTGCCCGAGACGAACCATTTTCACAGTTGCCTGAGACGAATCATTTTCACGAAAGACAACAGTCTGTACCAGCTCATATTGCTTTCTCAATACTGTTCTCATATGCTCTGCTGACTGGCTCCAATCATGACCCATTCTAATCCTCCTTTCTCTTCTCATCACCCTCACCCACCCCATCCAAAAAGTCCCTACAAGTCTGCACGATGATCTGATGATCCTGCTGCTGCTTCAGTCCACTGACCACAATAACAGCAACAACCCCTTCCACACCCTTGACTCTAACCGGAAACCCACCACCATGAATAGCATACTCCTTCGCCTTCTCCTGCAAACAATATTTTTCCGCAAAAGCCTTTTCATCACCCTGGAATTTATTATGCATATACCAAGTAGAAGTTCCAAATCTCAACACGGTAGCGCTTTTTCTGGCCACCCAATGACTGTTGTCGGGGGTGATTCCTGGGTGGACGGCTGTGTAGAATAAAGGTGTGCCGTTTGCTAGGGTGATTGAGATGACGGTTGGAGAAGGAAAAGTGGAGAGACGGCTGCGGAGGAGGCAGCCCAGTTCCCAGGCGTCGGGGACGGTGAAGGTGGGGAAGAGGATTGAAGTGTCGATTTGGGAGATTGCTGAGAGGTCGGTTGGGGGGTTTGTGAGGGGGTATGTTGAGTCGGTCATGTTTGCGTTTGTTCTTGTCGATTTCTGAGGCTGTTGAGGGTTGGTCGATTGTGGAGTGATTGATAGTTGGCTTGTGTGGAAGCTTGGTGTGGAAGAGCTGGTGTGGTTGGAGAGGGTTGTGGTGGACAATGGAAGTGGTTTGGACACGAAGACGGATTGTTGGTCAGTTCAACATTGATGAATGCGGGCATGTGCCATGCGACGCCATCCTCACCGCCTATGAATTGCGGGGCAGAATCAGAACCTCCGAGCCCATCGTTACGCGGCGTTGAGGGTCCTCTTATCCAGCGTGACACTCCCCGACTACCAGATGGCTCAAATTTTGACTGCAGGAATCCAGGAAGTTATTGGAATTGCAGATAGATTCAGTGAGAGCTTAAAAGCTTTAGACCTTTAGTAGATATCTCTATCTAGCGTAATTTCGTGAATCATTGTAGCAGCTTTATGGAGCCGCTTGTAGCTAGAGACAACCTCTAGATAAGCTTTGCCGTTCGGGAGCATATCCTCGAAAGCTCAAGCCCATGATTTTTTCTGAGCGTTCCGCCATCAACTTTTTGTGAACGACCGATATTTGCGCCCAATACCCAAAATACCCGCGACAATGGCACCTCTCGATGACGACTTCGTATTCACCATTTCCGACAACGAAGATGGCTTCGCCGACGAATTAGAAGAAACCGAACCGGCACCTACATCAAACAACAAGCGCAAGCGCGATTCAGACATCGCCCCTTCCAAAAAGGACAAGAAGAATAAGAAACAAAAGAAGAAGGCGCAACCGGAGCCCGAATCAGATGAGGAAGCAGCTATCGATGAGGACCTGGATCCGGAGTTCGAATTCCAGCTGGGCGATGGCACGACGGCGAATATGGAAGATTTCGATGGTTGGACTGCACACAATGCGCAAAAGAATGCTGGCAAGCGTTTAGTCGACATTGATGACATTATCGCCAAGAGGAGGCAGGAGCAAAAGACAGAGGATGGAGCAGAGGGAGGAGAGGAAGAGGACGAATTCGCTGGTCTGAGTGACGGCGAGGACGAGACATTAGCTGAGGACGCCTTCGGTATGGGTGCTGCTCCCGGAGTCGAGATCAACTCTGAAGACGAGGAGGATGACGAGGACGAAGAGAAGGGAAGCGACGACGAGAGCAATAGCGAGGCCGGTGAGGACTCTGATGACGAGTCCATTGCTGAGCATGTTCCTCACCCCGACGATGAACCATCAGACGACTCAGACGCTGAAGAGAAAGAAGATGCAGAAGAGGAGGAGAAGCGCGCCGCCTTCTTCGCTCCCGAGTCAAATATGGAGGGCGAGAAGGGTCCTGGAGCAAAGCCGGTAGGCTCGTTCCAGGAGCTTAGTCTGTCGCGTCCCATCATCAAGGGCTTGTCATCTGTCGGTTTTACCGCTCCTACACCTATCCAACACAAGGCTATTCCTGTTGCTCTGCTCGGCAAGGACGTTGTCGGAGGTGCCGTTACTGGTTCCGGTAAAACTGCCGCCTTCATCATCCCTATCCTCGAGCGTCTGCTATACCGCCCGAAAAAGGTTGCCACCACCCGTGTCGCCATTCTCATGCCCACTCGTGAACTGGCTCTCCAATGTTACAACGTTGCAGTCAAGCTAGCCAGTTTCACAGACATTACATTCGGTCAGGCTATTGGTGGTATGAGCTCTCGCGAGCAGGAGGCTGCCCTCAAGCAACGTCCTGATGTCGTTATCGCTACTCCTGGTCGTTTCATTGATTTCATGCGCAACTCGTCAGCCTTCCAGGTCGACACTATCGAGATTCTGGTTCTCGATGAAGCCGACAGAATGCTGGAAGACGGTTTCGCAGATGAGTTGAACGAGATCTTGACAACTATCCCCAAGTCAAGACAAACCATGCTTTTCTCCGCTACCATGACCTCAAGCATCGACAACCTGATTCGTGTTGGTCTTAATCGCCCCGTCCGTCTCATGGTCGACTCAAAGCGCCAGACTGTCGCAGGTTTGACGCAAGAGTTCGTCCGTCTGCGTCCCGGCAGAGAAGACAAGCGTATTGGTTATCTCCTCCACCTCGTCCATGAATCCTTCAGCACAAAGACTATCATCTTCTTCCGTCAAAAGAAGGAAGCCCATCGCGTCCGTGTTATCTTCGGTCTCCTTGGTCTCAAGGCCGCAGAACTCCACGGAAACATGTCGCAAGAACAACGTATCAACGCCATCGAGGCTTTCAGATCTGGTACCGCACATTTCCTTCTCGCTACCGATGTCGCTTCTCGTGGTCTGGATATCAAGAACGTCGACGCTGTCATCAATTACGAGGCACCGCAAACCCAGGAGATTTACCTCCACAGAGTCGGTCGTACGGCTCGTGCTGGTAGACAAGGTAAAGCCTGCACACTAGCCGCCGAACCCGACCGCAAAGTCGTCAAAGCCGCCGTCAAGACTGCCAGAGGCCAAGGCGCCATCATCAAATCTCGCATCATCGACCCCAAAATCGCAGACGACTGGTCACGAAAGGTCGACTTGCTCGCAGTCGAGATCGAAGATGTACTCAAGGAGGAGAAGGAAGAAAAGGTCCTCGCAACAACAGAAATGCAAATGCGCAGGACGGAAAACATCATGACGCACGAAGACGAGATCCTCAGCAGACCCAAGAAAACATGGTTCGAATCTGAAAAGGACAAGCGCGCAGCGAAGATCAGAGGAAAGGAAGAACTCAATGGTGTCATGACTGCCGGTGCCAAACTCAAGGGCGACCGCAAGAAGCTATCGAACAAGCAGAAGAAGAAGTTGGAAGACAAGGACGAGAGAATGGAAGGTGGTGGTTGGAAGAAGGGTAAGGCTGAGAGGCAGGGCAAGGGTGTCCTCGACGCAGACAAGAAGAAAGGCGGTAAGAAGGGAGGTAAACCTGGTGGTAAACCTGTTGGAGGCAAGGGCCCGAGGAAGAGTATGTAAGGTTGAAATTGGGGTGTAGAGATATCCATGGTTTTATCAAGTTCATTTGTTCCATCTCCTATCGATTTGGATCTGTGAATTGCGTTGTGCATTGCGTCAGGTATGCGTTTCGGTCAGGAAATATTCCCTGCGTGCTGGAAGGGACGCTTGAAGTCATGGCGTCCGAATCCTACGGTGTTTACTCCGCAGGTACATCACGAATAGACCTTCGTCAACCTCAAGCCACCCCATGCGCCAGTACCCAAGTCTTTATTCTTCACCTCGTTTTCTTCTTGCTCTCTGGTTCAATGTTGTGGTTTCCATTCACCTGGCTCGTTCTCGAGTCTGGACGACACAGCACAACCCGGGAGAATCCTCATCCGGTTACCGTGCAGAGCTGGCCACTGGCCAGATGGAAAAAAAGCGGTGTCTCGAAACACGGCAAAAATCCAAGCAAAAGTCTTCTCCATTCCCCTTTTTCTCCATGTCTCGCGTCTTTAAGGTCTGCGCAGACGACCCTTCAACCCGACTGTACGGCTTAGCTTTGAACATGTCAGCTGAGAACGGCTCATCTCATAACGGCTTCAGCCTTCGCTTCTCCTCGAGATGGCACAAAACTCTCAAACCTCGCGTGTTTTTCGCGAGATCAAGACTTTAAATCAACATTCCCGTATCGAGATCTTGGAATTCTAGAAGAAAGCCACCCGCGAACTAGGACGGGGATGACCGTAGCACGGGGATGACCGGGATGAGCTAGCACGTGTAGCGGACTACTGCTCCTGTTAGATCTCTTGGCAGAATTTAGGAGTACGAGATGTCTTTGTCACCCGATCTTTCGCGCTATGGCCGAGACCTTTAACAACTACGCTTTCAAATCAGTCCAGCTGTGAATCACGGACTATGGTCAAAGCAGTGGCTACCTGACCATATGACCACGACTGAGACCCTTTGTTCGGTTCCTGCAAGGGACGAAGAACTCTTGGTAGTTTGACATGGAGCGCTAGCGCAGGAACCGGAAAATATCAGACTACTGTATTCAGCTGGATTTCTGAAAGTGGTGAAGGGTCTTGGACCCGAAAGAGAGAATGGCTGCAGCTGCTAGCGGTTCGCGAACCCGTGAAGAAGAACTTTATTTCTCCCCACGGAGACGACTCCAGAAAGATGTTCACCCCCACGTCTACTGCTGCACTGATTCTAAACCTCGAATCACGAGATGTTGGTGCTACAAGACAGGCCATGACTTGATTGCTTTGCAACAGACGTAGCAACAATATCTTTTGAAAGACACATTGCTCACAATCAACCATGGACACTGGACACTGGAAGAAGACCAGACGACTTCCAAGCACTTGGAACTTCAGGGCTTCGGGCAGTCCGCAACCTCTTTCTGCATCCAGAGTCCGTGCGAAGAGCTTTCCAACCTCCTTCTCTCTTCAGCTCCTTCCAAGATGCCAGACCACTTCAGCTCAGCCATCAACATGGCTTGAAGCATAACCCTGAGTTATACCGCAGATGAGTAAGAGCATTTTTCGTGTTAGACAGCCGCCCATGGTGAAAACTCAGGCCGTGTTACGTTTTCAGTGCGGAAGCCACAAGATCGAGGACTGCTCATGAGCGTATATAAGGATAGCAGCATTCCTGCTCCTAGATGCCTTCACACAGCAGAGCAATCACCTCCTTCCTCAATCCTCTCTTGTCGACATCCCGATCATCTTCTTTCGACAGATCAACGGTGCTATCAAACACTTCAAGATGCTCAACAAAGCTCTTGCCTTCTCTGCTTTGGCAGCACTGGCTGCCGCAGCTCCTCGTCCGCAGTTGATCAACTTGGACGAGATTCCGGATTACACCCCCACAGTGACCATGGTGCCTGGTCTCACTGCCCAGGTCGTTACCTACGATCCTACTGCCGCCATCAGCGCTGCTGCCGCCGATGTCACCGACAGCCCTCTTCTCCAGGAGAAACGCGATCTTCTGCAAGCTCGCGCTGCATGCGCTGCTCAACCGACCATGGCCAATGTCTACAACATCGATGTATCCAGCGCTTCTGCTTTTCGTGCCGATACGATCGCAGCGGGCAAAGCCAACAATGCAGTCACCCCTAGCGGGTACGCATTGAACTTCCAGAACTCCGGTAAGGCTTCCAGCGCCTACGGTTATCTGGGCTACCAGACGGTCTCCTCTTATGACCCCTCGATCTGTGCAAACAAGTGTAACTCCATCACTGGTTGTCTGGCTTTCAACATCTACTTTGAAAGAGACCCTACTGTCGAACCTGGTACCGGATGCACCAACCCCTCGGCTTTTGCCAACATCAAATGCTCTTACTGGGGTGGCAACCTTGACACCACCACTCTCACCAATGGTGGCCAGATGAGAAGCTCCTTCGAGGTCGCCATCGCTGGCAGCAACGGATACACAACAACCAAGTACCAGGTCATCTCGGGCTACACTACCCCCAAGTTCCTCAACACTGCCGTCATGAACGCTCCTACCGACTGCAATGGCGCTGATACCTATATGGGTTACAAGCTTTTCAACGAAGCCGTGTTCGATGCTCGTCTCTGCTCTGCCGCTTGTGATGCCCAGAGTGCTTACAACATTGCCAACCCTCCCTCTGATGGCTCTAAGCCCAAGTTGTGCAAGTTCTTCAACACTTACATCTTGAACAAGAATGGTGTCGGCCAAGGACAGTACTGCAGCATGTACACCGAGCAATGGAGCTCGACTTATGCCACAAATACCGGCCAAAATCGCGGATCCGACAAGTACACCATGTCTTTCAGTTTTATGTACGGCAACACTACAGATGATGGTACCCCGGCCTGTGCATCAACCGATAGCGCTTTCTGTTCTGCTTACATCAACTACATCCCTCCGGTCTCGACTATTGTTTCCTCGTTCACTCCTGCCCCCACTACAGTCACCAGCACCCAAGTCAACGTAGTGACCAGCACCATCTATACCGCCACAATCACTGCGGCCGCCGGTCATGCAGCCCGTGTTAGACGTGATGGTAACGGCACCGAGACTGGCTTAGACTACAGCATCTCCATCATCGAGTCCATCGACCCCTCTTACACGAACAAGCCCGTTGATAGCCCTCAGACCGCCTCTTCTACCGGCCTCGCTCGCCGTGCCCTTGCCACTCCTGCCAAGTTCGCCAACTGGCCAGCTTCGCGTATCAGCGCTTCTTGCTCAATTATCGCAACTGGACGTGCCACGACTACTGTCGTTAGCACCGCCTCAGCCCCTCAGACGACCGTCGCCGTGACTTCCGCTTCAACCACCACAGTTTACGGTACTTTGACCGTCCCTGGTGTCCAGCTCGCCTCTCCTACAGCCATCATCGGAAGTCTCTCTGGCTCGCCTGGCAGTTACGATGATTTGTACTATCACCTGGACCTTCCTTTCCCCATCGGTGCCTTTGGCAAGACTTCCAGTTCGATCTGGCTCGAGATCAACGGTTGTGTCTCCCTGAACACTGGATTCGGCGACTTCGTTAACGAACGTCTTCCTTCCACAAACATGGCCGATACCACTCTTCTAGGTTACTGGGATGACCTGTACATCTACCAAGGCACCCAGCAGGGCATCTACTACGACATCACCGGTGAAGTCGGCTCAAGAGTATTGCAATTCGAGTTCTACACCAGCGCCTTCCAGCGCCGGACCGAGTACTTCCACTTCATCATGACCTTTTACGAGAACCAGGTCGGCCTTGTGAAGTACAAGTACTTTGACATTTCATACAATGGCCTCAGCGCAACCGTCGGCGCTCAGAGTCGAAGCGGTATGTATCCCTGCCCCTATGGCTGTTGTGATTGATGACCTTGAAACTGACATATTTACAGCTGGCAAATTCCTGCAGTATTCTTTCAACCAGGCTGTCATCAACCCTGGTTTGGAAATCACTATCGATACCAATGCTGGTACTATGACCCACACCGGTTAGATTTAGATTGTTGCTTATCGCATTGGTGGTGGCGTTTTTTCTTCAATTCAAAAGTCATTTCATTTCATCCTTCTTCTCTCTGTGCTCGCATGCAAGCTTCTCTGGGGCCTTGCCAAAAGTGACGCGACTTTATCTCATTCCGGCCTCGGATCCACCTTTCCCTATCCGGGATTCGAACTTCGCGTTGATACCAATCAAGATGCAGTCCAACTACATTCGGTGATTATGTTAACCTCTCATCGCCTCAAATCTCGTTACCTCCACAAAGCTATCGCGAGACTAAAGCGCAATAGTGTGAATCTCTCTTCCCAAGCCAGCTCTCGACCGCGACTTTGCTGATCCGTATCATCCTGCAACTACCTCGTCGTCTCAACCTCGTCACTCCGCCTTTGTCATGGGTCTGGATTTTATGACGTCTTGCTTGGGTTCTTCCACGCAACTCTTAGCGACGCTAGGTTCCATGATACGTAGAGTCTCCTCCCATGGCACGAGGTTATTCTGCGATCTTCCAGCCGCGATATCGAGCGCGACTGCATCTGCCTCGAAGTAGAAACCGCGCCCGGGTTTCTCGAAGTCGAATTTCTGCGCGGCATCTGATGTACCATTTCCTCCGGCCTTTGAACGTACTACAAATAACTCTGGTGCAGACGTACTGGGACAAGATATCACCATGTAACCCTACCAGATTCAAAGCCAATGACAGTCTAGAGCGCTACTTGTGCTAATCGTGTCTAAACTCTAGATGATACGTGTAGCTAAGGCTTTAGTCCGACGAACTCCATAGTATGGTCTAATCCCGCTTCTCTGATACACTCGAACGTATCAACCGACCATTCTCATATCTAGCATTGCATTTACCAGATATTAGCCCATTCTCCTACCTCATCGGTCCACAGGGGGAAAGATGTCTAATAGCTAGAGGAACGCAGTTCGTAACACCGCCCTAGGACTCTAATTTTGGCAGAAAGAGGCGCTAGTTCTTGGAAAGGCGGGAGAGATCTTAGGAACAATATTATAAGATATTAATAAAGGCCATGCCTCCCTACAAAATTAGCTCTCTCTTAAGAAAGAAGATTTGTGTTGTAGAAAGAAACTTGTACTCTCTGCGGATGACTATCATTTCTGAATACTATCATGCATTACTGCAAATATTTTCTAGTAGCTAACTTTAAGAAAGAGAGATTAATATCTTAGTATGCAAGGTTACATAGGAAAAGGAAAAACCACTCTCTAACGATGACTGCCATTTCTAAATATCACTATGCATTACTGTAGGCATTTACTAGTAGCTAGTCTTAAAAAAGAGAGATGACTTAGGTCATAAAACGTAGAAAAGCACTCTCTGTACTCTCTACGGAGAATTATCGGTTTCTACATATCACTGTGCCTTACTGCAAACATTTTTTGATGGGTAATTTTAGCAAGGGAAACCAAGCATAGTATGCAAGGAGTCAAAAATTGTTATGCTATGCAAGGGATAGCATAGAACGACTGCTACTTTCTATAAAACCTTCAATTTTCACAAGTGGACAGATTCATCAGGAAAGATACAAGGGCAAGAAGATTCTTCATACATTTTGCTATAGATGTAGACTTTGATTAAGAGATATTCATTCACCTAGCTAAAAGAGTTAGGGGCGTCGCGTACGTCGCGAACGAGGTCCCGGATGTATCTCCTTCTTTACTCCTCTCGTGGACCCGTTCTAACATAGTTAGATTTCCTATTTTATCCATTAGAAGTAGAGAGGTGCGCGAGAAAGGAGAGGGAGAGTTCGGTATCGTCGACCCGAGGCGCGACGTCGAGTGTCTCGACGATCATTACTATTGGCAAAGGAATATTTCGACATAAATGGGTAGAGCGACAGAGCGATTACGACTATGCCGTACCAGTGACCAGTGTTGTTGTCCTCGATCAGAACGATAATCATTACAATCTGTGCAAAGAAGGTGCTTTTATACCTGTTTGAATGGGGCCGATATTTTGAGGAATGTGTACTTTCCTCGAGAGGGTTAGTCTGATCTGCTGACAGGTATGGGAATATCTGGCAGTGCTTGGTGATTTGATATGTATGTGCGTCGCATGAAGAGAAAAATAGTCCTGCGCAAGAAGTTCCGTGAGAATTATATAGTCAGACCTCGACCTTTTATAGACATCAGGTCATGAGTTCCCGTCTTCTACAAATATGATCTGCAAGGGATGTTTCTCTACTTGAAATCCCTCCATTGGGCACTGGTGGCCATGATGCACGAGTGTGTCACCGGTCAGGCTTGAATTCAGCTTCCTTCTCGAGTTGGATAGAACTTCTGGTCAAGGCAAGACACGGGACGAAGGGAGGACGGCAGGTCGGTGGTACCAAAGAAACCACACAGATCCCTACTCACCTGAAGATAGATATGGATGGTAGAGATTACAACAGGGAGCATCCTGAGACACACTTACCTGATCATCTCCTTTATGTCATCGCTTGCTATGCTGTCGGTGAGATGCTCCAACTCTATGGAGTGGTTTTTCCACCAATAGAGCTGATGTTTGGTTCAGGCTCTCAGGGAGGCATGGCTGGCATGAGGGTCACAGACCTGATGCTTTACTTTTCCCGTGGCTTGGACCTACCATGCAGTCTAATGTCTGGAGTAACACTGCTGAGAGTCGTGTCAGGTGGTGGTGGCGACGGCGGAATCGGGCGGCGATGACGCGATAACATGTATGGCTGCTGATAGAGAAACGTTCTTTGAAGTGGCTGAAAACAACATTTTTAACAATCATAACACCTTCAAAACATCCTCATGCAGATGCATTGACCAAACACTCCGGCTTACTCGGGTTTCTAGCCCTTCCGACACTCAATCCTCTTTGTCTGCCGACATACATCACTCTCTCAGGATAGTTGCTAATAATGGCATCCACGCCATCACCAAGCAATTTGCTGATCGTGACCTCAGCATCCACAGTCCAAGGAATAACCTGCATACCCAAGCCATGTGCTCTGTCCACAACATCCTTTGTCGTAAAAGGGACGTAATCAGGTGTGTTCACTGTAGCGTCACTGGCATTGCCAGTGCCATGGTTAGGAGAAAGGATAGATGCGCCAATTGAGTGGGCAGCTGCTACCCAGTCGCCAGAGAAGGTGTCGAGGTCAACGCCCCCGAGCCATGGGTAGACGCTGTTCTCGAGCCAGGGGTAGGTCATGTTGGTCTCATCGGGCACAACTGTTGTTTCGTCTAGAAGAGCCACGATAGTGACTTCGGGATAAGCGGCATGGATGCCGACGAGAGTGCGCCAGTCGAAAGATTGAATCGATGTACGGGACTCGAAACCGTGCTTCTGAAGGATAGGGATCAAGTCCGTGATGTAGGTGTCCACGGATAGGGTTTCGTTCGGTGCCGTGGGCGAGAGTTTGGTTTCGAGATTAATCGTAACACCTTCGTCGCCGTAACATTTTACTAGCTCAAGAACTTCTTCTAGAGTTGCAATGGTGGTTCCAGGGTGTACTATATCAGGCTCATAAGTATGGCAATTCCATGTATTGGCTCGAAGAAACTCACGTTCTTGTTGAGGCTGAGCTGCAAGCTGAAGCGAACAATCCAGAGTCTTGACTTGTGCCAGAGTCAAGTTTGCAATGTATTGGTTGACGTATTCTCCAGTGCACTTGGTGGGGTAGATCCAATGCTATTCAAATGATGGTCAGAAAGACCCCAGAGAACAATTTGTGAATCACTCACGTCGTGCCAAATGACAGGAACACCATCACTGGTGAAGACAGTATCCATCTCGAGCACATCAACTCCGACTTCCTGTCTGCTTGTTAGTCGCTTACCTACACTCGTCCACAGCTGAGCGTCATACCAAAGCATGAGCAAATGCCTGTAACGAAACATTGGTCAGTCTATGATCCTTATCTGAGAACACCGCATTCCATACCCAAAGTGATTCTTCAGTCCTCATACTCAGACCACCACGGTGACCTTGAACCTCAACACGACCACTCTTATCCAGATAAGGAATAGTGAACGGCATAGCAGCCACAACATTCAAAGCCGCAAGACCGGCGACCAGACCAATAGTAGATGCCATGTTGGTAGAGCAAAGAATTGGACAGTAAGCAACAACAACAGACTAGGACAGGCACGAGCAAGACAAGATTGAACACAATCATCCTCACAGCGATAGGGCACAATACTTATACCTCAGTCGTCTTGGCTATTGATTGTAGATCCCGGCCACGCTCATGCCCTGCTCCCGCACGTGGAGGAATTGATTTGCATGGTGAAGATGTGAGTTTACTTGGCGAAGCAAGCCATGCAGCGGAGTGTCGTATTGATCCATCCTATACCGATAAAGACGCCGACTTTATCGCTCGCTCGATCTTTGCTCGATCGGTCGAGGTGAAACGAGAACAGGCATTGCTCTTTCTTTACCGAGTGTTTTGGCCGTAAGCCGAGACCGAAGAAGAATCCATGATAGCAGTGTTGATTGTTGTAAATAGAGCAGGAGAAAACGGGTGTTATTGATGACGCGTGGGCTTGACTTGACGGAGTTCGCCAAGGAGAGATCTACAAGGTCAAGTGCATTGCCAAGAGACCTTCCTGCATGTTGACCGACTCCTTCCGCAAAACATTGCAAGGAACACCGCTGACGAAGAATCTAAAAAGGAAGGAAGATTGTATGGACTAGAGAAAGATCCGGACTTCCGAAAAATGCACTTTTGCTTTTGATTCTATCTTAAACATATGCTTCTGACAGGATCCTCAGATAGGTTCTCGACGCCTCATTCATTCGAATGACCTCTACTTCTTGCAAACATTCAGCTTAGCAACCGAAGGATCATGGTCAGAGATCTGCTCAGCCAGGGTGACCCAAGTGTTGATGTGGACATGCTCGTACTGGGCCTTTGGCTTCAAAGCCTGGCTGATGTACATGTGGTCAAGCTCCTGACTGTTCATGTCAAACAGGTAAGTGTATCGCTCGAGCTGAGGAATGTTGGCGGCCTCATCCATATCACGCAAGTTCGAGATGGCCAAGAAATTCTCGAGAGGCTCGACGAAAGCAAATTCGTTGAAGTCACCAGCAGCGATGATGTTAGCATTCTTGTCTTCAGCAAGGATGTCGGCGACGAAGTTCTGGTTCTCATTAGTTCTTTCTTCCTGTCGTATCATGATACGAGACTTACGGCAGTGAGCTCCATCTGCTCCTGACGATCCTCAACACCTCCATTGACAGGAGGCCGAGCATCGCCTTCAATTGAAGAAGAGCCACCCTTACTACCAAAGTGGACGTTGATGGTGAAGAATGAGTTCTTGCCATCAAGTGTCTCAAATTCAGCGACGAGTGGCTTGCGGCTAGCAGTCCAAGCTGGGTTCTGAGGATCGATACGGCCAGGATTGTACTTGAGCTCAGGACCAGGAAGGACTTCGTTGGCTTCCGTGCTTGCGCCAAAGTTTGGCTTGCGCAATTGAAGGATGTCGGGGTTGTAAAGATAGGCTTGGCGAATGTTACCACCCGGCGCACCGCCGTCTTTGTCATCGACAGGATCGATCTCGACAAACTCGTACTCAGGACCGCCGATACTACTGATTGCAGAGGTCAAAGTGGTAAGAGTCAGGTTTGCGGTCACGACTACGAAGATATTAGCAACCAATGGTCAGCGTATTGTGGCAAGTCTACTAACCAGCGTCGTTGGTTTCTCCATTGTTGTCCTGGATCTCCTGGACAAAGATCAAGTTGGGGCTGCGAAGGTAGTTGACGATATGGTCGGAAATATTAACCAGGTGAGCAGAGCCAGCCCAAAGGTTCTCGACATTGTAAGAGCCGACGGTCAGACCGCTGCAGTCTCCGCTGGAGATAAGAGTAGTAGGTGGGGGAAGTCTAGGCTCAATGGCCTTGACAACGTTCAGTGCTGTTAAAGGCAAGATGGTGTAGTAACCAAATGAGTAGCTGACAATACCAGTGATGTCGCCGAGGGTGTCACCGACTCTGGTGATAGCAGGGTTCTTCGACCCGTCCAGCGGTGATCCGATGATGATTGCCTCGGGGTTTGCATCTGCTGGTTGTTAGCCACTTCCAATATTTCTCCATATTTCCTGACTTACCTTTGTCAACGGTTGTCAAACCACCGCGGCTGTTAAGACCAGTGACCTTCCAGTCGCCAACAACCCAGGTGTCGCCGTAGTTGTTAGGCTTAGTCAATGCATGAGCGCTCTTGACAGTAACAAGCTCTCCACTGAGACTCTCCCAGAAGTCCATACCATAGTTGCGGGGGACCAAGGTGGGGTTGGAGACAGAGATCAAGCTGACATTGTTAGGAACACCGAACACATCTCCGTTGTCTAGAGCAGAGAAAGCCTTGTTGGGCGGGCTCAAAGTGTCCTTGCCAATGACCCGAGGTGTGGCAGCACTGCCAGAAGAGATCTTCTGGACCAGTTTTGGGTTGATGATCTCGGTCAGGTAGACGTATGCCTTGCTCGATCTGTACTCGGTAACTGTTCCGTTCAATTGGATGACATCTCCGACAGTCAAATTCTTGCCAAAGTTGCGGTCGAAAACGTAGACGGACTCAGATGTTCTCTCGTCGCTGTCGGGAGCGGTAGACCTGATCCAGATACCGCTTGGGCCTTTGGCAGTGACCAGACCATTGACGTTCGTCACATTCTTTCCATTATATGGCGAAAGATACTTATTGCCGTTGATCTGGGCGATGGTCTCGGCGGAGACAACTTGTCCGGCTAGGGCAGCAGCAGCCAGGAACTGTAGATAGGTACTACCAGTTTTCATGATGAAGGAAAGATGAAAGGGAGAGTTGGATGTCACGAAGCATGTTGCTCGCGTGTGTCTCTGTGATATACAACCTACGGCCTTCGTCTTGGGAGCTCCTGCCCTGACGGCGAACTCCTATTATCGCGGCTGATGAACGCAAGATGATATGCATCTTTAACACGTTGTCAGGTACGATACAAATTGATTGGAGGATTCGAAGGCAAGTTCAAAGTGCTAGAAGAACGGCGGTAGATCATTCAGCCACAGCGGACCTTGGCAAGCCTTGGCAAGCATTATCGATAGCCTCTTATCTCGACATCGTGTCGGGCATCGCCTCTAGTGATTGGTTATCTCTGCTGTGTCAAGATAGTCTTGTAAGCTGCGCCAAGTTCATGCCGTATGCTTGTCTAATTGCTCCGCGAGTCTGGGCCGAGTGTGGAGATACAACGGAAGAGGTCTTTGCCTATTTAAGCCGGACACCGAGGCATCAAACTAAGCGATCTGAACTCTCACTTTGTGATAGCATCTGACTTGCACACGGGACTCGCCTTCACGAGAAAGATGGCGAGCGAGATCTCACCTTCTGTCTTGGTCTGGTGCGATCAGGACGCTCGGGTACAGCACCCGCATTCGAACCTGCACAAAACAGCTCCTGAACAGAACCCGAGATTGACAAGGGCAGCCACTCCGATTTCGACATGCCAATACTATGGCGTGGACAAACACTGTGACTATCTTCGAAGGAATGCCATTGATGTCAACGAATATCCAAGTTCGAAGATTGCAGCAAAGGACGTTTGGGGTGCTTATGGCGAGCGAGCAGGGTTGACAAGTGGAAGCCTGATAGATCATTTTAACTCAGCACATTACAGCGTAGCTAAGGATATGATAGGCCTACTTTCATCAAGCTGGAAACCGTTATGCCTATATTATACCTGACATAGGCTGCAGTTAGTCACAAGCAAGGACCTCGTTAAACGGCGTTGCATTGAGAGGGTGCTTATTGTGATCAGAATGCAGACGCAGCACCCCAACCCGCTCGAAATCCGACCTCGCCCTCGACCTAGACCTCCCTGCCTTCGACCGCGATGGTCTCTCAGTCTTCGACATCATCAAGTACTCCCTACCTCCAACGACGCCTTGAGCATCCACACTCCAGATGCCGTCAGTGACTAGCATTCTCCAGAAGCCAAGTACTTCTCGCAGAGTAGCGGGCGGTCGTGTACGCATCCAGGGGCACCAGGCATCACGATATGTGGATAGTTTGTCCCTACCTTTGCCATCGATGAACGTAACCGCGTCACTCCATCCATCCTCCAGGCACAAGTAGAGGCCGGCCCGTTGTTCAAGATGTGCTGATCCTCGACCGTAGAAGTTTTCCAGTCGAATGCGCTGAGCTAGACACATTGGTGTTGCTGGGAAAAAGTAGTGTGGGAGCCAGATCTCTAGAACGATGCGATTGATAGAATTTGTTGTCGGAGGGCTTGATGCCGATGCTTAGTATGCGTTCGCTGTCTAGAGGCTCCGCCACATGTGTCGCTTCGAACGACTTAGAGGTCCATAACGCGACGCCTGGGGCGACCTGCAAGTTCGACACTCTGGGTCGCCGAGCATTGATCAAGAAAGCAAAGGGAAACGGTTGGTCCAGCCAATTGAATTAGATTGTTTAGGAGAGATGTGTATTCGAGAGGGTCGAAAGACGACTTTTCTTGGTCAAAGGACATGAGAATTTCGAGGGCAACTACGGCAAGTACTTTGACCAGCATTTCCGTCGCCCACTTTGAATAATACAGTCGCTAAGCATCCACACCGACCTGCGATTCAATGCGTCCGGATGTTTTGGGTTGAATCGGATTGAGAGCTTGGCTGGCTTTGCGATAGCGAGCATGCCGTAGCGCGATGTGGTTGCCATCTTGGTGGGCTCTGCAAAGCTTCGCGAGGTAGTGGATGTAGATGTCGCGGAGGAGGAGCAAGACCGACGGGGCTGTTCCAGGCAGCAATGATCACCCCGAGATTTTACCGTGCCGATGTGACCCTGTTCCAGCCACTGCACTTCCATTTTCACAATCGATTGATAAGTTACCAGATACCTCACAGCAGTATCAGTCTCAGACCAATCATACATGTCTCACATCAGAAAGATCAGACATCCAGCTTCTGGTCCCGAGCTTGCACAAGCCATTCCCTCCATAATCGACGGCCTCATCCCTACTCAACGCAAAGTCCTCCACACTCTTCTCCAGCAAAAATCAAACAGGGAGATCAAAGTCATCGAACTTGCCTACAAAGTCTGCTCTCTTGATGTCCCAGATACAGACCCATCTGCAACTCAACAAACCATCATCAAGCTAGCACAAAACTTTGTCGGCGCAAATAACATCAATTACCTCGAGCCAGGGGGGAATTTTGGAAGTCGTAGAAATGGCGGGGAGGATGCTGCGGAGGGTAGGTTTGTGTATACAAAACTTTCTGCATTGACGCGTGTTATTATGGATGCTTGTGATGATGGGGGTTTGATCCATCGTGAGCGAAATGGTAAAAAAGCGGAGCCGGTGGTGTATTTGCCCGTCATACCCATGATCCTGGTCAATGGATGCGACACCCATGGAGATGGTTGGAATACTTTTATACCTCCTTATAATCGAAGAGAGATTGTTGATAATCTGCGACGAAGGATGAATGGCAATTCAAGGGCGGATATGCGGCCCATGGAACCGTGGTATCGCAACTGGACTGGTCGCTCGGAGAGGCTCGATGCGAACCACTTCATCCTTAGCGGAAACGCTCAGAAAACAGCAGAAGGTCTCCTCAAGATCACGGAATTGCCTCCTAAGCGATGGCCTCGGGACTTCAAGAAGGTCTTGAAGAGGCATATTTCCGAAGCCACCTCCGCGATCAAGAGCTACACACAAATTGCATCTCCCAACGGCATAAATTTTGAAATCACACTCAAAGACAAACAGATGGATGTCGCAACACAAAGAAGCCTCGAGGAAGAACTCGGTCTGCACCACATCATGACGACAGAAAATCTCATCGCCCTAGATGCAGATGGCCAAACCCAACAATGTCATACAGAACTCGATATGCTTGAAGAATTCTACCTCCTCAGATTCCAAGCCTATCAGACAAGAAAGCAGCATCTCCTCAAGACCATACAAAAAGAACTCACGCAATGGACCGATCAATTCCGCTTCGCCAATATGATACTTAACGGCGAGCTCGACATATCCCAAGAGGAAACGAGTCTTGCTGAACAATTGCACCAACGGGGATTTGCGTCCATCAAAGATCATAATGATGGCAACACGACGACGAAAAAGAGAAAGCGCAATGCTAGCGAAGTCGATATCGCATTAGCTGGTTATGGGTATCTCTTCAACATGGCCGTCTCATCCATGACGCGAAAAGCTCTGAATGAGCTTGAATCCCAAATCGCTAGTAAACGGGCCAGGATGGACAAGATACAAGAGACCACGATCCAAGAAATGTGGGAAGCGGATCTTCGAGATTTTCTTGTGGAGTGGGATACTCAGCTTCAAAAACCTCCTGTGCAGGAAGCTTGTGTGCGGTGCGGCGGTCAAGGGTGCCAATGAGAGACATCTGGCAACATCGTCGATCGTAGTGGGTAATAGGAAGCGTTATGCTGAGTGAGATGTTTAATCAACCCATCATACCCAACACAACCTTCACCACAGTATCTTTCCTATACTCTGGTGTATCCCAAGCACACCTCGCATCAACAAGAACTTCTACTTCAAAGTCAGCTCATCCATATTTCACACCAAAAGAAACACCACTCGTCTTCAAAACTCACCATCCAAAAACTCCTCAACCGCAACTTCAACACCTCCTCTTCCTTCCCTTCCCAAACACACTTTATCTCCTTCTTTGTCAAATACCCAATTTCTACTGCAGATGAAGGTCGCAACCTGTAGAGCGGACCACCACCCTTGCTCCGTGCCTCTTGGTCTGTAATAAGGATTCCAATCGTCCCTACTCATCATCATCCTCGCCACCTCCCCTCTAACCTGTGCCTCGGGAAACGCAGTAAAATAGATTGCAAACACACGCCGGAAGATTGGATCATCGTCGGAGTGAGTCTGGAGGAGAGCAAAGGCTTTGGCGATGGTAGTGGTGTAGATTCTATGAGCGAGGGATTCCGCCGATGAAGATGGTGTGGAAGGGTGTAAGGGGAGGGTTTGGGGGGTCAGGCCGTAGAAAGCTGGGCCGGAGAATATGGTACTGCCGGTTTGACCTTGTGGTGGAGAGGTAGTTTGGAGTTGAAGTTGAGAAGATGGCATGGTGTTGTATGGCAATTGAGTAACTGTTGCAAGTCCAGTATCCGGGGGTGTCGGTATGCCATTATCGTTGATATTATTGTTTCCAGATTTCGAAATCGTCGATGGAGGACGATGGACAAGTTGCCCATTCATTACCCGCGATGCATCCTCTTCGACCTCTTCAACATCTCCCTTTTCGATGATTCCTTTAAACTCTTTCATCGAATCTCTGATTTCTTCCGCTAGCACCGCATCCTCCACCTTCCCCAAATGTCGCAGGATCTTATCGTTCAATCCCAAGAAACAAGTGCTCAATCTTTCTATCGTCGCTTCTAAACCTTGCATCTGTTTCGACAACGTGGCTATCGTATCTTCTTTCCTCTGTCGATATGCTCGTTGTGCTTTACAAGATTGAGCTCTACGGTGCTGTGCAGCCGCCTCATCCAATGCGGAGATCGGTGGCTTGGGTTTATATTTGCGTGGAGGCATTTTTCTTGGTGTTGGAAAATCGATCGTTATCGTGAATAGATTGAGACGCGGCTCCGTATAGTAAGATAAAAAGTGGTGTTAGTAAGGTTTCGATTGTAAAAGCAGGGAAGTGGGAAAAGGTGCGAGAGTTATGGTCGGGAGGCGTTAGTAAGGCATCTTGAACGTTTTTTCCGAATGGGGTAATTGCTTCCCCGAGTGATGCATCATCAATGGGTTTTTGTAGACCTCCCCGACAAGCTTTTTTGAAGACACGAAGATATGTAATGAAGAGTTGGGATCATCGTGATGGCATTGTCATGAGGCACCGCGTAGAAGTGGACAGTCGTGCTGCCAATTCATCGATCCATAGCCCTTCTCAGACAAGACAGCCATCATACCATGTGAGCAGAGTGAAAGCACTGGAGATAACCTTTGATCCGGAGGATAATTTTCTAGATGATTTGGTCATATGAAGATCTACGACAGAGTAGTACGAACCTTGAACCTGGTTAGCAAAGCTGAGGCAACGATTTCAGCAATGGTTTCAGCAATCCTGGTGGCCCGAACATGAGGCTGTCGCTAAGCCAGAAGTTGAATATTTCCAGGTTCACCTGATGCGATCGAATTGAACATCGGAAGCACAGAAGAGGCACATCAAACCACGAAGGTTGCATCTTCTCTACTGGGCGAACCTCGTCGCAGTTCGTGCAATCCCACATTGCAGTACGAGTAGGCAATGATGCGAAGACTTGCTCACCGGTCGCTCGTCTGTAATCCAAACGCTCACCACAAAGACGGCAACGATCAGTCCCAGCAAGCCTCAGAAACTCAACTGCCGCCCAATCTGACATACGAAAACAGCCGGCATGATGCAAGATGCGTATCTAGATCCCACCCGCAGGTCCGAGCCGATATTCAACATGCGCATCGCAGGTGGCAGGTAGCAGTTGGCGTATGTAAGAAGTGCATTACCGAGACATGTAGAAGAGCGTGTGATGCTGCCATGTTGATGGTTGCATGTTATATGCGAGTCCCGGAGGAAAAACAAGGCGGAAGGCTGCATAATGGCATAGGGCTGCGCGTCTGCAGATGAAAAATCTTTATCCTTTACCCAATACCCGGTGTCATTCCAGATCTGACATACACACTTTGAAGGAGATGTATTGATACACTCTGGCGGGTCCAGATCCGGAATATCTTGGGCAGCTGATCTGAAACATTGCTCTACGAGACGGAGACGGAGACGGAGACGAGCGTGATTGGATTAGATTGAGAAAAGAAAATGTTGTATTGTGGGTATTTGAAAATAGAGAAAAAGAAAGAAAGCCTTCGTGACCTGTTTTTGAGCCATTTTGGTACGAGGAGGTACGAGTGAGCTCGTCTAGACCTTGACGCCGAGTGCATGCAGTTTCCAATTGAGACCAAGAACGCCAGAGATGCAAGAAATGAGAGGGTGTCATGAGAGGGGGAGGGGAAATGAAAGGGAGTGACAAGAGATGCAAGCGAGAGAACAGCAGATCAAGAGTCCTCCATCTTGACATCTTCGTAACCGTCTTCATCCTCGTCGTCATCATCGTCGTCATCTTCCTCGGCGGCAACCTCTTCCTTGACGTTGTTGGAGTCGATGTTGAGAGTTCTCTCGTACTCGGGGTTGAGCTTGTAGTTCATGGCGAACCTGCCACTACGCATCAGAGTGGCAATCTTTTCGACAGTCGACTTGATGAAAGCCTCAGGCTGATGCAAGCGCTGCTTGAGAGCCTTGAGCGACCAGTAGCGATATTGCTTGAAGCAGTCTGTGAGGAGATCGAACAGTTCTTCCTGGCTGACGCGGACGGCCTTCTCTTGTTGTTTCTTGACTGGCTTCTTTGCTTGGGTGGCTTTGATGAAGCTGCTGAAGGCTTGGTTGGCTTGGGTGTTGGAGTGCACGTTTGCTTCGGGACCGGATTCGAAGCGAGTTGTGCGCTTGGGGTGGAACATTTCCATGAAGCGTTTGTCGGTGAGGCGGCGGTATTCGTCGTTCTCGACAGCGGTGACGGCCATTTCATTGGTGACATAGCCTGCGAGGGCGGTTTGTTCTGTGGGTGTCAGTATCACATGGAGAGGGGAGGCTTCAGAATAGACGTACTCGGAATGGAAGAAGTATAAGGCTTGTTCTTGTTGACCTTGTACTGGTTGTTCCTCTGTCCATCCTTCCTCACGCGGTTAGGGTTCCAGGCCTTGAAGCCGGGCTGATCACGCTCGGAGAAGACGACGGTGTTGCTGTAGCCGGCGCGGGTGGTGGTCAAGTCGTAGAGTTTGGGCACGTCGTGGTGCTTGGGGTGGTCGTGCAGTTTCATGCGGACTCTGGATGTGCCGTCTTTGTTGCCCTGGTGATAGACGCGGATCTTGCCCAGCTCAATCTCTTCGTCGTCGGCCATGTCCTCCCAGGCCGTCCACAGCCACTTGGGCAGTCTGCAAAGCCATGCTCTTTGTTCCTCCGGGTTCGCTGGCATGTGGCATTCGCCAGTGTCTTCGTATTCGTCGGCCTCGTGCTCGGGCTTGATGAAGGCGCCATCCTCTGTCTTGATTCCGTTGGACGACATGATGTGACGATGCGCGACAGGCAGGAGAGAGGGAGAGGGAGAGGGACGCTGCTCTTGTCGCATTGCGCCGTCACTCATTCCGCTCGATTGTTGGCGCACGGGCTCTTGCGTCTCCCCGGATTTTACAAGTGACGTCGGCCATTTACCTCCGACAATCCACGGAGTACTCTACAGTAGTGAGTGTCAATCAACACCGAGCTCCTTCCTCGCGACAAGTCGTTTCTTCGCCCATGTGGATTATCCTTGGTCGCGCCCTCCAATTTCACACTCCCGCCGTCACTCACTTCATCGCATCAACACAGCCATGGTTTCGGAACAGGTGACAGACGCTCTGCTCGCGCTTGAAGACGCCCAGGCGAGCAAGAAGGCTCAAGGTTACAATGAGCTGCTCGACAAGATACTTGCTTCTTCCTCTGCTTCCGATGACCTTCCCGCCAACTTGATCGCCTATGTGCAGTCCATCCTGGGCGACTCTGTCGGCATCGTCACATCACGCCCTCTTCTCGCATCATTTGTCGGCAAGCTCGCCTCTCTGCCCGATGCCGATATCAAGATCCAAGTCGGCACCAACGCCATCGACGCTCTCGCTCCCAAAGTCGTCTCCTACGAAGACCAAGACAGCCAGATAAAGCTCATGCTAGCCGACAGCTATGAACAGAACGAAGACTTCACTTCCTCCGCAAAGGTCCTACAGCAAATCACTCTGGACAGCTCGCAACGCCACGTCTCTGACGACGACAAGGCCAAAATCTGGACCCGCATCACTCGCTGCTACCTCGAAGAAGATGACCCGACAAACGCCCTCTCCTACCTCAACCGTGTCAAGAACGTTATTTACAACGTCCAAGACCAAACCACGAAACTGCAGTTCCAACTCTCCCAAGCACGCATCTCAGATTCCCAGCGCAATTTCCTCGACGCCTCAAACAGCTACTTGAACCTCTCTCTCGAGCCCGTCATCGACGAAGAAGAACGCCTCCAGGCCCTGTCCGCCGCAATCATCTGTGTCGTTCTCGCGCCCGCCGGTCCCAAGCGCGCACGTCAACTCGCCCGCCTCTACAAAGACGATCGCACACCACAAGTCAATGAATTCGCCATCCTTGAGAAAATCTTCCTCGATCGTGTTCTATCACCAGAAGAGGTCAAGGCATTTGCCGAGAAGCTACAACCACATCAAATGGCAAAGACGGCCGACGGCAGCACCGTGCTCGACAAGGCCGTCCTGGAACACAACTTGCTTGGTGTCTCGCGACTCTACTCCAACATTCACATCGACAACCTGGGCCCCATGTTGGGCGTCGACTCCGATCGTGCAGAAGCCTATGCCGCGCAGATGATAGAGCAAGGACGTCTTTCAGGCTACATTGATCAAATCGACGGCTTGATCCATTTCAGCAATGACAGCGGCGCCGATGGTGCAAAGGGCGGTGCTGCTAACCTCGGCACTCGCGAATTGCGCATGTGGGATGCTAATGTCCAGGCCCTGTGTGAGGAGGTCGAACGTGTTGCTACCATGATCCAAACCGCGCATCCCGACTTCTACGCTCTGCACATGGGTGCTTGATTCTTACCTTTACACATTTCTGAATTCTCATGGAGCAGGAGCATTAGCGGATACTAAACGGCGTTACTGGACTGTTACGAAGGAGATATAATTATCACGCCGTCAAGATTTGCTACATAGATGGGTTGCTCAGTAAATCGCTGGGCAATATATGAAAAAACCAAACCACCCCTTCACGATTCCTGCTACTCCATTCGTGCCTCACTGTTGGTCAACCTCAAAAAAATCGCCGCCCCAGAATTGGCGATCGGGTCAAGACGAGAAGTATCAGTGTTAGACAGCACCGGCAAGATGTTCCCCTAAGGCTCACCATCCACTGATCCAGTTTCAGCATTTTCCCCCTTCTGTAATGCTCGACATGCCGATTCCCATGTTTCGTGCCCCCGTTTGGGTCACATATGTGTTGCCGTACCATATCCTTTCCATCTCTGTATCACCAAGCTGTCAACTGTCAACCCCATGCTCTTTGCCGTGATGCCTGGCATGCCGCTGCCCGACGGTTGTCGCCCCCGTGGCCTATCTGCTCTTTCTTGGATGCAACACCGAGGTGCTCCTGTCCCTTGTCGGATGGTCTTCCGGTGTTGAACTCGACCGCTCTATCAGTGTTACGCACTGCTTCCTCCGAGATGTTTTGCAGATCTACGCACGTTGGAGATGCGTAAGGTCAAGTTGGAGTATGGCAGCAAGTACCAGACAAGCAGCAAAGTCGTCGCGGAGAGAGGCGATATCGTGTATCACCATGCTTTGAGCATCTTCTCGCTTGTTTGTCAACCCTTTGACAGCTCGGTTGTACAGGATTTGATGGGTGCTGGTAACGTGATGGCAGATGTGCTACCTTGCTCATGTGCCTGATCATCTGAGCCTCTACCCAACGATATTCCTACATTCATGACCAGCTGAGAAATTCGGAGCCCAACCATACTTGCCTGACATGGTCTTCGTGCCGCATGAACGAAGTCAGAAAGGCAACAACAACAAACAAATGCACCAAAGAAGGGTGTTTTTTTCCACATATACGCCCTTTTGGGAGAAAACATTTTTCAAGCACCGACCAATGACATTTTGATACAATACTTGCTAGCTTACCAGATTATTCGATGGAGCCATGTCGTTTCACCAAACAAAGAACAGTACTCTTTCGCGACCAAATAGAAAAATCACCCCGAGGCAAAGCAAAAAGGTATTCCATCCCGCCGGACCAATGATGTTATTGCTACCCAAAACACAACATGCAAATGGCCATTGCGATTGGTTATTAACGGTCATGCGGGAGGTTCGGGGAATCTTGTCTTGGAAACAACTTCAAGTCATCTGAGTGTGTGTGTGTGTGTTCCTTCTTCGGGCAGCAAAGGCAAATTCAGTCAAAGGATCAAAAAAACGGAAGCGAGAAGAAATGGCGGAATATATTGTCAGGCTTGGAAGATGGCTGTCAGCACAACAACAGGGACAAGGGGTTGAAGTGTCGTTGCTGACTTGTATCAAGGTCAAGGTTACGGGCGGCAGCGGGAAGGGAGCGGCCCTCTTCGGCAAATCAGAAAATCAGAAACGGTTTTTTATGCTGTTTCGCTGCAACGACCGTGTGTGTGACGAAACGACATGCCTTCTTTACTTCTTCTCCTTTTGTCGCAAAGCAAAAAAACGCCAAAACAGCTGTACGCACCCGAAGAGTTGCGCACAGATCGATGTGGCTCAATGTCGATACACGCCTGAGAAACACCGAGCGGGAAGAAGGCCTTTTCTGATTCGGAGCGGGTTTTTCGTCCTTGCATCCGGCGCGGTTGAATGTGAGGAACTGGGTCCCTTTTGCTCCCTATGCTCCTTACTGCCCAACACGCTCGCTTACTGCGCGCGGCTAAACCGATTGTTGCTAAACTGGATAGCTGGGAGTGACAGCAGCCGCCGTGTTCAGGGTCAGGTGGGTGATTTTTTCTTTGCTTGGACGTCCTTCAAGCAATAGACTTGCATGATGGGCTCTTCTGGGGAACGCCGATCTTCCGACTCATGGCAGGCATGCAGGTGTGTTGCTGCTGCCTGCACCGCGCAAACTCGAACCCTCATGGCTCATGCGAGAGAAGCCGAACGTCCTTCATCAATTTGGCTTCTGTCTCAACACGCCCAGACACATGTCGCCATCCCTGCCAGAATCCTGTGGCGGTCGCCAAAATCCTCCCAAGGGAAACATGTACTGTACTTGTAAGACCGGACGAATCGCATCTTGACAAAACTCGTGACTTCGGTTGAGAGGGGCTTGTTTCTGGCTTCTTGGACGAGACATGGGGTGGCTGGTCGCTTTGACCTGCTGCGGATTCGCTCTGGCCAATCGATAGCCAGCCCGCACCGCCTCTTCTCATGCAAACATGCCCGACTCACGAGGCGCACTACGCATGCCCGCATTACTCGAATACCTTTCGTGATCTTGTGAGGATAGGGCTTGTCTATGCCTGTGGATGACACTTGCCGGCGGCGGCCTGAACGCGTGTGCGAGGGTCCATCTTCAAGCAGTCACAGGTATATCGCATCCCGCGTGCCGTGTCACGGTCTTGGGTGGAAAAGGAAACTATCCTGATGGGGTGCCCGCGCGGCTCGGCCAAAGGAAGGTAGTATCATTATTATTGTTGCAATCGCACGAACCGGCATGCTCCCGTATCGGCGCGCCCTTGATTCTGCACGACACTATTCATCCACATCCTTTTGAGCTCCCAACCCTTGGGGGAAGTGCTGCACTGCGCTCTTCGTAATTCGCATGCGCTCTCATCAAATCTTGTGGTTTTTTCCTGGTTACGTGGGGCAGCAGCGAAGACGAAACAAGCAGAGCACACAATCGATCGGGCCATGACAGCCTTATGGTTGTCTTGTGCATAGCTACTTATTCAACCTTGGTCTTCATATGCTGATAACCTCTCTACCCTTTTGACTCGGTCATTCACTCCACCACCACATGAAAGTATTCTTATGAAAGCACGCTCATTTCCCTTTACGATTCACACGATAAATACATCACGCACTTCAAAACATCTCTATACCTTCGCTCCCGCACACCTTTGATTATCTTCCGAGGTTGTTGTCTCTCAACATCATCATCATATCCCCAGCCTCACTACTCCACACCGCCTCTTCGCCGAACAGGGTTCGCATCTGCGGCGTGGATATTAACAACAACGCCCCGCTATGGCTTTCCACCCTTCACATCCTCACCCTTTTGGTTATGATATGAATGCCAATCACCTGAATTACGACACGCCTCAACAATCAAATCAACCCACGGAATACTATCGAGACAATAAACCCGACGCAGATCAATCGATCAACAATGTCGCCATGATGCGTAACAACTCTACCAGCCACAACTTCCGGAAAGACTCTGTCGCGACAAATTCTGGTGCGTTGAACGATGCTTCGACTTCTTGGGATCATAAGCAAATTTATCCTGGTTCTGCTTTTGATCAGTCACATGCATTTCGACAAGGCGACAACAGTGGTTACGTTCAACATGATCACACACAAGTCTATCCGCATGCATCTCAAGAGTGGATGATGTCGCCGGCCGGATCTGTAGACACTACAGGCTTTGAAAGCTATCCAGGAGCCAAGTACGAAAACTCGCCCTTTCCTGGAAGCCTTCCGTCTGAGCGATCAGCCTTTACGCCGATACACGGTCATGCCTTCCCCCAAGCACATCATGTGTCGAGTCCACAAGCGTCACTGTCACCTCCTTCACATCCCGACTGGATGGACATGACCGGACCCAATAAGCCTCTCAAGTCAGCAGACGTCAAGCCAATCAAACCCCGTCATCAACCCATTCTCCGACGGGAACATCGCGATGGCATTCGAAAGAAGAATGCCAAGATACCTATTCCCTCGGAGATCACCCTCGAGAACATTGATGACTTGATTGAAGGATGCGTTGACGAAGACGAAATGAAGCAACTGAAAGCACAGAAGCGACTTTTGAGAAACAGAGAAGCAGCGTGAGTAACCCATGTTCCTTCGATCCTGTCTTTTACACTCAAAAGCTGATTTATTCATCACAGTCTCGCCTCTCGTCAGCGCAAGAAGAAGCACACTGAAAATCTGGAGCAAAAGGAGAAACACCTCGAGACCAAGCTGATGTCCCTGGCCACTCAGGTCGAACAACTACGCCTTCAGCTCAGCACCGCCGAATCTCAGAAACAATTCTTTGCCGCCGAACACGCAAAGGCTCACGCAGACATCCAGACTCTACACATGGAGAAAGAAGATTTGATCTGCAACCATACCAAAGAGACCGCGAATCTTAGAGGACAGATTCGCTGGTACCGCGAGCAATTTGAACAATTCGAGGGTGAAAGTATTGCGCCAGCCATGAGCAAAGGACCGAGTAGTACCGGCTTCACCGACTTCAATCTGGAGATGGATGGGCTGGCTATTGAAGATCATCCTTGGGACAAGTTTATCAATGTGCATGGAAGCGAGGATACCGACTACCTGGGCGATACGGCGGAGTCTTTCGCTACAATTCAGCCGCCGAAACAATTGGAACATCAACAACAAGATACCACCACAAAGACGGCGGAACAACCAGTAGCCTCAGGAATCTTGTTCATGTTGCTTTTGTGTGGAGCTTTCGTGGCCTCTCGCTCCTCCTCAACATCCAACACCTCGACGTCCCAAACATCAATCATCCCGAAGATGCCCGAAGATGTCAGAGCAGCAAGTACGGAAGTCCTGAACAATCTGCTCAAAGACAATCCCAAAGAAGCTTCCCTCTTCCTTCCCGACCTCGCCTCCTCCCACCAACAACAGTATTCCACCCCCACAACAACCACTACTTGGCCAAATCAACAACACAACAATATGCAAACACTCCACCACCATCTCACCGCCCCCACCTCCCTCCAAGAAGCAGAACAAGCTTTCGCAATGACGCCAGCACAGTATGCGGCACTGACCACCTATCCCTCCCACACACCAATCCCACCTCTCCCCACTGCACAAAGTCTGCGACCCAACTTAGCAGAAGCCCTAGGCAAGATGAGAGAGCAAAGAGGCGTCAGTCAAGCCGAAATCTACACCAGAAGTCTGCTATGGGAACAAATCCCCGAAGACGTGGTTCGCGAGTTCAGAAGAGCCGTTGCTGCCAGAAACTCGGATACGAATATGATTGAAGGAAATTGATGGATGAGATATGATGGTCCTAGAACGACAGCAGGAGGATTTTGGCGAAGAACAGTCGCTGTGATTTTTGATGACGATGATGATGATGATGATACGATGATGGTGTTTTTCTGTTTGTAATGTTTTTTCTGTTGGAGATGAGATGAAGAGAAACGAAACACACGACTGCATATATGCGAGAAAAGAACTCGCAACGACACACGACAAACCAATATTACGACTTTCCATACAGACGACCACACGAAACACGAACTACGAAAACTACACTAACGAACAAACCACGACCCAACCATCTCACGCCCAACACAGCGATTTGTTTTTTCCTTTTTCCTCGAACCCTGTCCTTTTCCCTTTCCTTCACCCTGTCCTTTTCTCCTTTTCTCCTGTTGTATCCTCTCCCTTTTTGCTGTCTCTCTCCTGTATTTCCTGATATGGCGTAAGTGGGTTGGATCCAAACACGAAATTATGATAGGCAAGGGGTTGAACGTCTCACGACCATTTTCACATGACACATGACATTCTCCATATCTGCTTTTTGATCAAATCTTGTATCTAATTCATCATCAAATGGCTAATGCCAAATTGTCTTCTTATCCAAACGTCTTGAATTTCATGATCTTCTTCTTCTTCTTCTTCTTCTTCTTCCAGATATTGGATTTTCGAAATACGGGTAGTCATGAGTTTTATTGACGTCGGAGAATGAACTCCATCAAACAGAAAGACTTGAGAGAAAGATAGAATTTGGGTAGATGCGAAGGAGGGTGATTGGGGGTATCATAACATCGTTTGAATTTGCGCTGAAAGATAGGGAGAGAAAGAACAAGTCAAGTCTACTTCTTACTCATCCCAGCAGCTTGGACATATTTGGCAAAACTCAGATCCTCGCCAGACATCTGGTTACCCGCACTGAGAGCTTCTTGATAGCGCTTCTGCAGGGTATCTTGACTGACATCTTCGTCTTCATCTCTGTCGACCAAGGCACCATCATCCTCATCTTCCTCTTCGGCTTCAGAAACGGTTTCGGCTTCTTCTTTTTGTGCGCGCTTGTTTCCTCCCACGCGCATATCCTTCATCATACGAGCGACTTCTTTTTCACGGTTTGCTTCCTTTTCTTGCTCGCGTTGAGCCTTTCTGCGGTCGAGATCGGCTTTGTAATCTTTGTTGAATTCTTCGCGCTTCTCTTCCACAGCTTCGAAGAAGGCGTCGATGCCGGCGCCGGTCATGCTGCTTACACCCACGACGGAGAGGTTGTTGTAGAATTCTTCGAGTACCAAACTCATGCTGTTGAGGAGAGAGCCCATGTAGCCTGAGCCGCCGGCGCCTGTTTCTGCTTCTTCCTCTTCCTCTCTGCGGAGAGCTTCTTGGAAGGACTCAAAGTCGCGCATCCAGTCGATTGCTTCCTCTTCTGACTTGACATCGTTCTTGTTGAAGACGAGGATCATTGGTAGGCGGGTCTTGTACATGATTGAGATGGCGTAGAGCATGTTTGACATGAATGTTGAGGTGGAGGCGGTGGTGCGAGGAGTGTCGATGACATAGGCGAGGACGGTAGGGAAGGACGAGGCGAGAGAAGAGAGCAGAATGCTTCCACTTGCTGACCAGACAAAGACTTCGATTTGGCCAGGTGTGTCGACCAGAACGTGCTTGGGCACCTTGTGTTCTTCTCCCTTCTCTTGGTTTTCCGGCAAGCAGCGCTTCTCCAGGATGTTCAAGACTTGGTCAATCTTTGTCGCAAACAGGTTGAGCGATGTGAGGATGCCACCGTTGGGGCCGAGGTTGTATTGTTTCATGACTTCGCGGTAGTTGACGCTGTCTCTGATGTCGATGTTCGAGTCGAAGGGGACTTTGCGCACGGCGGGATCGAGGTTCATGACATAGGGCGGTGTTTGTTTCGAGTGCAGATGCGAGTTGATGCGCTGCATGAAGGTCGTCTTGCCACTGCCTGCCATACCGACGCAGACAATGGTGACTGGCGGCTGTGCGCCTGTTGATGCTGCGGGTGTTGACTCCATTGCGACGATGTGGTTGTGATGTTGTGTTGATGGGCAGGAATTATTTCGATGGTGACGAAAATCGGCAGCCACTCGGGTGGTCAATGCACGCAGCTCCTTCCACCCCGCATTCCACTTCCTCTTTCACTTTCTGACCCGGACCTTCCATTTCTCTTTCCAGACGAACGACGGTTGTGCTTCTTTGCCAGACTCCCGTCGGTCTCGTCGCCTTCCGCCGGTTTGTCGCCCTGCCGTAGCCGTCTTCCAACCGTGTCGCCGAACCACTAAAGTATCGAATTGACTTTCCTTACCACATCATACACTCATCGACAGAGCAGCCATGTCTTGTCGGGCCCGATACTCAAACATTGGCATTGCATCCCCTACAATACCTAATTCCTGTAAGTCTATATAAACAGGTAGGATGCTCCGCTTTGTAGTACACCATCAAGCACAGCTCTTCCCGCCATGTCTATGAATGCATTCATGGCCTCTGCGCCTTCTCTTGCAAGTGCTTGCATTGCACAGTCTATTCCTTTGCCTTCTGTCTTCGGTGCCAATATCTTGAGCTTGCATGCAACTCCCGTCACAAACTTCTCTCTGCCATCAATTCCAATTCAAGTCTGGACAAAGTCACAGTTCGATGCTGTTGATTTCTGCAATGTCACCGTCAAATACTCCCGTCCAGGTTCGGACCACAACATTACCGTTCAAGTCTACTTACCACCACCCTCCGAATGGAACGGCAGGTTCCTAGGTGCTGGAGGTAGTGGTTATGCTGCCACTCAAGGCCTGGTCACCACCATCCCACCTGTCGATGCTGGTTTTGCCGTCGCTTCTACTGACGGCGGTGTTTCTACTCTCGAGTTCAGCTCAGCCGAATGGACCCTGCTGAGTCCTGGAAACCCTGACTACGCCCGCATAAACATTTGGTCAAGTGCCGTGCTCAACGACCTTTCTATCATTGGCAAGAGTGTTACCAACTCTTTCTATGGACAAGCTGCTGCCCACTCTTACTGGGTTGGGTGTTCCCAAGGTGGTCGCCAGGGCAACATGATCGCTCAGAGATATCCCGACGCTTTCGACGGCATTATCGCTCTTGCCCCTGCCATCAACTGGGCAGAATTCTTCCCAAGCATGCAGTTCCCGCACCAACTCATGTACGAGTCGGACTATGCCGTGCCTGCATGTGAGCGTGAGGCCATCACCTCTGCTGCATTCAATGCCTGTGACGGACTCGACGGTCTCGTAGATGGAGTTCTCAGTCGCCCAGATCTCTGCAAGTTCGACCCGCTCACCCTCATCGGCAAATCCTACAACTGCGATGGCACCAACAAAACCTTCACCACCGAGGGCGTCAAGATCATTCAAGATACCTGGACAGGACCTCGCGCCGCCGATGGCAGGTTTCTCTGGTACGGCTACGGCCCCGACGCAGATCTGTCCTACGTCGCCAACACCACTTGCACCGACCAGAACAATTGCACCGTCGCTCCCTTCTCCTTATCCCAAGACTGGCTACAGCTCTGGGTAGCCGAAGACCCAACCTTGAACATGAGCAACCTAACCCGCGACGACTTCACCACCTTGATTCACCAAGGCATTAACCGCTATGATTCTATCGTCAGCGCTCGCGACCCGGATATCTCCCGCTTCAGAAACCGAGGAGGTAAAATGCTCACTTGGCACGGCTACACCGATCAATTAATCCCATACCAAGGCTCGCAGAACTATCACGATCGCGTCCGCGAACTCGACGCCAATGTCAATGATTACTTTCGTCTTTTCCTGGCTCCTGGAACCTAACATTGTGTACCCGGTGATGGACATTTCCCTACCAATGTCTTGCAAGATTTGATCGATTGGGTGGAAAAGGGCATTGCTCCGGACCAACTTACCACTGTCAATCTCACTAATGTTGATCCTAATACTGGTATGTTGATGGGCAACCAGACCACCGGCAGAGGAAGACCCATTTGCTTGTATCCCAAGGTGCAAGAGTATATTGGCGGTGATGAGGATATGATGTCTTCCTTCCGCTGTGTCTCGCCTTGATGATCACAACAAATACCACAATCGACCCCGTGTATGAATACACCGCAATCGTCGTAATTTAATACAAGTAAAACCCCCAAGTTAGGATTTCTCCAGATTTTCTTTCTCTCGCGATGACAGGCTTCTTTCTCAGTCGATTCTTCTTGTTTTTTATTCTTCTTTTCTTCTTGTACGGATGTGCTCCTTGAGTGCATGCATGTATCTTAAGTGACCACATCTTCACTTCCTAGCTCTGTCATCGTGATTGCTTACACTCTATCGCTCAGCGGTATTTCTCATTGATTGTTAATTACACTCGATGGGTATTTCTCATCATTTACAGTACATGCGCTTTTTTCTTCCTTTGCTCGAAAAAGTGTCTTTTGAGCTCAACCTAACCTTCCAGATCCCAACACAACGCCCTCTGATCTTGAGTCTTCAACACCACAACACCTTTGTCTCCGTCAAACCCTTGCACCAATATCGCAAACCAAGATTTATTTGCTGCGATGACGAGTTTGGCGAAGATGTCTGCAATCGTGCTACTGGGTAAGAATCCCGTACATGTTATTTTTGTCAAAGTTTGTGTTGTGGAAGTGGCAGAGGCAGAGGTGTTGGGAACAGAATAGCGGGAAATAATCTCATCGACCAAATCCCCCTGCTCTATGCGTGGGGAAGAAATAGCAGCCAGAGAAAGCCATTCGAGCAATTCTGTGACATCGTCTTGATTGGATTTTGAAATATCGGCGTTTTTGGTTGGGAAGGGTGGAATTATTACATCCTTCAATTCTTCCGTTTGTGGTTTGATGTGTTTGATTTCCACATTTTCGCCTAGAGAAATGTCCGAGGTGGAGAGGTCGCTGGAAATATCGTAGAGTAACCATGTCATTTGCCCCATAAATACTGATTTTGCAGCGTGCAGTAATCGTTCGAATCCTTTTTTTCCAGCAAGCATAGAGGGAAGACGTAGATTTAGCTCAATCTTGAAGTTTGGAGTCGCATGTTTTCTGGCATGAGGGTTTGGGATGGGTGTTCCGAGAAGGCCGGCTCTTTCGTAAGTCGCGCGATCGCAGGTTATGGTCAACACACCCTCCACCAATGTGAACATTGCGACAGAAGATGTAGAAGAAAGATGTAAAGGCGCGGAAACCAATAATACATCTCCCTTTTTGATTTTGTTTGTGAAGAAATCGCCGGTTAAGATTTCCAGGAGGGATAGGTTGATTTTCGCATATTTCGATTCCACATCTTGGGGTTTGAGAGGGGAAGATATAGGGGTGAGAAGGGTTAGGGTGTGGTAGTATGGTGTGCTGTGTAATAGACTGTATGGTGGGCTTTTGGTCGGTTGTTGGGTGGTGTCTAGATAGGCTGGTAGGGTCGTGCATGTGAAGTAGCATTTTGGCGTTGGGAGGGGGGTTTCTTTGCCGATGTCTAGCATTTTTGACAAATGTCGGAGTTTGGCTGTGAAGTCAAGGTGGTCGATGTGGTATGTCCTTTTGTAAAGTGAGAGGTGGTGATTTGGCCAGTCCGGGAAGATGATCCTGTGACTTTTCCGGATTGCTTCCAAGAGTCTCGGTTAGGTGATCAAAGGTTTCGACGGGCTGCTTTGTCTTATTGCGGACACATTAAATTCTCACTAGATTCGTACTTTGATGAAGTAGCCAATGAACAGAATCCGAGAATGATTGTATGCCTGAGTCGTGAAATAGATGGTTTGGACATCGATAAAGTTGGCGCGCAAAAAGAGATGGGAGTCGGAAAGTCTTGGCATTCTCCAACGTCGCGTGTATCACCCTGGTCACCCATGGATCGTTCGACATTTGACGTAGCCTTACATTTACTCACTGAGCCAGTATTCAAGGTGGAGAATATAAGTTCTCTCTATTTGGCTATGCTTTTTGTGGATTTTCTAGAGGTGAATCGTGACAACACCATGCCGCCTATTGCCATGAGAGTGAAGCGTCTCACTGTCGGACTATCACAGATATCAACATAAGCATAACAGTTCCAGAATGCAAAACGAACAAAGTCCTTTCCTATTCAAAAGCGAGATGATCGCATATCTACGCGAATCTAAAAATCAAGACCAAAATCAAAAGCCATCTCCAATGCAATCGAGAAACCGTCTCAAACTCCAAAACCAATGCAAATGTTGTTTATGTATGCGGCAAGCTCAAAGCTTTGCCTTGGGATTACCATCTTGAATGGCAAGAGCAACGATGACAGCGATATCGTCAGGTTTGCCGCCGTGGTACTCTTCATTGGGGAAATATTTGTGGACCTCCTTTGCGAAAGGACCATCTCTGCGGGTGTCGAGGCCGGCGATTTTGGCATTACGCATGATGGCGTAGGCCAGTTCTGATGGAAGGTTTGCAATATTTTTCTGTTCTTTGGGGTCTCGTAGCTTGTCGGCCTTGACGATGGCTTCTTTTGATTCGACGCCTTGGTTTGCGGATGATGCGGCAGACCAGTAGCCGCGCTTCTCCATGATGGGTTGGACGATTTTGAGTATGTCCATGGCTGACAAGTTGTCCAGTACGCCATCAGTCGCGAAGATGACGAGTTCGCCGTGGTGTAGCTTGTGGTTTGTGACGTCTGACTGAGCAGGAGTCTCGGAGATCTGAGCGCTGTTGCCAAAGATGCGGTTCTGGGCCTTCATGCGTTCTGTAAGCTTGCTGAGCTGGTACGGCGTGTTGAAGGCGTGTGTCTGTGCAGGCGACATGAATGAGACCTTGCCAGGCGCGAGGATGAGGAAGCCAGAATCTCCGAGACTGTACTTGTTAGTGAGTCTTGGTTGATGCCGAGCAGTCAGGCACTTACTTGGCGACCTCGAGAGCGCCCGAGGGTTCAATAGCGCCAATGCAGGCAGTGCAGCCTCCAGCTTGGATGCTTCGATCACTCATGACCTTCTCATAGCCGAATTGCAGCAGGTTGCGAGGCTTCAAATCTCCTTCTGTCTCTGGACGGTGTGTCTTGGTCGCCATGTATTTGCACAAACCGTGCGAGTATCTCCCAGGGTCAATACCCGAGTCTCTCCAACCTCCTACACCATCGGCGAGACCAAATACAACGTATCTATCGCTGCGAGCAATCTTGGCCATGAAAAAGGCATCTTCACCAGAATATCGATCATTCGAGCTGAAGTAGGGGTCGTCGCGGTCCAGCAGCGACTGAGGGAAAGTGTTGATATCATTCGGAGGGGATACGCCGCTGGATTTGCCGCTGGATGATGCGCCGAGTCGATATGTGAAGGGGGCATGAGTTGATTGACTCCTGATTGGCGAGGGTGCTGAAAAGGGCCGGCCTATGGCAGGCAGTCGCGGACGGAGGAGAGTGCGGCGGAGAGACATTGACACTGATATCAGTCGAGGAGCGTCTATAGCATGTTGCACGTGCGACAGAAGATGAGAGAGGATCAACAGGAGAAGGGACAGAATTGGCGACAGCAACATCTGATGCTTTGGTGATGCAGACGTTCCTGAAACTTTCCTCGGCGACGCACGTCATTCCGCGTCCCGAGTCAGTCGACAATCCGGGGATGGAACATGCCGCCGACAACTTGAACTTTTGGCGCCGCTGAGCCTGGACAGTTCGACCGAGAGCTGCGACTTTGCGACAAGACACAAACCCCATCACAACCCACCGCCATCATGTCGATACACCCGTCGCGCCAGGCCTATGTCGAGGAGGACCCCGAGGTATGTCGATCCCCGTCTGACTGCGACGCGCGCATGTTCACAAATCATCCCAGCTCCCGTCCACAACTAATGCCCACTGTGCACCAGGATGCAGACATGACCTATGATCTCGCCAGTGTCCCCCTCGATACCGACTATTACATGCCCTCGGCCGCTGGAGGTCCTTCAGAAAAAGCTGCAGATGTCATCGCACAATTCAACCGCAAGCGAAAAGCAAACGCCATTGCTGTCCCTACCGACGATGTCCGAGTCCGCGCGAGGTTACGAGAGATTGGAGAGCCCATCACACTATTTGGAGAGCGTCCGGAAGACCGCAGAGACCGTCTACGCGAGTTGATGTACGCCAAACAAGAAGCTACCGGAGAAGATGTCGCCATGGATGAGGCTGCCGAGGATGAAGCAGACGAGGAGGAGCAAGAATTCTACACAGAAGGTGTCGATGAGCTGCTTGAGGCCCGCAAGGAAATCGCACGCTTCTCCCTACCCAGAACACAACAGCGCGTCCACTTTCAACGACTCGAATCCGCCATCCCATTACAACGACATGTCGACCACCGCAACTACGTAAAGGACAAATTATCAGGCTTCGAGCTGTTCGGTTCACAGATTGCTGGAGAGCGACCCGTCAGCATGGCCCGCTTTTCTCCCAACGGAAAGATGATTGCTGCAGGAAACTGGGGAGGTTCAATCAAGTTGCTGGACGTGCCGAATCTAGAAGAGAAGGGCGTGTTCCGTGGTCATACTGCACAGGTCAGTGGTATCTCATGGTTCCCTGGCGCCACTCTTGATGGTACAACAGTGTCAGAAGGCAGCTTGAACATGGCTTCAGGTGGTGGAGAGGGCAACATTCATCTCTGGTCGCTCAATCAAGACACTCCACTTTCGACCTTGTCAGGTCATTCTGGCAGAGTGTGCCGTACCGAGTTCCACCCTTCAGGCAAATACCTCGCTTCTGCATCATACGACACAACTTGGAGACTTTGGGATGTTGAGACAACCACCGAGTTGCTACTCCAAGAGGGCCACTCACACGAGGCCTACACCGTCGCATTCAACACGGATGGTTCTCTTCTTGCCAGTGCTGGTCTGGACAGTATTGCTTGCTTGTGGGACTTGCGCAGCGGTCGTCGTGTTCTCTATCTTGAGAGTCATATTGCTCCCATTTACGGTCTTGATTGGAGTCCTGATGGTTATCGCGTCATGACTGGTTCTGGAGATGGTTTCGCAAAGTGCTGGGACATTCGTGCCATGAAGGAGACTGCTTCAATAGGTGCTCACAAGGGTGGTGTCACTGACCTTCGTTGGTTCAAGGGCACCGACGGTCCTCTGAGTGGTAAATCTCTCGACAAGCAAAGTGACTCTGCAGAGTACATCCCCAAGAAGAGCGGTACCTTCTTCGTCAGTTCAGGTTTCGACAGAAACGTCAAGATCTTCTCTGCCGACGACTGGTCACTATGCAAAAGTCTGAGTGGTCATTCAGGTCATGTGCTTTCCACAGACATCACCAGCGATGCCAAATGGATTGTCAGTTCAAGCTACGACCGCACGGTCAAGCTGTGGGCAAGAGACGACATGCAGGGATTGTACGACGATGATCAAACACCGACCGGCATGGATACGAGTACGTAGAAAGCTATGCGAAAACATCAAGTACGACTATCAAGCCGATTCAAGCACCTACATATAGCCTGAACACGGACAACCCTGCATGAGATACGGAGCATCAACCCGAAAATATCGTCAAAGATCATCGACGTAGTATTCTACACTCGGCCGAGGCTCTTGATTCTTGATGCCAAGAGCCTTTACCAAGATCAACACGAACGGATGTGGCTTGGGACAACAACGTTATTCTAAAAACAGTATACTTATGACGCGGGGTCTGCTCCATTTTCCTACCGGCGCTCTGTTCACCTGGTGCTTGCTCTGTCCAAACCATGATCATGGTTGTACGGCCGCGGGGCGGGGGCGAGGTGGCATGTCTTTGACTTGAGTTTATAAGGTGAGGGGTTGCCTGCCTCCAATTGATTTTCACTCCATCAGCATCTCTCTACATCTACTCCATTCTTCTATCTCTATCGACCATCTCTACAATCCCTACCACCTTCCAATCCCGCCACAAATTCGACCTCAATAACCTTCGACATGCGTTCTTCATTCTTCGCTGTCGCTGCAGCTGTAGCAGCTGTCAATGCTCAAGGAGCTCAGCCAGCACCATCTTCGACTGTTGTCGCAGATCCCGGCACCCTTCCTCTCGGTGCCGAATGTGCACGCACTGAGCAGTGCGCTGGAGGAGCTCAATGCTTCGCCAGCAACTTCATGCAAATTACTTCTTGCGGCAAGTTCAACGCTGCATGTGAGAATGACTCCCAATGTGCTACCAACACCTGCAACAACGGCCTTTGCAATGGCATTCTCGCCTCTTCTCTCTGGCTTATGCCTACCTCGACTAGCCAGAGCTTCTCCTCTGCATCCGCCATGTCGACCTCTACACCCCAAGGAGCTCTCCCCGCTCCTTCATCCACTGTAGTTGCAGCACCCAACTCTCTCCCTCTCGGCGCCAACTGCGCGAACTCAGAGCAATGTGCTGGAGATGTTGAGTGCTTCGCTTCCAACTTTATGCAAATCACTCAATGTGGTAAATTCAATGCTGCATGCAAGAACGACTCTCAGTGCGCAACAAACACTTGTAACAACGGTCTCTGCAATGGCTTCTTGGCTTCGTCCGCCTACCTCGCCAACACTGCCTCATCAACTCAGCAATCTGCCTCTGCTGCTGGCACCGCCACTGCTGCCACCGGTGGCATTCAGCCCGCTCCATCCTCCACCGTCGTTGCAGCCGCCGGATCCCTTCCTCTGGGTGCCGAGTGTGCTTCCACCGAGCAATGTGCGAACGGTGCTGACTGTTTCGCCTCCACTGCCTGGCAAATCAAGTCTTGTGGCAAGTTCAACTCTGCCTGCACTTCCGACTCCCAATGCGCAACCAACACTTGCAACAATGGCCTTTGCAATGGCTTCCTCGCTTCTTCCGCATACCTCGCCAACCAAGCATCTTCCACCCTCAGCACTGCCGCTTCTTCCTCCACCGCTTCCGGCTCTTTGATCCCTCTCGGCAAATCCTGCAATGCCACTTCTCAGTGCCAGAACGGCGCCGAATGCACTGTTTCCTCTGCCTACCAGGAGTTTGCTGCAGGCATGGTCTGTGGTCCTTACAACGCCACTTGCTCGTCTTCTTCTCAGTGCAGCTATAACTCTTGCTTCAATGGCAGATGTACTGGTGTTCAAGGATATGAGTACTCCACTTCCACTGCTGTGATTAGTGGAAAGACCACTATTGTCGCCGGTACCGCTGTTCCTGTTGCCAGCTCTGCTTCTTCGGGACTTGCTGCTGCTGGTAATGCTACTAGAAGTGCCACTTCTACTCTTGCAGCCTACACTGGTGCTGCTGGAAAGGTTGGCGCTGAGGCTGGATTCGCCGCTGCGGTCTTGGGTGCTGTTGCATTCTTGTTGTAGATTTTCCTTTCCTGTTGCATAGCATAGCATTTGCATTTTGTATAATGGGTTCAACATGGTTATGATATTTTATGTAGATATATGTTTTTCTTATGAAATGTTCTTCCAATATCCTCGTCGAATCTCTTTTGTCTCATGTGTGCTTGCGTTTTATCCCGGCTTTCTTGCATCGCATGTTTTCGTCAATTCTATTCGGAGTATTGAATACATAGGACAGCGATAGGTATTTTGGGTGTCAAGAGCGACTTCCTTGTCGAATGATCGGAGTTAGCATCCGGTCGGCGAGGGAAGGAAAAATCCCGACTCGGTCGCTCTCCAACCAATTCGTCGTCTTATCTTCTTCCATCATTATGGTCGGCAAAACTTTGAAACCCATCTGACCGAACATCTTATAACAAGCAAGTCTTGCGAAGATCCACGTATCAACAAGATGCAATCGATTCGTCCGAAACGACGTGCTTGCGACAGGTCCAGACGCGCCCGGGAGGTGTTACTCAGACCTCATCCGAGGCGTTACTCAAACCACCCATCATCCCTATCCGCAGCAACGATCGGACTTCAACAGTCCATTTTGTTTTTCATTCGGAGAGATTGTGCTCTCGGTGCGTGTTGTTGATGCATCTTTGATGATGAATCGTCTTGAATAGACTTTGGTAGGTCGCTGTTGGTCAGTTATCCCTCTCCTATAAGCTGAGCTGGAAACACACACTCTTCATCTTCTGTCTCATCTTCTACATCGTTCTTTCCTTCCAACATCTTTTTTCTGTCCCTCTGTCCGACTGCCGACGCAACAATGTCGGCTATTGACCTGAAGCCTTCAGTGTCTACACCTACTCTGATTCCTACTCCAGCAGGATCTCAATCTGGCGACGATATGCACAAGCACAACTACCCTAGCGACATGGAAAAGTCCGACGAATGGGATGAGATGCCCGAGGTACAAGCCATCCGCCGTGATGATGGCTCCAAGTCAGTACACAGGAAACTTGGCGTTACATGGAACAACCTCACAGTCAAGGGTGTTGGAGCCGATGCCTTGTTCAACGAGAATGTCGCTTCACAATTTCTTCCCGGAAGACTCAAGGGTAGACGCAAGACCGACAAAGCATCTCTCAGGACCATCATCGACCAGAGCTCCGGCTGTGTCAAACCGGGAGAGATGCTGTTAGTCTTGGGACGACCTGGTGCTGGCTGCACAACTCTCCTCAAGCTCCTTGCCAATCGACGCTCTGGATTTGCTGAGATTGATGGCGAAGTCAACTATGGATCTCTCAAGCATGACGAGGCAACCAAATACCAAGGCCAAATTGTCATGAACACCGAAGACGAAATCTTCTTTCCTTCTTTGACCGTTGGTCAAACAATCGACTTTGCAACACGGATGAAGGTGCCTGCCTCTGTCACCGCTGGCTTCTCAAGCAAGGAAGAAGCACGCCAAGCATCAAGAGACTTCCTGCTCAAGCAGCTTGGTATTTCTCATACCAAGAATACCAAGGTTGGCAACGAGTACATTCGAGGAGTCTCTGGAGGCGAGAGAAAGCGTGTCAGCATTATTGAAACCATGGCTACCCGTGGAAGTGTCTACTGCTGGGACAATTCCACACGAGGTCTTGATGCCAGTACAGCACTCCAATACGTCAAGGCTGTTAGATCCATGTCTGACATCTTTGGGCTCGCCTCGGTCATTACCCTTTACCAAGCTGGCAATGGAATATTTGATCAATTCGACAAAGTGCTCGTCCTTGATGAGGGCAAGCAGCTGTACTATGGCCCGGCCAAGATGGCCAAGCAGTTTATGGGAGACATTGGCTTTTATTGTCCAGACGGAGCAAACGTAGCTGACTACCTGACTGGTAAGAATCCCTGACCAAGCACCTTCTGGAGCACGTCTAACTTTGTTTACAGGTGTTACTGTACCTACCGAGCGACAGGCCCGCGAAGGCTTCGAATCCAAGTTCCCAAGGAACGCTGACCAGATTGTCGAACTATACCAGGCATCGACTATCAGAGAGCAGATGGAGATCGAGTATGACTATCCTACCACAAGCGAGGCGAAACAACGAACTCTCGAGTTTCAACAAACTATCGCGGACGAAAAGACTTCAGACATCCTTACGAAAGGCGCACCTACTACGGTCGGCTTTGGAGCACAACTCAAAGCTGCGGTTCAACGACAGTTCCAAATCATCCGGGGCGACATCAATGTCCTCATCATCAAGCAAGTGTCCAATCTCGTGCAAGCCCTCACGTCCGGCTCGCTTTTCTACAACGCACCTGACACTTCCACCGGTCTCTTCATCAAATCTGGAGCCCTGTTCGTATCTCTACTCTTCAACGTCCTCCTCGCCCAATCGGAAGTCACAGATTCGTTCACTGGTCGTCCTGTCCTTGCGAAGCACAAGTCTTTTGCGCTTTACAACCCTATCGCTTGGTGTTTGGCACAGATCATCACAGACATGCCCATCTTGTTGTTCCAGATTTCCGCATTCTCACTCGTCATTTACTTCATGACTGGACTCACCTACAGTGCCGGACACTTCTTCATATTCTGGTTCATCATCTTGATAAGTACCATGTGTATGACTGCGATGTTCCGAACCATCGGAGCGGCATTCAAAACTTTCGACGACGCAAGTAAAGTGGCAGGACTTGCTGTTATGGCGACTTTGCTTTACAATGGATACATGATTCCCAAGACGGAAATGCATCCTTGGTTTGTTTGGTAAATTCATCGTCTTGCATTTAACGATCTCTACTGATGTACTTACTCAGGCTTTACTGGATTGATCCTCTTGCTTACGCCTACAATGCCCTGCTATCGAATGAATTCAGCGGAAAGATCATTCCTTGCGTCGGGCCAAACCTTGTTCCTAACGGACCCGGATATGGCTCCATGGAGAATCAAGCGTGTACTGGTGTTCGTGGCGCTCCTGTCGGCGCAACGAGTGTTACAGGCGATCAATATCTCGCTACCTTGAGCTACAGCCGTTCCGATCTCTGGAGAAACGTCGGTATCGTCATGTAAGTGTTTCCAAGACCGTCGCTGATGATTAATACTAACGAAAATAGTGTCTGGTGGGTGTTCTATGTTGCTTTGACTTTCTTGTTCACTTCCATGTGGAAGGAGACCAACGAACAAAAGGGTCTTCTTCTCGTCCCATCCGAGCTCGCCAAGCACGCTCTTCCCGCGATTCAGGACGAAGAGTCTCAACAGAACGAGAAGTCGACTCCTATCTCATCCAACGACTCGTCAACCGACAGATCAGACGACAAACTTGAGGGAGATCTCATTCGCAATACATCTGTATTCTCATGGAAGAACCTGACATATACCGTCCAAACCTCTGACGGCCCTCGTGTCCTTCTGAACGGGGTACATGGTTTTGTAAAACCAGGCATGCTGGGTGCGCTGATGGGAGCTTCCGGTGCTGGCAAAACTACTCTGTTGGATGTTCTGGCCCAACGCAAGACTGATGGAACCATCCACGGCTCTGTACTGGTCGATGGGCGTCCTCTGTCTATCAGTTTCCAAAGATCAACCGGTTACTGCGAGCAATTGGATGTGCACGAACCTCTCACGTGAGTATCTCCGGCAAATCAACTAGCGAACGTGTCTTACTGACCATCCTCCCAGCACTGTGAGAGAAGCGCTCGAGTTCTCTGCCCTCCTTCGCCAACCTCGCACCACGTCCAAAGAGGACAAGTTGAAGTATGTTGACGTTATTCTGGACCTTCTGGAGATGCACGACATTGCAGACTGTCTCGTCGGAACATCTGGCGGCGCAGGTCTCTCAATCGAACAACGCAAACGCCTGACTATCGGTGTCGAACTCGTCGCCAAACCCAGCGTCCTTGTATTCTTGGATGAACCGACATCTGGTCTCGACGGCCAAGCAGCCTTCAACACGGTTCGCTTCCTCAAGAAGCTTGCCGGAGCAGGACAAGCAATCTTGGTCACCATTCATCAGCCCAGCTCTCAACTATTCGCTCAATTCGATAACCTCTTGCTTCTCGCAAAAGGTGGCAACACGGCCTATTTCGGCGAGATTGGCGAGAACGCGTCAGTGATTCGTGAGTACTTTGGTAAACACGGTGCACCTTGCCCCGAGGGGAAGAATCCGGCCGAACACATGATCGATGTTATATCCGACACTTCAAAGAACTGGAACGAGACCTGGCTCTCATCACCCGAACATGACGCCATGCTTGCTGAACTTGACCGTCTGCAGGATCCTGCCAACAGCACACCTAGAGAAGATGAGACTGAAGGATTGGAATTCGCAATGCCTCTTTGGGAACAAATCAAGATTGTTTCCGGCAGAGCTAATACGACAATGTATCGCAATGTTGACTACATCAACAACAAATTCGCCTTCCATATCCTTACTGGACTGTTTGCTGGCTTTTCTTTCTGGCAAGTGGGTAACAGCGTGTCGGACATGCAGCAACGACTCTTTGCAGTCTTCAACGCTATCTTCGTGGCTCCTGGTGTTATCGGTGAGTAAAAACGATTGTCCTTATTCGGTCTGACAAAACGCTGATTATGATTTTTCCTCCAGCACAACTCCAACCCCTCTTTATTGAAAAACGCGACATTTACGATGCCCGCGAGAAGAAGTCCAAGATGTACTCATGGATCGCCTTTGTCACTTCCCTCATCGTCTCTGAATTTCCTTACTTGGTCATCTGCGCTGTTCAGTTCTTCTTCTGTTACTACTATACCGTAGGCTTCCCTGCTGCAGCTTCCTCGGCCGGAGCTGTGTTCTTCGTCTTCTTCCTGTACGAGTTCATCTACACTGGCATCGGACAATTCATCGCCGCGTACGCGCCCAATGCTGTTGCAGCAGCTTTGGTCAACCCTCTGATCATCTTTACCCTGGTTGGATTCTGTGGTGCTGTGGTGCCTTATGGACAAATTACCGAGTTCTGGAGATATTGGTAAGTGCCGCTTTTACTATTGATATAAGATGGAAATATGATTTTCTAACCTGTGATGGATAGGCTTTACTACATGAACCCTTTCAACTACCTCGTCGGCTCCATGCTAGTCTTCACGACCTGGGATATCCCCGTCACCTGCAAAACTTCCGAACTCGCAATCTTCAACCCCCCTTCCTCGCAAACTTGTATCGAGTACTTGACTCCCTATCTCAATGGTATGGGTGCCGGGACAAACTTGTTGAACCCTAATGCGACGGCTGGCTGTGAGGTTTGTCAGTACAGAACCGGTGCTGATTATTTGGCCACGTTGAATTTGACGGAGAAGTATTTCGGTTGGAGAGACGCTGGTATTGTGGCTTTGTTTGTGTTTAGTGGGTATGGCTTGGTGTACTTGTTGATGAAGTTGAGGACGAAAAAGTCAAAGACTGCCGAGTGAAATTGCGCAAGGTGATGGAGTGGGAGAAGAGGGTTTCGGACAGGACGTCCGATGTTGAGGTGGTGGGGTCGGATAGGCGGTTGAGAGTAATGGCAGCACTGTGGGGATATAAATAGAAGGGGTATGGAATAGAGGCGTCATCAGGTGTACAGTTTATCAATGGACCATAGGATTGTTGTATCAAACTCATACAAGATCTTTCCACGACAATCTCAACACAACGAATGATGGAAAATACGGTTTCATTATAATCACTATGGTATTGTTTAATTCTTGTACAAAAGAAGAAGAGAAAAGGCTCGCTCGCTACAATCTGGTGTCGTTGATGATTTGCAAATCTTCCTCAGCAATCATTGCTTGTTGTCGCTCAAAAACACTATCTCTGGCATTTCATCCCAAGGTGTCGTTGGTGAAAGCGTACCTTCCGTGCCGTTTTCCGAAAACAACTCTGTCGTCCTCGTGACGATTGAATCCTTCTTGCCCGACGACGACTGTTCAAATGTCTTGCTAGACGAAATGTTGAAAGTCTTGCCCGATTGCAAATCGCTGCCCTTTGAAGCACCCTCGACACTGATATCATAAGTCGGTAACACGGGATCCTTGTAAATGCCCTTCCTACTCTGCCCGGACTTTTGCAAAAACAGAGGTGCCAAAACGGGAATAGATGCGGCGATGACCACAACATTGATTTCGACACCCATGACCAGTATCACTCTTTCTATCGTGAGTGGGTTTGGCGAGTAGGTGTATAAAGCGTATACGTAGTATATCTTTATCACACTGGCGATGGAAGCGAAAAAAGACAGACCGAGTGTGGCTGCTAGCCCCAAGCGAGCTTTTGCCGTCATGACTTTTATGCTCCACACCACGATTGCGGGAAGGAGTGTTAGGTAAACATCCGTGACGGCGTTGAAGACTACAGCGATCAATGCCAAAATCTTGATGATGTCGTGGCGGACGCAAGATGTGGAGGAAGTCAATAAGCCGTGTCGCCATAGATTTTGGAAGCTTCCACATTGCGTGAATACGAAGATTGTGATGGGGACGTTGACGATGAGTTGGAGTGCGATAAAGGCGTGTATGCTGCGTTTTCTGAATGCGGACGTCGTGCTGAGCACGCGTAGCATATACAGACAAAACGAAATCCGACTGAAAACGGGAGCCATGAATCCAACAGCATGGCAGAGATAAAGATATTCTGCGAATTTTGGAGAGTGGAAGGGTGCCAGTTGTTGTTGTGCGTGGTTTCCGAAATCGATGGTGTACATCAATGTACTGGATATTCCATAGACGACTGCGAGAAGCTGTTTGAATTGAATGTTGTGGTTAGTGGATGAGATGGAATATTGAAGGGGGTTTGGTGTAGGTGCTTACCATAGAGATGATCATCAAATAGTCTTCCCATGCCAGTCCGTGGAATCGTATGGTTTTCATGACACTTCTCGCGACGACGATACCGCCGGAAAAGGCAGTCAACACCCACACGAAGCCAACAATTCCAGCTCCTGCCTCCATGATGATGAAGATGATCCCCGTTCGATCAAAATGCGAGATCTAATTAAATCGATAAGCAAGAAAAAGTCGGTAAAATCCAGCCGTAATCTTTTCGCGAGAAGAGGTTCCCCAGAGGCGAAGGGAGGGGAAGTGTGGATTTATCTCGACTTTCACACATGCACAAAGGATTCTTCGATGAACTCTGTTGTGCTAAAACAATGTCCCGGATGAGTTTAGAGCTTATCGAACGTTTCCACCCGATGCAGGTCCTACATTTACCGGCGAGGAAAAAACAATGCGGCGCAACAAGAGATCGAATGGAAAACAAGCAGGCGTTTCGAGGGACAGACGTTGGGCGAACGGCTCTGTGAACTCTCTTGACAGCTTGGATGCGATAGGTTCACAGCCTCCAAGTAATGCTAGTGGGCTTTTAGTTCACACTGCAGAAGAATCCAGAACGAGCGAAACCCGCATTCGCCGTTGCGACATCTAACTCCATCTCGAACAGCACATTCCAAGATCGTGTGGAATGCGTTCGATGAAATCATTTGCGCCATAAGATGGGAAAAAGTGATGTTATTCAAGAACTTCATGGCTTGATAAAAGATAAAGCATCCCAAGCTTGACGTAACGGCTGTCCATGTTCGTCGGTACTTTCTTTGCGCAGAAAAACGACTTTATCGACTTCGACGTTCCATGACATGCGGCTAGAAATGCCACAGCATCACAGCATTTACTGTATAGGTTCAACATCCGTCCAAATCAAGTCTGTAAGGCTGGGATTTCGGCCGAATTACCCTGGAGCTCTAATAGAAAAATTGGCAAGTGTTCGCGCGTTCTGAACTGTCATTGATATCGATAGAGGCTCCGCTCGGTACTTGAGAATCTTATGACCCACAAGGTACAAGGCTGAACGAATCCCAAAAGGACAAACTTGCAAGAAAATAAGTGTGAGAAGGAAGACATTAATTTGGGTCTATAGTCTATATCGTGAATCTATGCATGTCGAGGTTGAATCGACGTTTTGAAAGTTGCCCTACAACAACCAGTCAAGGAATTTCTCCCATTTCGTTACTGGCTCCTTCTCCTTGACTGCACCAGCAGGGTCAAAGCGACCGGAATAAAGATCAATCTCAGAGGCACCAGCGATTTTCGTTCTCTTGACAATCTTCCAAACCACGTATGGGATGATGTAGATTGCGATACCGATGTAAGAGGCGAAAAAGGATCCGGTGTCCCAGTTTCCCTTGAGGAAGACGCTGAAGCCGGAGAAGATGGTGATGATACCGCTGCCAATTGCGCCAACGTAGGCGGCGAGGGGTTGGAGACGACCCTTCATGGGTAGAGTGTTGCGGTCGATGCCTTGAGCGACACATGCGTGATGATAGCGGATGTAGCAGATACACAGGGTCATCCAAGCCAACAAACCAGCAACGGTACTGAGGTTGAGCAACCAGGTGAAAGCCTGAGAAGCACCGCCGGAGCCAAGCGAGAGGTAGGCAAGGGGACCGAAGGCAAAGGAGGCGAGGACAGCGTAATAAGGGACACCTTGACGGTTAACCTTGGCGAAGAACTGGGGCATCTGGTGATCTGCAGCAAGAGCAACGAGCATACGAGATCCAATGTAGCAGTAACTGTTTCCGGCCGACCAGGCAGAGATCAAGATACAAGCGTTCACGATCGAGGGCAGAACAGAGATTCCAGAGTTCTTGATAGCGATGACCCAGGGAGAGGAGTTGGCGTTTCCGGTGCCAGAAACGAGGTTGGGGTCGTTTGAGGGAACGATCATTCCGATGAGAAGCGTACCAAGGACGTAGAAGAAGAGGATACGGTAGGTGACACGGTGAACAGCCTTGGGAATAGCTTTGTGAGGGTTCATAGTCTCGGCTGCTGCAACAATAACAGTCTCAACACCGATGTATGAGAAACTGGCGTTGATGAAAGCACTGAAAAATGCCAAAAAATGTCCAGTATTTCCCTTGATACCGTTGTAGTCTGTAAAGGGCCCAGGATTGCGCCAATAACGGAAGCCAATGGACTCGCCGTTGGGTGCTCCGCCGGAGGTGATGACGATGGAAACGATGACCAGACCCAAAAAGCACAGGATTTTGATGGAAGCAGTGATGACTTCAGCCTCTCCGAAGAAGCGAACGTTCATCAAGTTGATAGCCAGAATAGCAACCAGACCAACTGTAATAACTACAGCAGGTGTGATATCGGTCCAGTAAGAGACAACGACTGCAGCAGCAGACACTTCTGAGGCGATGGCGATGGTATAACAATATCCGTATGAAATGGCAAGAGTGAATCCAAGAGCGGGGTCAACAAAGCGAGTAGCAAAGTGAGGGAATGATCCAGCGGTAGGGAACTGTGTGATGTTAGAAAGCTAGTCCACAAATTTCCAATTTGACCTTTCTCACCAGAGTAGCGATTTCTCCGACAGACTCCATGACACACCACAGAATCAAACCAACGACCGAGTAGGCGAGAAGGAGACCAAGAGGTCCTGCACTCGCCAAAGCACTTCCAGTACCGATGAAAAGACCCGTACCAATACCACCACCGAAACCAATGAATGTGACGTGTCGTGCCTTCAGTCTACGATGTGTGTGACCAACACCACCAACACCGTACACAGCATCATAATCTCCCGAACCACCAACAATGACCTCCTCCGAATTGGTCTTGTAAACCGACTTGTTGTCACCATCTGACGGTCCAGCAACATCTGCCCCGTGCTCGAAAGTCATGGCGTTAAAAGATTCTGGGGAGTCTGGAGAAGAGCTCCAATGTCTGACTCAAACTGGTTGTGTGGTGAAAAACTGTCGTTGTTGAACAGAGAAAAACACCGAGCAAGAGTTGGTCATAGAATCTCTTTTAAGCATCCTGAAGAAAAATTTCTTCGTCGTCGTCTCTCAACGCCTGGAGAGCACGCAATGCATCATCAGCAGATTTAGAGTTTCGCATAGCGTTTCCAGAACATGATCCGGCTTCCGGGGTGAAGCTTCTTTTTTTCCGCCGAGATCGGGTGCTTGTTTAACAAAATCTCTTGACCTTTTGCTTGTGTGTCGCGTGCCTTTTTGCCTGTGTTGAAGAGATGCGAATGTTGATATTCAGATGTCGGTTTCACCATGCAGGGCAAGCGGTCCGGCGCGAGGACATCTGATCTTTCAGAGCAAGCATGAGGGATCATCTCTCCTTTTGTTCGAGACCTTCAGGCCCCGGGGCCCACCGAAGGGCAAGCTGGGGAAACGCTCATCTCAACGAATTTTTGTGTCATCGTGTGTCTGTGCCTCTTGTATCCGAGTGGTCGAGGTCGTGTCGCTCACTTGAAGATCACGACGACATTGTTGTCATGTGCCATGTCGCAAGATCCTGAGGAATGATGTGCGTTCTTGAAAAGGAAGGAATTGGTGCCGAAACTCGACATTGGGAAGAACAAAACGACGCGCGACGAGCTGGAGCTATGGTAAAGCTCATTGCCGGTCAATCCCGGGAGTGGCCTCCGTGAATACGGTATGTCCAGTACTCCTAAAGTGCAAGTACAAGGTAGGAAGTGATATCAGTGAGAAGTAACAGATCCTGGGACAGCAACTCAAGGTCAAGATTACTTCGAAGAGTCGACCGCACTCGAAGCAAGACGGAGAGAATAGAGGTCAGGGTCATGTTGATATAACCTGTTCAACGTCCGTGCTCATACAATATTCCAAGCCACTCCACTTCCACCTTCCACCTTCAGGCATACCGATAACGACTAATCATCTTATCATCAACCACGAGTTAGCTTGACCAAAACCACTTATTAGACAACTAGCACGCTCATTTATATCAACCTACCTGGATAATAGCACGCTTACCCTCGCTTTCTGTGCTCTGAAGAATTATAGCCTCACCAGCCAGGATCAAAAATCGCAGTGCCTCCAATCTGCTCCCTCAGGCGCCCTTGGATAGCAAAATGTCTGGCTCACAAGAGATCATCATCCCGCGTCCTGGCACAGAATCCAACACACCCACCTCTCCAATCCCAGGACCATCAGAAGAACATTTCACCTCAACATTCGGAAACCTCCTCCCTCCCGCTCAATATCTGAAAACCTCAAATGGACAAATAGCATATTACACCTTCTCACCTACCTCTTCCGCAAAAACAACAACAACAACCACCACATCACCATCTCGCGTCCTCTTCCTCCACGGCGTCCAAACTCCCTCCCTAGGTCTCCTTCCCTTGGCAACATCTCTACACACTTCTTTCCCCTCAGCGGAATTCGTGCTCTTGGATCTCTACGGTCATGGATTAAGCGCAACGCCATTGCTACCACACACACCATCCCTTTTCCATGATCTGATCGATAAATTACTAAATCATTTAAACTGGCCCTCTTGTCATTTGCTCGGTTATTCCTTCGGCGGCGCAACTAGCATGGGATATATCTCTTCCTCACCCTACCGCGCCGCCAGAGTTAGTTCTATATCTTTAGTCGCACCGGCTGGTCTTTGGAACCCTTCTTTTCTGGATACATCTAAATTCGAATCTGCAGACTACAATGTTGCTGAATCATACATATTGGAATTGCTAGAAGGTGGAGGACCGCTGATCGTTCCCTCTGACTCCGCCTCCCGCATAGCAAATGGCGAAATCGTGGCTGAGAAGATCAGGGAATGGCAGATGGTCAATCATAAAGGTCACACGGCTTCAGTCATCGCCATCGTCAGAGATGCAGGTGTTTTGGCGAGACCGGAGGTTTACGAAAAGGCGGTCGCTACGGGTGTGCCGATTATAGCGGTGTTGGGGGAGACTGATGATGTGGTGTATGAAAAGGACTTGAATGAAGTGGGGGTGGGGAATGTATATGTTGTTGAGGGAGCTGGTCATGCTGTTGTGAGGGAGAAGGTGCCGGAGGTCGCTGCGCATATTGAAAGGTTCTGGAAGGGTATTTTTGCAGCAGAGGAGATGATAGATACGTAGAAAAAGCAGATGGAGCGATTGATACAAGTCTCGTCACTGATCAGACCTTTGTTGATCTTATCAAATTGGGCATGCGAAAATATCTTCCGTTCTTTGTTTGAATGGACGGCATTCACAAATTTGTCGTGTTGAATCATAAGAGTTGCAGAAACCAATTACTCATTCGTTCAATACGTTGTAGCCAACGCGGTATCCTCTTCGAAAAGAACGCTTGCTAAAGAATCAAATCAAAACCATGCAAGCCTTGCAGCAGGGCCCCCGCTTGATCATTCAATATCTGTATCTGACCTCCCGCTGCGTGTGCGTCTGCTCGACAGGACTGACGTCCTCCGCTGTACTGGTGTCGACGCCTCCATGCATGGTGAGACCATTAGCCGCACTGTATTGGCGTCCCATGTAGCTCTCAGTCACACCGCCATAGGCTGGTCGCGGATTTGTGTCGACACTCGGGCCATAGTTACGTGGCTCGTGTGGATGGGTTGTGTAGTCGAGGTCGTGGTTGTGTGATGTCTCAGCAGGGTCGGCGAAGGGGTTGTTCGGAGCCAGTGCAGGCGCAGAGGTGTGGCCAGGAGGTGGCCCTGGAGGAGCGGAGAAGGTGTCGTTGATGGGAGATACGGGCGAATGTGCGGTATGAGGATCGGCGGCGTAGGGTTGTGAAGCTGGTAGCAGCGAGTTTTGCTGGATCGGAGGTTGCGATTGCGGAGGGGAGAATGGATTGTTGGGGGCGAGCGCAGGAGAAGCAGATTGACCGAGAGCGCGTCGTGCTTGGAGTACAGCACGCTGATGTCTACTCAGAGCCAAACTCAGCTGCTCGTTCGTCTCAATCAACGTCTGCAATGTATCGTCGTCGGGCGGTGGAGAATCGCAGTTGATGTACTCCTGCATGCTGCGTTGAGCAGTCTGACAGCGCTCTGAAAACTCCCTGATCAACTCTTGCTGCATGATCTGCTCTGGCGGGGTGCTCTGAAGTAGCTGGAGCAAGATCTTAGCTGTGTTCCTTGCTTCTTCGACGCGTGATGCGAGTTCTTGCTGTGTAGGGAGGGAGTTCGAGCGCTGTTGTTGTGTGTTCGGATGTTGTGGTATCGGAGGAGCGTTCTGACGGTAAGCGCCTTGTGGCAGGATTCGAGCTTGGTAGCCTTTGACATGGCGCCACATGGCCAGAAGGTCGTATAGGCCGTTGTCATAGCTCTTCTCTGCTTCCAGCGAGTCTAGTGTCTCTCTCATCATCTGCTGTACACTCGGATCTCTTCCATTCTTGACAATGTCCTTGACGGTCGAGACGAACTTGGCGTCAATGTTGCGGGTGAAGGAGGGACCGGGATTGTCGGCCAAGATGCGGATCAACATGATGGCATTGTATTGGACTCGCGACTTTGAGTCTTTGGACAGGCATTTGCGGATCTGGTAGGCAGCGGCAGCTGCAGCTTGTGGTGAGGACTCGGCGGCTTCGACGATGACGGGTAGGTGTAGGACTTCTTCTCCCTGCCAGCTGTTCAGTCGCAAGCACCGGAAACACTGGCGAAGGGTGGAGAGCTTACGCTGTTGTCGCTGGGCGCTTCACAGAATTGTCGCTGGAGCTCGTCAGTCTTCTACCTGGTGTGAGTGACTTGACCAAAGGACATACAATGGCATTCGTAGCATTCGCTTCTGGCGAGTCGACGGCTGGCGCGCTGGTCGTGGCAGGATCGCTGCCTGGCCATTCATGTCAGTAAACATTGCGTCATATCAGACAAGACCGATGCTCTCTTACTGTGACTTCTTTTCAGAAAACCTGCACGTAGCTTCTTCATGTTGGTTGAGTGTCTGTCTGGTCGACTGTCGTACAAAGGCGCACGTCAAGGAGGTAATGTAGAATGCAGAATGTCAAGTTCCATGGCAATACGGGAAGGCGCCTGTGATTGATGGTCAATGCTTGGCGCCGCGAATGCCGCCTGAGAGCCCAGCGGAACTCCGCCTCTTTGACCATTATCATCCACGAATACTTGCCACTGCCCAGATAGTTGCAATCGTAAGCTTCACGCTCTGTTGCGTGTCCACCTGTGGCGATTGCGTGTCTGTACTTCGTGTTGAAGTCACTCGCCAGCAACAAAGGTCAAGCATGTAGGTCGAGTGAGTCCGCTCTTATTCTCTGTCTCATCTCTGCCCTTTGCTTCCATCAATCGCTACTTCCGAAACGAGTCATGGTTTGTTTCGCGCCCCTTTCTTCGAGACTATCTTTCCATGACCAAACCTCCCATATCGTTTGACATGTAACCAAGTTCAACCAGAAAACTGTTTCTCGATACCGTGACTGTCAAGCAAAGCAACATCTCTCTTGCTAAGTGGAACCCGGTTCCCTGATTGAAACGTGTCATTCGATCGATTGCCACCAGCTATATTGTTACTAGTTGCATCACATCTGCAATTCATCGACGGCAGTCTTGCAAAGTATTCTACCGTCAACCGATCATGGAATTCAGTCATTGAGGCCTTGACATTCCGTGCGCTGCGGAGCGAGTCTCTTGATCACTTACAACGAATCCCTGGACACATGAACAGCGACCGACGGGCAGCTTTACATGGTATCGATATCATCATACAGCTTCCGGAGTATGGCAAGGACCGACGATGTGAATTCGAGAGTGAGCACGAGAAAGACACGAACAACATTGTCTTCAGCGACTCTTTGCGAGAGGTTTTTGACATCTTGAACTCGTGGCAAGAGTACAAAGGCGACCATGCCCAACTTACACTGGCGATACAAGCCATCTCGAAGAGCGACTCCTGGCACCTGGCGAAAATCGACCGGAAACGGCACCGTGGACGAGCTGCTTCAGGCGCGGCGGACGTCAGACTCGAGGCCAGTTACCTACATCTACAAGGGGAACTATCGCCTTTGTTGACTGTTTCGGATTCATCGTTCCGTGGAGCACTGCACGTTAGACAATTGCCTGGAAACCCTAGCCGACCATGTTGTCCACGACTTCTGTCTGGAGAGACACATCATGCGTAGCTCAATTCTCCCTGCTCTTGCCGCCATGGCTGTCACCGCCGAAGCAGCAAAGGCATACATCCCCTCCGTCTGGAACAACACCGCCCCGGCCATCCACACCCAGCTCGTCCAGGCCAAGAATGGCTTCTTCGAGGTCGGCGGAGTCGCAGATGGCATTTGCCAGGATTACAACCCAGGCTGCCCTTCCGCCAACAGCACCATCATCTCTGGACCCGTCTCAAGCAAATACGACGGTAACAAGACCACAGACTTCTGGCTCGGCATCACCGACCCCAAAGGCCAGCAAATCTACGTCTACGATCAAAAGTTGATGTACACTCTTCCCCGTACCAATGTCGTATCCGGCCCTGAAGGAAACGCCATCAACGGTCCTTTCTCTGTTGACTACGACGACCTTGCTCAAGGCACCGTCCTCCGCTTCCAGGGCAATGACTGGGCCGCTTGCAAGACTTTCAACGTCAGACAGGGTATTCGCACCATCGTCCAGCCTTTGGTTTATGGAAGTTCACTCTGGGAAAATGCCTTCGGCTGGGAATGCACACCTTTCAAGATGACGCTTGAGGAGACCGACGCACCCGCCGTTGACCATTATCGTCGTGATTGCCCTTTCCAGTGGTTGAACACCTCCCCAGAACTCTGTATGGGTCAGACTTGGGGTCTTGTCAACGCTGATGGAAGTTGTGTCGCCCCTGCCTAAGGTTGATTCGAGTACGGTCGGATTCGAAAAACACAAAAAACAAAAGGCTGTTCACTGAGAGAAAAGATTCAGAGGAGGCAATCGGACGTAATCAAAAAGCATGAACGACGTAATGTGTACTATACGAAAACCAATCCAACATGATCACCCAATCCTGCCAAAAGAAAATCACAACCCACCCGCACCTGACTCTTCATTATTCATCAAACCCTTCCCATCCTCAGAACCTCCCGCTGATCCAACACCCAAACTTTTTCCCCATTCCTCCCTTCCACAACCTCCACCGCAGCAGCAACAGCAGCCCTAGCCACAACATCCGCATCCTGCGCCCAAGAATCCTTCAACGCACCTCCACTAACCCACCCCAAAGCCCTCGCAAAACTCCTCCCCATATACTCCCCCGGTCTACTATCTTCCCTCTCCCCTACCAATAATCCAGGCTTGAGGATAACCACATGTTCGAGTCCGAGCTTCTTGACCGCTTCATCCAATTCCCCTTTCATTTTCGCATAAGGAATTTTAGAGGTGGGAGAGGCGCCCGAGGTGGAGATCAAGATGTAGATTTTTGCTCCGGCGTTTTTGGCCGCTGTTGCGAGGGCGAGGTTCAAGTCATGGTCGATTTTCCGCTGGGCGGCGAAACCACCTGCGATTCTTGCTGTGGTGCCCAAAGCGGAGAAAAAGACGGATGTGTTTTGGGGATATCTCGAGGGCCACTCGGAGGGGTTTAAGGATTGTATTGTGGTGAGGTTTGGGGAGGAGGGGAGGGGTTTACGAGAGAAAGCGTGGATGTTTGTGATTTTGGGAGAGGCTTTTAGCAGGGCGAGGATGTGGGAGCCCTTTGGCGGTTTGTTAGATGGTGACTATAGGGAGTGACAGGTTTGTTCGTACCACGAGGCCGGTGCTGCCGACTAGAGCTACTGAAGTCATGGTGTTGTTCTGCTGGAGATGAGATTGACAGACACACGTGTGAAGCTTGCGTATACTTGGGGACTTGCGACGGAACTGTTTTCTATATATATTTCGTCCCTTACAAGTATATTGGACGGATCTCCTTGTTCGATAAACGAAATCCGTGGTCGTGACTCGTAAGTATCAACGTTTAGTCGGGGTAATGTCCCTCCGCATGCCTTTAGGATCCCCAAGATGTCTTGCACTTGGCCGAGGGGATTTAGGGTTCCGAACTTCTTTTTTCCTCGAATACTGTCGTTTTGTTTTTTTGCTGCTCCTTAACCAACGAAGTGCTCATAAACATTGATTCCTATAAGCTATAGCAGATCTCTAGGGAACTAGTCAGCCGTCGCAAACAGCATTGGTCTACAACGTATTAGCGTGAATCCAAATTTGTGCGGAGCACTTTCCGTGACCTGACAGCAAAGCAACGTCAATCCTCTCTTTCCCTCTAAGATGACTCTAAAGACGACTTTTCGAACCCATAAACCTCAATTTGGGTGATCCGTATTTGGTGAGCGTGATCGATCAATCTATGTCCCAGTCTCAGTGCTGTAAACATACGCGGTGACGATCCGGGAATTGAGTTCAACTTCCCAGGACTTGCTCGGGTGTATTCACCATCAGTCGTCGCGAAAGACTTTACAAGACGATACAATGGGATTTGAACACGACTTTTACGCGCCCTGCGGACGTAAGGCCGTATCTAGTGTTAACAGAGCTTCTTCGGAAGGGGAGCAGATGGAAATTGAAGGTTTCATGTGACTGGGTTCATGAATACGATGACTATTATACATAAGATTTTAGGGATGCCCCCGGGTAATTATTTCGTACAGACATTAGGTTCGAGAATTTACTTCTCGGTGATGCCAGTCTCGGCTGTGCCGGTGACAGCAGGTCCGCCGACATGCTTGACCTCCTTTGTTGACTCACCGTCCAAGCGGCCTTGGAAATCATCAACAGAGATGGTCTTGTTGGTGGTGACGCCGTGGTCCTTGGTCTGCTCCTTGATGACCTCGTGCACGGGCTTGACCTTGTGGGTGACCTCGGGCACGATGCGCTCCTTCTCGATGACGGGCTGGATGGTCTCGTGGAGGTGGTGGTGGACAGACTCGCCAGTGATGGTGGGTTCCTTGGTCTTTGTCTCGTGGGTCTCCTCGTCGTGAGTGTTCTTGAAGCCAGCAGCGTCGGCGGCGACCTTGGCCTTCACCTTGTCGCCCTGGTCATCCTTGTTGATCTTGCGCTCTTCAGTGGCAACGGTCTCGGAGTCGTGCTTGGTGGCTTCAACCTCCTTGTCTGCAAGAGGCTGGATGGTGGTGTGGTAGTGGTCTTGGTGACGCTCGCGGTCGATGACGGTTTGCTCTTTCGTCTCGTGCTCGTGCTTGACGTGCTCGTGCTCTACGGCGGGGGCGACCTCTTGTGTGACAGTGGTGTCCTTCTCGCCTGTGGTGGCAGAGTCAACGACTGGAGCCTTAGCTGCGGGAGCCTGAGCTGCCGAAGTCTCGACTGCTGGAGCTACCTCCTGCTCAGTCTTGGTTGTGGTAGACTGACCTGAGCCGGAGCTGTGATGATGTTAGTATCCGAGAGTGCAAAGAAGTCAAGAAATTAACTTACAGGAAGTTGTTGATTGCGCTGGCGGCGGCGTCCATGATGATTGAGTTATAGGTGGATGTGAATGGATATTGGGAAAATGTGTTATTGGTTTGCTTTCGATATGTGAGATGGGATTTGTGCTCTCTTAATGAAACATCTCAAGGCGCATGACGAGGTGGAGGTGAGCTTCGAGTGACCTCATCAACACTTAGAGGGGTAGGGCTTGTGCCACAGCAGCTCGAACTTCAAAGACTGCACGTCAGAACCACGTTGCGGACTCCGCTCCGTATATTGCGATGCTCCACAAGCTCACGCCCTACCGATGGTTGTGTGGAGAAGCGAGTCGTTGTGATAGGCTGGGGAAGGACGGACCTTCCCAATCAAGTAACGCCTGATATGTTGTGATCTGAGCGATCGCACGACTGCGCCACAGTGGTAGTTCTAGACACAACCTGTCGTCATTTTCTGGCGACATCTTCCAACTTCCAGGTTTTGTGAGAAGAACAGATCATTCGAATCCCAGGTTTCGCATGGCCATCGTCGCGAGAATTGCTCTTCGTGTGTCTTTACGGTTCTAGAGAATCGAGATCCATAGCTAAAATGGACGTGCTCTCGTCGAGAGAATGGTGTTCGAAGCGAGGAAGGCGGTCATGATCGAAAGGTGCTGTTCTTAAGGCCTGGAATATTTTGGAGGCTTAAAGAGAAGTGAGAGAAGAATTGCAGATCAGTTCGATGAGGCCACACTTGCTAAAGCTCTCTTGATCTGCTTGAACTCGTTAGGAGTGTCTCTGACCTTCTTTCTCGTATGTCTTCCGCGATGAAGACCATTTGTCACTCTCGCTCTTCGTGTCTACTCTTAACTCCCTGATGCAGAGATTGATCGCCTGTACAGTTCATCGAGCATCAGTGACATTTGTAGCTTCTTGTCAGCTCTGGAGGCTACAAGCTCAAGCTCAGTAAGACCAAACCGGGTCCCAATGCGCAAGCCTAGCTGTATTCCAAAGCAATGATGGCTGCGAAAAAGTAGTTGTTGCAAGCATTTGTTAGTCATGCGGTCGGGATTGACCACCCCCTTTTTCGGACTCATTTCGAACTCATGAAATCATGGCATTCTTGCTGTCTGTCCGGCGATACTCGAGGTTTTTTGCAAGTTACCCACCTGTCAGGGCCATCTGTCATTACTGCTGCGTTCAGTGGCTTTCCTCGTTGAAACAATGATAGTGTTAGATGATCGGACATGTCGGCCGCGGAGGACTTTGTATTCGAGCTCAGGGACGTCCATCGTCAAGTCTAAGGCTATAAGTGTCCAACTTCTGGAGTACTTAGTATATCATTCTCTAAGGTCCGTGGGGCTGTGAGTAAGCAGGACAACCTCTTACTCCGAAATGTGCGATCAAGGGAAAATTGAGGTCAGGTGCACGCTGTGTTGACACACTTTGTGCAAGATGGACAAAAATCCAGCGATCATTGATCTTTCGCCACCCCGTCCCTATCTAGACTATTACAGTCTATCGATAGTTACATCGTGAGATCTATAGCACATGTCCTGAATCAGATGTCTTGCTTTCTACTTTGGCGTGGTAGAGAGTCAGAAGAAGGTTGGACCAGGGTCATGTGCCCAGCGAAGATGTCTTGGCATTGACGAGTTGCTTTTGTGAATTTGGACGATGGACCAGTGCCTCAGCTGTCTCGAGCTGTCAAGCAAACTGGAACAGCGGGCGATTGTGTACTTGTTCATTGGAACATGTGTAAGAAGAAGAAAGTCGAAAACACAATGGAATCGAAAACACAATGAAAGTTGACAAGCTTGGAGCGATGATTGACGTGATTATGCGGCGGTCAATTCTTGGCGGCCATCCCTGGTTGTCGCGGTCGCATCGTGCGAAACGCCGCGACGAACTTGTCGACTGTCGCTATCGTGCCAGCTAGGGAGCTCAGTATCGTGAAGGCGCCTGTGTCGACAGCAACGCAACGATCGTCACACGCGACTTCCTGACCGCACCCACTCGCCGTACCCAAGCGCGCCTCGTCAGTTAGAAGACACCTTCAACCGTCGCCCTTCAGACTGGCCATGCCAACCACCAGCGTCTATCGCAACCGCAAAGCGCCTCGCTGGACAGAATCATTGCCAAGAACTTCCTGATCTATGGTCAAAAGAGCTAGGAACAACGCCATACCACACCTGCCACACTAGAGACAAGATGATGCCCGCCAGAGTGCTACACTTTTCTTTTCGTGCGCTCCCTCGCTCTCGCTATGTTTTGTACCGCGACGCTGTTGTTCGTGAACCTTGTTCGTTCGCGAAACCGAAGGGTTGCCAAAAGTGGTCTTCCTCAACGCACATGGTAAAATCTATGTTGGACGGTTTTGTCCCTGCCCTAGGATGCCAGAAGATAGACGTGGGTTGTTTCAGTCCTCACAGTAGCTCTGAGTAGGTTTCGGTATGTGGCCATCGCATACCAGTCAGCGACACACAGCAGCTTCGAGCAGTGATTTATCTGTTAAATCCCTGGCACATCATCCTCGAAGACCCAACGACCAGGACGACCTGTCAGAAAAGCTCCAACCAAGCGATCACGGTTAAAGTCGGATTTTGTGGAGATGCGGGTCATAGATGTGGGCAGCGGAGAAGGCTCCCCCACATAAAGAATGCCACTCTCAAGGTATGATTGGCTCGCTGTGCACTATACCGAACTCACCTGCCGAACACCTTCTGCTTAAAGATGCGGCTGAAGATCTGGGAAACGCGTTCATGACATAAGCGCGGCCTTCTTGCCGGAGGTAACATTTTTCAAAGTCGTTATATGTTGCGCTGGTCCTCACATTGTTGGCAAATCGATTTTCATCATTCCAAACATCAATCAAGTCATTATGAGTCCTCAAGCTTCATTCACAGACAAGCTCGCCCTCGGCGAAGCCAAGAGAGGCGAGAACAAGCGCAGAGTCATTGTCACTGGTGGTAGCGGCAAGCTCGGTCGCTCAACAGTCAGATACCTCGCCGACGAGGGCTGGGAGGTCATCTCAGTCGATACTCGTCGTCCTCCTGGTATCAGTGAGGATGGCAAGTCCGGCCTTGGTGGTGCCTACCGCCTCGTCGAGATTGACCTGGAAGACATGGGCGCTGTCTTGGAGACCTTCCTCACCACCGTGCGTTTCCCTCACTAAAAGACCATGGCCATTGCGACTAACACCGTTCAGGACATGGCCTACAGCGGCATCGACGCCGTCGTTCACTTGGCAGCTATTCCTTCCCCCGGCCAGACCAACAGCTCAAGACAATTTCGCACCAACACAATGAGCACATACAACGTCTTGGAAGCTTGCCGTAAGCTCAAGATCAAGAACATCGTCCTCGCATCCTCAGAGACCCTCATCGGTATTCCTTTCGATCCTCACATGCCCGAGTCATTGCCCATCACAGAAGACCATGAGAGAAAGCCAGAATCGGCATACTCGTTGTCAAAGTTGGTCGGCGAGACACTGGCCGAGCAATACGCAAGATGGGACCCTGAAGTCAAGATCATCTCATTGAGATTCAGCAACGTCATGCTGCCGGAAGAGTATAAGACCTTCGACGCATGGCAGGACGACCCGATGAAGCGCTACTGGAACTGCTGGGGATATATCGATGCAAGAGACGGTGGTCAGGCTGTTTCCAAGTCGCTGGACAGCAAGACCAAGGGTCACCACCAGTATCTCATCGCTGCAGAAGACACCTGCATGAGACAATCGAACGAGGAGCTCGTCAAGAAAGCTTTCCCTGGTGTCAAGTACAACCCAACTGCCGGTCCTAACGACACTTTGCTGTCGATTGAGAAGGCCAAGAAAGAAATTGGCTTCAAGCCTGCCTTCAAGTGGCAGGATCAGTTGTAGAGTAGTAGCATGACATAGGTTATGGATCTATTGCCGGTCAAATCCACACACCCCCGGCTTTCCGCTTCTCAATCTGCGTCATATCACCAGTGTTGCACAGCGTACTGTACTGCAAATGCCATGTGTGACCCGTATCCGTATCCTGCGGCACGGAGTTTACTCTCAAGCAAAGTGACGTCGACCAAATTATTCAATCCACTCCAAAGACCTCAGCTTGAAGGATCCCGCCTTTGAGTTTCTACACTTCGCAAAACACGAGATGTGTTCTGCTCTTCTGGACAGTCGTCTTCCGCGGAAAGTATGCTTATATTCAAGCTGATAAATCACTGTTCCCGCAATATGGACCCATCAAGCCACGCGAACGCCTCTATCGTAACGCCAAGTCTGCTCCCACTTGCTTGGTCTTGCTTGACCGGACATGCCGAATCCTTGACTTTGCATCAAGCTTCTATGATAAACACTGACCTTATGCTAGTGCCATTTACTGGGCGGATCAGACCCCTATACATGGTCTCAGGGTCGTCACTGACCCCACGTCCAGCTGTCAGAAGTCACCTCTCTGGAATACGCCTCTGACTTGATCCGAGATCCTTTGCAACAGCCTACGATAGATACACAATATCCGTCTACTTGTCACTTTACAGCAGAACTATCGGTTCCTGGGATGCTACGTTCAGCATGTCGCTGGTTACAAACAAGACCCCACGACTTCGGCTCTTCGCCTGTACCTATCAAGACAGGGCTCGTTGTTAGCATGGTCGATATGCGGGCTCCTTGCTCCATGCAAATCGCGTTCATCACCCCAAGCTTTCGGTCTGCCCATAAAAAAGTGAGATGAGCCGTCTGTAAGTCACGGTAATCCTCCACAAACCTTCGCCATCACCAAAGAGGTCATCATACCACGACGTAAACACGCGGAAAAACATACAAGATACTCAGGAAGAAAGTCCTCACGAGCAAGGATTTTCGATTAACAGCTTGACTATTCCGAACGAGAGTCAGATCAGCATTGGTGATATACTCCTAGAGAGAATCAAATGCCAATCCTACGTCTCGGCCGAGCTCACAGAAAGCATCAAGAAGCCTCAAAGCATAACACTACACGGATTTACAGTACTCGACACCGGAAGAAGTCAGCACACAACGACGGAGAGGCCGGAGTGTCCCTCTGTCTGGCGGAACAGTAATCCTCGAGGATGCAGTATGATGCTATGCTGCATGTTAGTGAGTGTCTGATATCTGCATCTCTGTCTCGAGCAAACATAAATTCTGCCTGTCCTCCTCGATCGTGCCATTCATCATCATCATCAAACAAGAACAATCCTCACTTTAAGATTATCTCCTCTTCACCGAGCCTCAGTGCCAGCTTCTTCCAATCCCCATATCAAGTCAAAGATGCCTTCCCTTAACAAGTCTATCCTGATCTTGGCCGCCATCACTCAGGCCGCATTTGTCCTCGCAGCTCCCATTCCTCAGCTGGCCGGTGAAGGCAACGCTTGCAGCTCTATCTTGAGCAGTATCGACAACGGTATCGGGTATGGCGTCGAGAACGCTGAGGGTACGTATTACTTCTCGAACAGCAAGCAATGTTCAAGATTAACATGTCCCTAGACAACACGGCAGCTCTGATCAAGAGCGGCAAGGTCGGCAGACGCCAACTCGCAGGCGAGGGCAACGCTTGCTCTTCCATCTTGAGCAGCACCGACAATGGCGTTGGCTATGGCGTCAAGAACGCCGAAGACAACACTGCAGCTCTCATCAGCAGCTCCACAAAGCCCAAGCGTCAAGCCGACAAGATTGCCAACGGAGCCGCCAACATTCTTTCCGCTCTTGGTCAGAACGACCTTGCGCAAATCGAGAAGAGTAACGGTGACACCATTGATGGGCAACTCACCGATGACGCTTCCAATGCTGGTGCTCAGATTGGTGCTTATGAGGAAAAGACTCTTGAGGGTATTGGCAAGACCATTCCCAGAGTCAAGCGTCAGGGTGATAAGATTGCCAATGGAGCTGCTGATTTGATCTCGGCTATGGGTCAGGATTTCCTGGCTCAGATCGAGAAGAGCAATGGCGATACCCTTGATGGTCAAGCTCACTGATGATGCGACCAATGCTGGCGCCCAAGTCGGCGCATTCGAGGAGTCTACACTTGAGAACCTTGGAAAGATGATCCCCAAGTGAGAAGTTAGAACGAAATGATGATGACCTGTATGATATGAACGATTAAAAGCGAGGTGTTGGTGATGTTCAAAGTGTCCGGCAGGCGTTACTTGTTCTTATATTTGGTTTGAGCTAGGCAATAATGTTTTTAGTACGTTTATCATTCATACAGTGGTATAACGAACAGTGACATGGCTCATCATCTAGCACTTCCCGATAATACCTTCCCATGGCTTCAGGTAGACTGTGCTACTCAAGTCCTTGTTGTGATCGTCGACACCATAATTGCCAATGACCCATTCCTTGACTTTGACGTCTCCGAGTCCCGACCAGTTTACGTGTTTGCCAGTAAAGTTCGTGACAGTAACATAGCTCTCATGCTCTGAGAAACGCACGAAAGCCACGACATCCTTGTCTTCAGGATCCAAGACTTCGAAACCGCCGTAGATGAAGGTGTCTTTGTGCTTCTGGCAAAATTCCAAACAACGTTTCCAGTAGGCGAACACGGATTCTGGGTCTTTCAGCTGTGCTGCAGCATTGATAGCAGTGTAATCGTCGTTGACTCGCATCCATGGCTTCACGTCTGCTTTGCAGAACCCGCCGTTTGGAGACGAGTCCCACTGCATCGGGGTTCGGGTGTGGTCGCGAGCTTTCAGTTGAAGCAGTTTGCGTGCATAATCTAGCTTCCGGTGGTTGTTTGCGTATTGCGTGCTAGCACTGTTTGATGCTCATCAGTCGAGGTCAAGGAATACCAAGAGCCATCTAAACTTACGCCGCCCAGTAGTTCTGAGATTCGATATCTTTGTATTCTTCGATCGTCCAGTCTGGAGGTATGTTCCGCATGCCAAGCTCCTGACCTTGGTAGATGTATTCCGTGCCTCCAAGTGTTGCGGCCTTGGTGCAGAGCATCTTGGCTGAATATGCACGCCACTCATCACTATCATCTGCGAATCGTGAGATGGATCTGGGTCCGTCGTGGTTCTCGTTGAAGATGGCATTCCAGCCGTCACGGTCAATCATCAAGCGCTGCGTTCGCTCATGGATACGCTTCATGTCTGTGGCGTCCTACTCATGGTATGACCACTTCGATTGGCCAGGTTCGTTGTCCATGTTTAACAGCTTAAACAGGAACACCATGTTGAGTGGTCCTTGCAGTCCCACAGTTTCGATAATCTGGTCCTCATTGTTGATGAATGGCATTTCGCCGACTGTCATTGTGTCATACTCGTCGAGCACCTTTCTCATCTCGTTCAAAAACTCATACAGCCGGGGACCGTTGGCGAAGAACTCGTTGCCTGGTTGGTAGTACTGTCCAGGGATCGTCTTTTTGGCATCCGGAAGACTCTGGACTTTGGAAATGTGGTCGATGACATCCATACGGAAACCGCAAACACCACGGTCCAACCAGAATCGAAGAATGTCATGTACTGCAGAACGAACCTCGCCGTTGTCCCAATTGAGATCAGGTTGCTCTGGTGAGAAGATCGATAGATAGTATTCCTGTGTCTTCTCATCCCATTGCCAGGCTGATTTGGTCGTGTCTAATGTGCGACACCAGTTGTTCGGGGGCCCGAGTTTGCCATCCTTCTCGACCCTACCTTTTCTCCAAAAGTACCAATCTCTTTTTGGGTGATCAATCGATGAGCGCGAATCCAGGAACCAAGAGTGCTGGTGGACAGTGAGCTTGCTTGCGACATGTGAGTGTGAGAAATCGCTAACCTGATCTGAAGTGTGGTTTACGACAAGATCCATCATCAGTTTCATTTCCCGCTTGGCTAGCTCTGCGATCAATTCGTCAACATCAGTCAAGCTGCCATATATGGGGTCAATATCCATGTAATCAGAGATATCGTAGCCCATATCGACCTGAGGGCTCTTGTATACTATCCATCTATGAGTAAGATTCCCTGAGACGTTGTGTCCACCTACTAGGAGAGATCCATATGACATTCACTGCGATTACGACATATCAGCACAGCACAGCACGATAGATCAGACCATTCACCTCCAAGATATTTTAGATAGTCTAGCTTCGAAGTGATGCCTCGGACATCACCGAAGCCGTCACCGTTGGTGTCTCGAAAGGATGCAGGATAGATCTATGACTCGGTCAGTCTTCAACAGGATCCTTAGCCGAACAAGTTATGGTACAACAACATACCTGATACACAACGCTCTCCTTCCACCACACTCGTTCGCTCTTGATAACATCAAGCTTTGGCATCTTTTTGATGACACCGCTGCTGCTGTGACGCTGACAGCTGAGAGTGTGGTTGTTCGGCGGAAGTAAAGATGGGCGAAATCGATACAACTCTTGGGCAGCGAGCACACTGCGGAAAGCTTTCATGGAGTGACACGATGGAAGCGACAAAGTGCAGCGATAGCACTTTTGACTCAAAAAGAAGACACACCCAAGATCGCTCTTTTTATCTCACTGGTTGATAGCGGGATATGTGTTCTCGTGGTGACATTAACAATGTATACATCACTGTGATTGCAAGATGAATATTCGAGTATTTACAGCAGATTCAGTATTCATGATGATAGCTGCAGCCTTGACGGTACCATGAGCATTGCCGTGATAGCAGCTGAGCGTGATGATGTGTTATCACGAGAAAGGTGTCACCTTTCGATCGCAATAAGTCAAAAAGAACGCACGTCATTCATGCATGTCGACAGGATGACAATGTTGTGGACGCTCTTTCCGGTAAGGTTTTGTGCGACCAAAGGGGCGGAGAAGCTTGGGCTTTTTCTCGACCCCTGCACCTTGATCGCGTCCAACTTTGTTTCATGATCCACAACCTAGTGATTAATATTCTATCATGTACAATCATATCACGAGATTCCATGGAATCGAGGAGTCTCCCGGACGCCGGACCGTACGAGGTGTGAAGAGAAGGCTCTTGAGATGTCGCTAACTAAGCAACAACACGGGCTCTGTTACGACCTTGAGCTGCGAACAAATCGGCTTGAAAACTCGGGTTTATTTGTATTCGTCACCTACTTATTTACTCAATCCACACGGTTCGTCATACCGACCAACCACTGTTCCAGCGCCGATTCATCCGTGTCCTTCAGCCATTGCTGTGTGGTCTCCCGCACTTTGGTTGAGACCTCCTCGTACCTGACCCTGTCAGTCATGAGCTCGTTCAAGGCGTCTGCCCACGGTGCGATGTCCTGCTCAGGCACGATGTATGTTTCCTTTTCATCACGTTTTCCGTCGACAGTGGTTACTGGAATGACATAATCGAGTCCGAGCATGGCTTCAGGAAGCGCGCCTGCATTGGAAGAAATGACCGGGATCCCGCGAAGATGGGCCTCAACCACCACTATGCCCCACGCCTCGAACCAGACCGAAGGAACGAGGAGAACCTTGATGTCCCTCCAGGCGTCTTCCATGTTGGTACATGTCGGGCGAGTTCTGTTAGTAGGTAATTAGTATTCTTGGCTTCAATTGGACTGAGGTCAAGTTTCGGACTCACGTCATATTCTGTAAGTGTTGCATCTGCTTGCCGATATCATCATCAAAGCCCCAGCTTTTGTACACCAGGAAGTCGAAGTACGGGCAAACTTTGGCAAGTTCGACAAGGATATGCGAGCCCTTGACCACACAAGGATTAATCATGCCAACAAACCTTTTGTCCCAGTTGTGGTGCTGGGCGGGCATCGTGTGCTTCTTTTCCTCCAAGTACGTCCACGGATGATGCACGAAGAAGCTCGTGTCAAGTTGGCCATGGTCCAGAGCGTATTGTTTGATGGCGTTGGAAACGCTCCAGATCCCGTCCAGCTGCCGAAGACAGTCAAGCTCTCGATGTGAGCTCGCATGCCCAGGCATGCCCCCAAAGAATGGTCCAAAGGGAAGCTGTTCAGCAGTATGTACGACAGCAACGCGGCGTACAGTGGTACTGGCAGAGTTCAGAGCAAGACTGGCCTGTATGGAAAGTCCATCGTTTGAGATGATGTGTGTCGGCGAGAACCGCGCAATCTCCTTCTGAAGAAAGGAAACAAAGTCGAGTAGCCGCGCAGATGACTTTCCGGTCTGATCAAGGTAAGAGTTAGAACTACAGGTATCAGGTTTGTGGGAAGGTATCGCAGTGTTGCCGCGGCTCAATCACCTCGATATACTGGGCCGTTTCTCTGCCCATCTCCTTGTGCAGGCTCTCCTTGCCACCAAATGCGGCGTCAAAAGCTTCACTCTCCAGTGCCACAAATTCAACACCATCATCCATGACCAAGTCGCTGACAACCACGTCAGTCCCTGGCTGGCCGAAGTCTGATCTCAAATGCAGCATTCTCTTGCGCAATTGCTGATGATGCCCGCTCGTAGCCATCTTCGAAACATACTCCTCGGCCTCATTGCGATAGGAGTAGCAAAGCTGGCGTACGACATGACCACGTGAGGCGAGATGGCGCAGTAGACAGATATTGGCTTTGTATCCACCCGAAGAAGAGAAAAGACCCCTTGCTGTCTGGACGAGGAAGACGCGCATGGGGGTGGCTCCTAAGCTATCATTGGAGGTTATTGATGTGTCGCTTGAGAAGGAGTAACCAGATGAGTCTGAATCACTGGATGGTCGACGAAGCGTCATGGTGAGTGACTTGTACGTAAAGACTTTGGGAGGTAATGAAAAGCTGAGATGGATATTCGAGCTGGAAAGAGAAGAGACGTTGATTGCTATTTCAACATATTCAAGCTGGCGGATAGAACCGTCCACTAACTGTTGTGTAGTGCACGATGGGATGAAAAGACACACGTCACGTCATAACTGCTCTTTGCAGTCTCAAGGGACTGTTATACGGCAATTGACTGATCTGCAGCCCCGGTCAATGTTAAGGTTCGACAGTGCAATGAGGCTCTTGGACATAGAATCGCTCCGCTGGGACACAACTTCTGATGGCAGAGGCATCGGCAATACGAGCTACATGTGTTCAACGTAGAGCGTGAACAAGACCCGCGTGACTTTGATGGAAGATGACGGGATTGTGATTTGGGCTTTGAGTAGTATTGAGTCTAGCAGGACAGCGGTGTAAATGTGGAGTGATTCCTGTGGTTTTAAGTTTCTACGTCATAAGAAATAGTATAGGTAGATTTTTGCAAGAAAAATCGAAGTAGCAGTGAGTTCTGTAGGGGTGACATCCAATTGTAATGACTCAGCTCAGAGCAATGTGGATGCATTTGACCAAGTGAGTGCAAGTTGAGGCCGCGCACGAAGTATGGCTTGTGCATCCTATGACACTGCGTACTATTCTATCAGTAGCTCCTACTCTTACGAAAGCCTGTTGCAGACATCCGAAGAAAGTCATCCGCCACATTCCCAAACGACCGAGTCTAGAAGAAGGAGAAGTTATGATGGCAAATTTGATATAGGCAAAATGTGATGCGGAGAAGAAAGAGCTTGAACAAGCACTAGTTCTCTTGGTATCCATGGCAAGGCACTCTGGATCGGTCTATACCAATCGCTTGTACGGAAGATGAAACGCCAAGCCGAATCCGAAACTTTCGAGGTAAGTCTTGGTATAGAGATTAGGCTATAGTTCATGTAGACGACACTAAACATGCATTTGTGGAAATGTCTCTGTTTCATGAACAGGCAAGAAGGTGAGCTTTGGCACATCGATCAACGCATATAACGCAGCTTCTACCCAACATTGACTCAACATCAACCCAGTCAAAATTCCAACGTTCAAACAAGGACGCCGTACTTCGCAATGCATCTAAGCTCGTTCCTCCCTTCTTTGTTGGCTCTCAGTGGTATGGCTGCTGCATTGGCTATTCCTGATCCTTTCCTGGAGGCTAGACAAAGCAGCCCTGCCGCTGGTGTTGTCTACACCAAGTGCACCAAGCCTGGCCTCTTCGCTCTTGCCTTTGACGACGGTCCAGGACCATACACCCAAGAACTCATCAACACTCTCAATGCAGCAGGAGCGAAAGCCACCTTCTTCTTCACTGGTACTTTGTACGGCTGTATCTATGACAGAGCAGCAGCTGTCAAGGCCGCTTACTCGAGCGGACACCAAGTCGCTTCTCACACCTGGACTCATCCTCAGACTCTCGATAGCATGAGTGTTGCCCAGCTCACCACTGAGATGCAGAAGCTGGAAATAGCACTCGTCAACATCATTGGTGTCAAGCCCACCTACATGCGTCCCCCCTACCTCAAGACTGGTGGCAACGTTCCCACCGCCATGAGAAACCTTGGCTACAGAATGATCACCGACAGTGTTGACTCTCAGGACTGGAACGGCCTCTCAGTCTCACAGAGCGAGCAGAGATTCAAGAGTGCTGGACCGAAGACTCCTGACGGCTTTGGTCACATTTCCCTTCTTCACGAGACCTACGCCAACACTGTCAGAGATTTGGTCCCAAGATTGATCACTTGGGCCAAGCAGAACAACTTGAAGATGGTCACTGTTGGTAAGTCGTGTTCGGAATTAACATCTCAAGTCAATAAATACTGACAGCAGATGCAGCTGAGTGCCTCGGAGATGCAAATGGTGCCTACGCCAAGGGAACTGGTGGTGGTGCTCAGAAGTGCTAAATAGGCCTACCTGACCGATGTTCGTCGCACTTCTCTCAACTCGCGGGTATTCATCCATATCCAATATCTGATCTATTGACGTGTGCCGTTTTTGAGGTTGAGAAATGTCTTATTCAGTCGAAACTATCCATATCTCTAGTTGTTTGCCGGATCTCGCCTGTTTAGTTGGCCTCTGAGCCTTGCGCACTGCACTTCTTGGTGCAGTAGTAGTTCATCTGTACGGAGCGAGTTAGTCAAGAGCATAAGATCAGTACAGGGCACCTCTCTCACCTCGTCACCACCAATGTGCCAGCCAGCTGAGTTGCACTGGAGTCCGTCCTGAGATGATTGTGAGTAAGCTTGTAAGATTCCGTAGTAGATACAAACGTACGTAAGTACAGTCTTCGCACTTGTCCCACTGGTTGTCGCCAGTGTTGCGTTGCTTGTAGTAGCCACAAGCGCACTCTGTGGCTTTGAGATCGATCTCGTAGTTCTTTTGCCAGTTATAGCTGACACTCCAGCCAGTACCTCCAATGGGCGCTTCGGTTCTGCCAGTCACGCAGACCGCAGAGTTGTGGAGTTTAGCATCGACCCTGAAGCATACGGTCAGTTGATTTCCCGGGAGAAGCAATAAGATAGAAACCCCGTACCGGTAGGACAGAGCTGCGAGGAACAGGGAGCACAGAACGATCTTCATTCTGGGGATAAGATGGGCGATTGTAGAGTCGAAGAGACCGGACGCAGAAAAGATTAGGTGAAGGGATGTGTTTGGCTGACTGAAGACGTGCGGGACATTGTCTCTATATGCTCTTCGACTCCGGAGCGTGACTTTTGAAGTTTTTGTCAAAGTGATCAGTCAAACGCGTGTTGCCTTGGTCAAGATAGACGACGGCAAATGAACCACTCGTGTTCAGACTCGAGTCTAACATCACGGTTCTCTTGGACATCTGCAGGAGGTTCTTGGAAGCGCACAGTCAATGTAAGGCATGCTATATTTGTGTTCGTTGATATCTTACCACTGACTCAATGCAGGGTAGCATGTCGGACTGGTGAGGCATTTGGGACGAGATACCATGTTCTCAAACTTGAACAGCATCTTGGTTGTGTCTGTATCATGCTCTGTTTCTAGGAAGTACGTTGAACTCTGTCCAAGAAATGTCTCACTTCTGCCATCGTCACAACTCACTTGATCCTTCTGTTTTGGAGATACGCACAGGCTTCAGGGCATGAGGTTCGGTCAGAGTCGTGAACAGACCAGGCTCTTGCGCAAACTTCCGACCAACAGTCATCCGATGTTGTTGAAAATGTTTCTGTAACGCAAATCGGAGCGATTGACATGAGAGATGAGGTCTGGGGAGGCCTTCGGTCGCCTCAACTTTCCCCAGATCACGACCCGGGCCGATATAGGCTCTCCACGTGGGTGTTTACGGCGACTCGGACACCAAAGCCTATCCGCTGTAGTGTGTTTCAAGTGCCCGTATCTGACAGCAAGGACATTGGGATAGTCGATCCTGCCCATCAGCAGTATGTGGCACTTGGCAAGACTCACGATGCGTTGGAGACTGAATGGACCGACGACATGGACAATGATATATAAACCAACATCTTCTTGCAGTCAGTTACGATATCTAATCCACACTCATCACCTCCGCCTGCCCTGAATACACACAATCAACACCTTACAAATATGGTTCCTTCTCTTTCCCTTGTACTTGCGCTGCATGCCGCAGCTGCAATGGCTTCGCCTCTCGTGCTTCGTGCTGAAAGCGCTGCATCTGCAGTGCTTCCTGAAGACGTCATGGTCTTGAATAAGAACGGTGCAAGTAAGTCCTGGCCGTCAAAGAAAACAACTCGAAGAGATTCCTGACCACTCGAGTGATTCAGTCGAAACCATCAAGCAGAGTGATTGGCTATCCACGCTTGAGGCTGCTGGAATCCTTCTCGAGAAGCCTGCGGTCGATGAAGCCTTTCTCAATGCCACAGATCTGTCTGCCGACATCTTCAAGTCCAATGAGACTCTGACCAAGCGTCAAGCAAGCTGTGACGGCACTTTTGCTGTTGTCACAGACACCACGCAGCGTTTCGTCGACTGGGACGTTCAAATGTCCCCTGTGGTATGCGCTGTTGGCGACATGGACATTAATGTCATGAAAGGATGTCAGTATACCTATGCCTCGAGCTGAAGATTGTCCATCTGACTAGTGTTTGCATAGACACTGTTGCCAATGCAGTCACCATTACTGGAAGCGGTAGTCCCACACTCATTGCCGACAGACTGACGGCACAGTTTGGTGTCCAGTTCAGTCGTACTTGGACGACACAGAGCTCGATCACTACCAAAGGAACTGTCAAGGACGGCAACTGCGGCGTGATGATCACCAGACCTCTCGTCACTCGTCGCTATGGTCGTACCATGCAGGGCTGTCCGGGAAGCTATAAGCAAGTCGGTACCTGGATGGCCGATGACCATGGCGAGGGCAGTTATGCTGGTATTGATTGGATTTCCGGTGCCATCTCCATGTGCAGCAAGAAACAGGGCGCCCCTCCTCTCACTCGTTGCGAAGGAGCAGGAGAATTCGTTTAGACGGAGTGCTCCTGATGAAATGCGCTGGTTGTCGTGAGACGCAAAGGCTGGAAGGGGGCTGACGGAACAATATGGTAGACCGAGTCGAAGGTGTGAGAGATTGTGAGTATGGAGGCTTGGTAATTGTTGACGACATGCAGACGGTTGCGCGGCGCCTTTATCAGGAATGAATTGAATAGAGTTGCTGTTTTAATCAGAAAGTCAACTTCCTGTTAGTGGTCTCATCCAGTACTGTTCCCGAGCACGCAGATATCTCTTTTACATATTTAGCACAGGAGTCGCGCCGGCGACGGACTTTGTCGCAGCAAAATCAAGATGAGACGCGATGGGCGTGCGAGCTGGGGAGGTGCGACCTCGGAGGATATTTGACGTCATTTCCGTCAAACGCCGACGAAGTTTCCTGTTGCGTCGACAACTTTTCGCAGATCTGCAGCTCTTCACAACACCAAAAACACGAACGAGCTTCGGAACCACATGTTCTGTACCCGTACACTTTGATATCCTCTCAAATCTCCACTGAACATGTGTAATTTACACCGTAGTAACCTACTCGCAAGCCAGCAATGACAAGCACAAGAGTCTGGTGCACGTCGCGATTTCGCAAGGCACATGAGCTGTTCAACTCCTACTTGGTCCGGTACGCGTCTCTTCAACATCTTGTTTCTACAGTGGTCGGCCCGCGCTGCATCAATCGGGGCGGACTGCACCGATGTTCGAGTCCGTGGGGTCTCCATGGGGTGCTGATCTGCGTGGTGCCTTGCCGACATGCCTGCCGTATAAAAGTTTGCGGGGTCACCTCGACGGTCTGCAAGCCTTCAACGACTATCTTCAGGACTTCGGTTACCATTCTTGCTTCCCGGAAATGACCTCGGTCATCATGTAGTGAAAGGTATATGAACCATCCTGACTCTTGCAAGCATGGAAACCTCACCAAGCAACCTTTCTCAAACAACACAATGTTCTTCCAAGGTCTTGCCGTTTCCGGCATGTGCCTCACTCATCTCGCTTCTGCGGCCTCGACTGATGGCTTGACTGTCAATACCACCAGTGGTCAATTGCAAGGATTTGTCAACCAGACTGCCCCTGATGTCCGTCAATTCCTCGGCATACCATATGCCCAACCCCCAGTTGGACCTCTACGATTTGCTCCACCGCAAGATCCTGTCTCGAGCCAACAGCTCATCAACGCCACCACCCTTCCGAATTCCTGCATGCAGCAGTTCTCGAATGGCTCAACCATCTATACCGCTTATGAGCGTGAGTTCTTGATCAGTGGAGGACAATCGGAAGACTGTCTCTACCTTTCCATCTGGACTCCCTCGTTGAAAGGCATTGATGCAAAAGGCTCGCCTCTTCCTGTCTTCCTCTACATCCCTGGTGGCGGTTTCACAAGTGGAGGTCAGAACTCGATGTACAAGATTCCGGACAAGTGGGTTCAGAGAACGCAATCGCACATTGTGGTCATCATGAAGTAAGCTACTCCGTCGATCAGGCTCATCACAGTAACTGATGCTATACAGCTATCGAGTAAACGTTTTCGGCTTCCCAAACGCGGCGGCTTTGTCTCACCAGAATCCTGGACTGCTTGATCAACGCAAGGCGTGAGTATGCGGCTTTCCGCGCGACTCAACTTCTGCTTACCCCCAGTAGTGTAGAATGGACCTCCAAGAACATCGCTCAGTTCGGTGGTGACCCCGACAGAATCACGCTCTGGGGCCAGTCTGCTGGTGGTGCAAGTGTTGCCAACTACCCTTATGCCTTTGCGGACGATCCGATTGTTGCTAGCCTCATTGCGGACTCAGGTGCTACTGGAATCATCGCCAAGTCTGACCCAACGCACTCCAACTTCACATCTCTGGCCGGACTTGTTGGTTGCAGCAACTTGAATGCATCGGCCGAGCTTGCCTGTGTTCGCAACGTCAATGCCACGACGTTGGAAAGTGCACTGTCAAACTATGTCATTAGCAAAGAGACGCCTGCGATCTCTTTCACGCCTTCGGACGACAACATTACAGTATTTACCAACTACACAGATCGCCTTGTTCATGGTCACCTTGCTCAGCTGGTGAGTCAATCTCTCCAACGTTTCCTTGGTTGTAGCAATGTTTGAACAATATACTGACAAGACATGTACAGCCACTCATCACCGGCTCAAACACGAACGAAGGCGCAGGTTTCGTGCCCTTCACACCATCTGGCCCTGGCAACGCGACTCTTGTCAACACGACTCTCTCCATCATCGCTTGTCCAGTAGCCCGAGACGTAGCCCGTCGCGACCTGGACTCAACAAAATACCCTACCTATCGTTACCTCTACACCGGAAACTTCAGCAACATCTCTCCGGTTTCTTGGTTCGGTGCCTTCCACAGTGCAGAGCTGCCTCTGTTGTTCGGCACCCATGACGAATATGGCCCTGGCAACTCGACCAGCTTCGAATACTCTGTCAGCCAGACAATGGAGGCTTTGTGGTTAAGCTTTGCAGAGAATCCTGCTGCCGGTCCGAAGAGGTTCAACACTTCCGATGGTGGATATTTCGCTTGGCCTCAGTTCAAACAAAATGCGAGTGATCTTGTTGTGTTTCCTGAAGGAGGCAAGACTTTGCAACTGGCGACCGCTGGTCCAAGGGTGGACGACTTCTGTGGCCTTTAATGCATTGAGAGCGACTTGCAAGTCGTGCTGTCCGGATGAAAGTCCAAAGACGACCTTGTGAGTGCATCTGAGCAATTAGCATCGCTACATAGCAATTAGTCCCAACCCGAACTGGCTTCCAATCGTTGAGTGCTTTGTGAACCGATAAAGTGGTCCCTATGAAAACTTGTGTGATATGCCCGGAGATCTTGCCAGCATCGCGGTTTCGGGATCCAACGATCACAAAAACGAGAAACCGATGAGCATCATCAATAGCACAGCTTGCAGGGACGCAAGTCGTCCAATGTACACCTGTTTCAGAGAATTCTGCATTACTTTTTGTCACAAACAGCCTGTGGAAACCACCCGATCTTTGCAATACCGCGATGTCAGTACTAGTAAGGATCATTGACCAGGGTCTTGCTCACGGCGAAAAGCCTGAGTCGATTGTTTTACGAAGAGTCGGTGCACGACAATTGGCCAAACATACGGTGAACTGTATATCCACCGACCGAGTAGATCCGGAGCGGTGCGAGATGGCAAGGTTGAAGACATGAGACCTGCTGCTGATCTCAAACTCGAAGGAAGGAACACCTCTGCACATCCTTCCTTCTTGAGACCTGCCGCTTCGGCTTCATGCTGCCGAAGGCCGAGTACGAGAGTATACGAGTGATACCGCACATGTCATTCTTGTTGCGATCTCGATTTCCTGTTCCTCCAACGACTTGTCTTGCTTTATCTCACCTCATCATCACCAGCTTTCCGCTCTGCAGGACTTGTCCTTCCCGTCGTCGGTACTTTGAACAAGCGGCTTCCACACCTGGGTGCGTGTCGCGTGGCAGAATCCAACGATGTCTCTGCAATCTCGGCATGCGACGACGGTTGTTGCGGCCGAACAGGTTCGAACCGTTTCCAACGTCCTGTAGTTTTTCAGTATGCGGTTTCACCCAGCACAGTCTTGGTCAGCAACGTTCACGCTGAATCTGGACGGTCGAGTTCTCAGAATTGCATCGTGTCACCTTGGTCAGATGCTGGAAGAGGCTCGCGCACACAACCCGTGATTATATCTCATGAGTGATATAGGAAAAGACAAGTCGCAGTATGAGAAGCACTCTTCCAGGATCGGTATACAGGTAAGAAAGATGGACGCGACAGTTGAAGGCTCTCTGCTGGTCAATATGGCAGGGCTAGCCAATAGTCTTTCTCTCCCAATTCGTCCCTAATGTCTCACAACCCTTGACATCCTTCTACACTCTGATTGAAATCCACTTTTACCACCGAGTCTGTCCTCGGCTCCTTCGACGAAAGCTAGTTTCCTTTGCTTTTTTGTCGCAACTTGAGGCCATGTTGCTCACCTGAACAGAACCTTCTTCGCTTGTTCTCTGCTGGCCTCGGCTGCGAAACCGCTAAGCCACTGCTCTGACCCTCGTCTTCAGCTTCCTGACATCAGCATACCAGTCGATACCCACTTTGCTGGAGGAGGGATTTGCGAATGTGGCTTGAGCCACGTACATACCCTTGAACCAGATATTGGGGTTGGTTTGGGGTCGTACCAAACACATATACCTGGTCTAGGCACCCCGGGGCCAGACCTGTCATCCATCCTCTTCTGTTCCGTCTCTTCAATCCACAAATCATTCATCGGTCCAGATCACACTCCTCACATATAAACGGCGGATATCCTTACTGTCGTCCAAAGGCTTGGCCTGGCCTTGTTGATGTCTGATACCATCATCACTTCGCAACATGCATGTCCTGGAAGGTTTCTTGTCTCGCGACATCTCGCACCATAGCCCGGAATACTTGGCCGAAGATGTCTCGTCACGGATCCTGACTGTGACGGGTTTCTTTTGTTTCTTCTCGATCGTCATCGTGTCACTGCGACTTTATGCTCGAGCATTCATGGTGCGGCGACTCGGCTGGGAAGACCTATCAATCCTTGTTACTGCGCTTTTTGTCCTTGGTTGCTGGATCTGCTTTATCTTCGAGAAGAAGTCTGGAGTTCTCGGTCGTCACATCGCCGTGGTCTCGATACCGCAGTATGAAAACTTCTTGCTGTGGACATTCCCTCACCAACTTTTTCTCATGCTCGGAGTTTGCACATTCAAGTGTAGTGTCGCATTCTTCCTCATCCGTGTTGGTCGGAGTAGGTGGGCTCGAAGGGCTCTGTATGGCTTGATGAGTAAGTCGTGGACATGATGTGTGACTTCTAACAATTGCTGACCGACACAGTTTTCATGACAATCTGTACACTGGTGTACGCCTCTACTCTGTTTTGGTCCTGCATTCCGCTAAGGGCCAACTGGCACCTCGACGAGCAGAAGGACGCAAAGATGATCTCGACCAAAGTCTGGAGAGGCCTCGCACTTTGGAATAGCGTAATAAACATGACGACGGACGGCATCCTCGCACTCTGGCCCATCCCGATTGTCTACAGGATGAAAGTGTCTCTTGTCAAGAAGATCTTGCTGGGCGCGGCGCTGAGCCTGGGGTGGTTGGCCGTCGTCTGCGGAGGTATGAAGACGTATGCCATGTGGGTGTACTTCACTGCCGAGGACAAGTACTTTGAAGACAACTACTTCATCTGGAGTTTCTTGGAACTGAGCGTGGGCACCATTGCGGCGTCTTTCCCCTTGTTGCAACCATTTGTTCACAAGATCCGGCGTTCCACCTCTTCAAACGATGACAGTGGAAAAGTGGTCATGTTGCCGCTGGCACTGGGGCCAATCGAGCCACCACGAGCGGTGATTCGTAGGCCTGTGATCACATGGACAGGCATGGGCTTCACATCGATCGACGGCGAGGAAGAGATAAAATGGGATGGACCAGCAAGGAGCGGATCGAGTACACGGGTAGACATGGAAAGGTCGGATAGCGGGACGATATTTGTAGGATACGAGGGGTCGAAAGCATTTGTTTCTAGAGCGACTGTATAGATAAGCGGCATTGAACGAATGTAATGATCAACCAAGCAGACAGAACTAGATGGGAGAGATGCGCTGCTGTAACTCTCAATTCCGGACGGTGGGAGCCCACCCTGCTCAGTAACTCAACGCAAGACGAGTATGGAGGTGCGACAATATTCTCGAACGAATGCGACCATGAGCGTAAATGGCAAGAGCAGGTTGGAGCTCCTTCCTTCTTGTCGACGGGTCAGGCGGAATTGGCCGACTATCTGCCGCGAGGTCGGCTTTCTTTCGCGCGGCGTCCCGCGGTGCTTCCTTTCCAAGTCAACAATTCGCCAACTCACGAGATTGAGAAACGACTCAGCACTCGCCAGTAGAACATCTCGCACTGGAAATCGATACAGCATCATATCCCCTCCGAAGGCGCCGTCCGCCCGCCCGCATGCATGCCGAACCTCGGACCCGACAATCGCACACGCATCCTACAAAGCACACGCAGCGCAAGCACAATTCTCCGTCTCAGAAGCTATTCGCCAGTACTCGTACCCTGAACGCTATCCGAAGGCTCAAAACTTGGGTCATTGCTCTGCCTCCACAAGCGCAATCAAGGCACAAAGCTTTCGGTTCTCACATGTCGCCCTGTCGCATCACAAAAGAGGAGGAAACAAGAAAGAGACGGAATTGAACACATACCAAAGTCCTGAGTCTAGGGTGGAGTCTTGAGCAACTGTGTGCGCCCACAACCAGATGCGTCTTCAACAGACGGATCGTCGGACCTGGGCCCAGCATGAGCGCACAAGCAAGCAACAAGAGACACTAGCAGATGGGCGAAGAACCACTGTCGCCGACAGCAATGTCAGTCCGAGGTCGATCCTCGGAGCATGAAGTTCTTGCGCGTCAGGCTTCCACCGTAGACAAGCTTCTTGTTCAGACCCAAGGTTCAGGCGCTCTGACCAAACCGGGTTGACTTCTGAAGAGGCGCTGCCGTACAGATCAAGGTAGGCCAAAGCATTGTGAGCAAGTCCGCAGCTGCGACACAATCAGCGAATAGACTGTTTATCTGTGCTTGTCTCTCGTCGCCATGCTGAACCTTTCTTCTCGCCGCCAGTCATGGTAGGTCAAAGACATCTCGCTTAAGCAATCTATTCCATACGCTATACAGCATCCTTGTTCTTGTGTCATTGTGCAGAAAATGGTCGATCTTCACCCGCAATCGCACAGCCTCAGTCGTCTTCTCTTCTAATTCATGTAGGTCCTGCCGGCGCTCGTTCGTCCTGCGTCCCTCGCCCTTGGCCATAGCCGCCTTACAGCCTCGAAACTGCCATTGCTTCGCGAGCAACCATGACGGCCTTCAATCTCTTCCGTCTCTGTACAACACTCCTCTCGCTGCTTCTTGTCGATGCACACCGCCATGAGAAGCAGCTCGTCGGTGCCACGGTCAACACCACCAGCGGTCTCATCGTTGGCCATGCTTCCTACAACCGATCCCAAGTCTCCGAATACCTTGGCATACCTTATGCCCAGCCACCCTTGGGCTCGCTTCGTTTCGCCGCACCCAAGAAGTTCAAGTCTACACAACTCCTCAACGCGTCCGCCTCCTCTCCAGATTGTCCGGCAAACATTGGTCCACCGTCAACTTATCCTGGCTTGACCACTACTGGCCGTCGGGTGTACATGAACTTCGTCGATCAAGTCAACAACTCTCAGAGCGAAGATTGCTTGACCCTCAACATCTGGACCAAAGCTTCCAGCAACTCGAGCTCGAAGCCAGTACTGCTGTGGATTCATGGTGGCAGGTACACTATTCCTGGTTCAAACAGTCTGTTCTATCGAGGCGAATATCTTGCCGATCAGGAAGATGTCATCATTGTCACCATCAACCAGCGCGTCAACATCTTCGGCTATCCAGGAGCGCCCGGTGAGACTCAAAACGTCGGTCTCCTCGACCACCGCATGGCCATCTAGTGGGTTCGCGACAACATCAAGGGCTTCGGAGGCGATCCGCACCGCATCACCATCTTCGGCCAGAGCGCCGGTGGTTCTGCTGTCGACTTCTACTCCTATGCATGGAAGAAGGATCCCATTGTCGCTGGACTGGTTTCGCAATCTGGAACGGCCCTCAGCTTCGCTCTCAACACGCCCGACATGTCTGCCAAGTATTGGTATACGGCCGCATCTTTTCTCGGTTGCGGCAGCTCTGGCGATGTGATGTCTTGTATGCGCAGCAGAAACACCTCCGAGATCCTGAAAGCTATTGCAAAAGTGCCGTAAGAGCCAACAACAACCCTGTACCAACCAGTCTTCCATCCCACTGTCGACAATAACACTGTCTTTCCAGACTACGCTTCCCTCTCTGCCAAGGGAGAGTTTGCAAACATACCATACCTTGCCGGCAACACCGACTATGAAGCAGGCTTCTACAAGCTCGCTGCTTGGGCGACGAACAGAACATTGACATCTGCGCAATGGGTAGACTTCATTCTTGCTGGCTTCACCTGCCCAACGGGTACAGAAACTGCAAATCGAGCAAAGTACGGTGTCCCTTCCTGGCGCTACCGTAATTTCGGAGAGTGGGACAATCTGCGATTGTATCCTGATAGCAGAGCTTATCATGGTACGGACATCACTATGATCTTCGGTACTGCTGAGGATGTCAGCGGCGTGCCCAACTCACCTGCTGAAAACGAAGTGTCACGGTACATGATGAGAGCTTGGGCTGCATTTGCTCGTGATCCTTCGCAAGGACTGAGTGAAATTGGCTGGCCAGAGTATAGCTCTGACAAGCCGACTCTGGCGAGACTTGCATACAACAATCAGACTGCACCCTCCTTCGTTGACCCGTCGATGTATGATGCGGAATGTCTTGCGATGAATGATCCAAGTCTTGCTAAAGGTGCCTTTTGATTGCATGCATAGCCCGCGGCACGATTCGAAGAGGCAGCTTGGCAAGTGTCTGATTCACTGATACGTCGGTGAGATGCGAACAGACGACAAAATAACAAGAGAGTGTCAGAAAGGTCAATCAACATGAGTTCATTCGTAAGATACATTATGACATTTCCTAACATGATCATTCGAAAGCATCAAGCTCCGCCAATTTAACCTTGCATCTCAATACCACCAGTGCCGTGGATGCACTCGCCAGTGAAGTACGATCCAAGGGGCGAGGCCAACTGGATGTAGGCAGTGGCAATCTCGATGGGCATACCGGTTCTGTTCATGGGAGCCATGCCCACGCCGACGTTCTTCATGCCTTCAGCGGGCACGTTGGCAGTGGCGGGTTGGAGAGGAGTCCAGCTTGAGAACAATGTCAGCGGCTTGGACTGGAAGGAGGGGAGTGAGGAGAGGTGATGGGAACTTACATAATTCCGGGTGCGACTGCGTTGACTCTGATACCTCTTGGAGCTTGCTGCTTTGCGAGTGCACGAGTGAAGGTGACGATGGCACCCTTGGTCGAGCTGTAGTCGATCTTGGAGGCGTCGCCCATGTATGCGAGAACGGAGGCGGAGTTGACAATGTTGTCGCCACGCTTCATGTGCTGGAGAGCGTACTTGCTCAAGGCCATCATCTATGAAAGAGGAACGAACGTCAGCGTTTGTCTCCTTATCTTCATCTGCACATCAATTGCATACCTGGATGATGTTGGTCTGGAAGGTCTTGGTGACGACTGAAATGTCAATCTCTCTGTGGTCCTCGCATGACTCCTGCATGGAAGCGTTGTTGACGAGGACGTTGAGCTTGCCGAACACCTTGATGTGCTCGTCGATGGCGGCCTTGCAGTTCGACTCCTCCTTGAGATCGTACTGCATGCCGTGACCCTTGCGTCCAGCCTTCTCAATCTGCTTGATGGTGTATTGAGCATCCTCTTCTTCCTCGGGCAGGTAAAGAATGGACACGTCTGCGCCTTCTCTTGCCATGAGGATGGCGACGGAGCGGCCGATACCGCTGTCACCGCCGGTGATCAGGACGGCCTTGTCTTGCAAGAGACCTCTGCCTTCGTACTCCTTGAGGTAAGGCTTGCCGTTATCGTCCCAGTACTCGAGTTGTGTCCAGTTGGCCTGCTCTTTCATGTCTTTGTCAAGACCGGGACCACCTTGCTGGTCTTGTGCGGAGATTTGCCATGTGTAGGCGGTAACGGGACCCTCTTGTTGCGACATTGTAATTGATTGGTGTGTGGTTCGAAGATTTCGAAGACGTGTATAGGAGGAAGAGGATGAGCAGATGGGGCGATAAAAGCACACAAGTAGGTGCAGAGTGGATGCCAAAATTGGCAATACGTCAATAATAATCTGACAACAATCTGACATCACTGCTGGGGCTCAAGCTGTCATTGCGGGGCAGAAAGGAAACTTTTCCCGGCGGCTCCGGCCAACGTTCTTGTTCGCAACATACCACGTACTCGATTGGCACACACACTCATGCGCTCCCCTATCTTCGATGAGATCCGTGATCAATTGATCAGCGATCACAATCCTGCCCGTGATGGACGCGAAATGGATTACGAGCGATGCGCTGCCCTGCACAATGCGATCGTGAAATACGGCTGGACCGCAAGCGGACGATTGCTAGAAGACTTGCCGACAACCACTTGCTGGCAAGCAGCAGAAGAAGGATGGGAGCAGAACGCTGACCGAATTCACCCATCAATGATCGAGTTTCTCAAACGAGCATACGACACTCAACTTCCTGAGACAGAACCACTCTACAACTTTTGCTCAAGAGAATACAAGTTCTTCTACTTCTTGGATGGCTTGATCGGACCCCGTGGTTACAAAGCTTACAATTTCGAGCACATCGAGGGATTTTCTGGTCAATACATGACACTCTACACACCAAATGATCGTCTGGGCTCTCATGCGTCCGGTTTGATGTGTGCATCATCAGGTTATTCATGAATCGCGACTTGGGACTGACCGCCTCCGATAGTTACAACCAAGAAACGCATGAGTGCATCATCAATTTCACGAACACTCGCTTTGATCCGATCAACAGAGTCCTCCCATGGCAAAGGCTTGAGACGGTTCTGAGTGTATACATTGACATGATCGAGTGTGAGAAAGTCGTCTGCATACACAATGATGTCGAGAATCCTGGCGATTCAAGAATTGTCCATGGTCCGGGTGATGATGAAGTGCAGTGGCTGTCAACCGATGTTCGACCAGACGCGATGTTTGCAGATCCTGCGACTGGAGTCAAGAGGGACGATGGTGCTATGTTCGGGCCTTGGATTGTGCAGCCTTTCACTAAGGACATGCTGGACAAATGTCTACAGACCTGGGAGGCTTTGGTTGATGCCATTGAGAAGAAAATGCCAGAAACTCTGCGGTGCGACAAAGAATTCGAGTATGGTCTGGTAGACGAAGATATGCTCAGGACAGCTGGGATCACTGAGGAGTTCTTTCGACAACTTCTGCTTCGAGCACGAAAACCAAAATTTGCATTCATTGCGCCAGGACTGCGGATGCCGAATTCGGAGGAATTCATGGCGCAGCCGTTCAGAGATGCAAGCGCAGCACAATCAGATCCAGAGGTTCAGAGTAAGATGCCGATTCTTTGTTTAGAGGCAACGACGTCTGTGCAGCGTCTCAGTACTTTCCTTATCCATACAGTAAAGCCGCGACAATACCCACAGGAGTGTACCTGGAAGGCTGGACGCGGGATGACTTGGTGCCATTCACTGATGCTACGCGCCTATTGCTGCCATTCACGATCGGTGGCAACGATACGTGGGCGCAGACAAGCAGTGGCATCGCGATTGAAGATGGGCATGATGAACTCTTCCAAATTGGCCACAATCCATTCGTCCCAGATCACGGGGTGTCGCTGCTTGCGATACTGCAGAACTTTTGCGCTCATGTTGAGACCGGAGATTGGACAATCGATGAGGAAGGCGTCAGCGATCCGATTGAGAAGTTCCGTGAGGCAGAAATAGAGGAGCATTTCGAGAAGTACATTGTGCCCATAGGACCTGGCGAGTTCTGGTGATGCGCGAAATCATTCTGTCGAGTACTTCATTCTTGATAACCATTGATCTAATTGTATTCCTGGATGCTACTGCTTCGACATCCTCAAATCAGCTTCCACGTTCTGCATTGTTGTAGTCCGCGATACTGCTATGGTACAGAGGATGCCCTGGTCTTCCATTCTGGACTTCAATCATTCTTGAACACCGTCCCAATCCCTGTCCACAGTCATGTATGCGACTACGTCTTTGTCCCTTCGCTCACCACTAGGCCTCTTCCATGTGCTGTGTCTCGATAGTCTTGACTTCGTCCCCCTTTGCAATTTCTCTGGCCAATTCGTTGACATAAGAGCTTGGGGCCCACTTGCTGCCCGGGACGAACGTGGGACTGTCGCGGAAAAGTTCGTCCATATCCTCAAGGTTGAGGCCCTTGGTCTCAGGCTGGAAGCACCAGAAGAAGATGGCATTTGTCAGGTTGCAGACAATGAACACGAGATAGAATTTCTGGATGTACGGGGTCAGCAAAGGAGAGCAGGTGAAGTGAATTTGCTTGAGCACTCACCCAGCCAATTGAAGAGATGGCGATAGGAGTCACTTGGCCGATCATCGTGTTGAAAGCAAACGAGGTCATTGCACCCCAAGACACGCCCTTCAGGCGCATCGCTGTACCAAAAAGCTCTGCTGGGATGGCCCAGCTCAAGGGTCCGCTCGTAAGGAAAAAGACTGCAGGAAGTATGCTGTCAGCAAAAGGCTATGAGCGCCAGATACTGAACGCCAGGCATGACGATTCGACTGACCAAAATTGAAGAGCCATGTCATGACGACGAAAGCCCAATGAGCGCTTGTGCTGTTCGATGTCGTTGGGAAGACCTTGATGATAGCTGCATTGATGACGAAGGTCACGCAGAGAAAGATGTGTCCAAATATCTGTAGGGGTCGACGACCGACTCCGTCAATTGTGAGGATACAAACAGTCGTCCCGGCAAAAGCGATGATCGCATTCACAGCTTGAAAGAGCAAAGATCTGCTTGTCGGAATACCAATCTGTGCGAATATCTGAGGCGAGAAATACTGGATTGCGCTGACGCCTGTCATTTGACAACTTGCTTGTATCGCCATGACAAGGATAGTGCGGCGGAGATTAGGCCATCCACGGAAGAGATCAAAGTATCCAATGCTCTTTTGCGACCTTTCTTCGACTATCTGTGACTGGATCAGCTCGAACTCGGCTAAGACGTACGAGTCGCTTGTATCGCCATGTGCATGCAACTGCGCAAGAACTTGGAGTCCTTCGTCAGCCCGATCGTGTGCACAGAGCCATCTGTATCGAGATCAGCAAGACATGGACCCCTGAATAGAAGATATCACCCACCTGGGAGACTCCGGAAAGAACATGATCAAGCCACCCAGGAAAATGGCTGGAACCAATTGACAACCCAGAGGGATGCGCCATTCTCTGCTGTTTCCAGTGTGTGTCCAGGTCATGTAGCAGCCGTAACCGATCCACGTTGCGAAAATCTGACCAAGGGCATTGAAGAGTTGTTGCAAGCTTGTGATCTTGCCTCGGATCTTGCGATGCGCCAATTCGGCTTGATAGATGGGGATGATCATGGTCAAGAAGCCTACGCCGATGCCAGCGATGAGGCGGCCGACATAGAGCATAGCAATGATTACTCCAGCAGTTTGAATGGTACCACCGACAACGAAGATGCAACATGCGAGCAAGATCGTACGCCTTCGGCCTAGAGGATCGGTGTATGATGCAAGGAATGCACCACAGAAACAACCTGCTGTGAAGAGGGCGACAACAGTTCCCGAACGCGAGTCTGCATTTTCTTGAAGGAAGCTGGCTTTGAAGGAGTCTGAAGCTACAACTTCTGCAATCACTCCCCTCGACAGATGTAAGCATAAACCTGCAGTGTAAGAAGGTCTTGACTCACAGATCATAACCAAAGAGAAACGACCCGATGGCTGCGAAACAGCCCACCAAGAATTGATAGATGCTTGATCTCATTGTGCTTGAAATCACAAAGAGGATTGGTACACGTCGTAGCAGATGTGTATGTCGTATACATACGTAGTCACACTATTGCCTATTCTCTTGATCGACTTACTGCCCTTCTGCGGGGTATACATTCACCTGAACTTTCCCCGCCGGTCGCAAGATGAGCATACCGTTATTTCCGGATCTGCATGAGGATCTGCTGTGTCGAGCAAGAGGATATCTCGCAGTTCTCTCCGCAAAGCTTGAAAAAGCTTGTTGTTGAAGGCTAACACGAAGACCGAAGTCCGTATCCTCCAAATGACAGGACACGCTCAGAAATATGCGACACTAGTCTTCCGCGCGTTCGATGCAGGACCGACAATCATGCAGTCATCGGTCGGGTGAAGAGGTCAGATGTGTCCGTACTCAACTCTTGGGTCAGAGAGCAAAGAGCAAAGTGGCTACCAAGCAGAATCTGATGCTACCCCCAATTCGTCAAGGAGGGTAAAGCTCCGACACATATTTGCTAGATGTGCTCGTCATGGCTTATGGAACCAAAAAGCACGAGGTGCGATGTTTATCCGACTGGAACAGTGGGTGGTCTTCGTTAGTTGTCGAATCCAGGGAGCTGGCGTATCCAGAGAACCCGACTCCCGTAAAGCCCTGGGTAAATCGATGTCTATTGCAGCTGGCTACAGCGCCGTGTCACGGTGGGTACGATGTACGAAGAACATTTCTGGGTTCCAAGTGACTTGTTTGTTTAGTCGCCGCTTACCAGGAGGTGGGTACCGGTCCCTCAAACTCACTCTTGTGTTTAGGACGCTTCACAAGCAAGGCTCTCATGATGATTTACTACAACGGAGTCGTGAGATTGTGTCGCGACTATAACAGCGGGTCCTGAGAAATCATGAGGTGTAGAAGCACCTTCACGGTAGCCATATCAGGAGCTAGGTCGAGCGCGGCTAGTTTGTTTTCCTTCTGCATCGCTGTTCTGATCCGACTGCAAACCACTCTAGCGATCGCGGTGTTCTGCTCTTGCTTTGTATTGACTCGCACCTCTTTGTAGCCCGCCAGTCTCGATAGTCGGGCCACAAGCTGTCGCATACTCCGGCGGATGCCCGAAGGACGGGAATGGAACGATCGTGCTTGCGACGGTGAGTATCGCATTTCTCAGCAGAGGAGATCGGAGGAAGTCAGGTCCAGAGCAGAGGCATGCGAGTGAGCGGGCAGAGCATGAAAGGGAGACTGGGAGAGAATCCTAGACGGACTTTGAGGGTTCACGTTGCGGATGCAAAGCCAGCTCGGAGGCTCAGGGGAACGGATTGGTACGAAGGAGAGGTCCTGCAAGGAATCGCATTGGCGAAACTGCGAGAATGTCGGATACTTGAAGCCATTGCGTGCGTACGAATCGATCTGCCAGTGTTGTATGTAGAAGAATAAGAATAACTCGAGGCAGGCGGCCAGACTCGGGGATGTTGTCGCGGGCGTGTCTGTGACGCCATTCGCTCGGCGGGTTGAAGTCGGCCGGCGTTGACGCGACTCCGAAGCGCTGCGACGCTCAAGTTCGCAACTCTCGACCTAACACCACCCAACTCGATCGCGCACCTCGCCGGAGCCCGCAACTTTGTACAGCACGACTCGAAGTCGAAGAAAGAGCAGGATTATGGACAATTGGCCAGGACCAGACACTTCAGCCGCCTGCGCGTGCTCTGCCGGATCGCGATCCCATCCACGTTAGACTCAGGACGAGGCTTCATAATACAACGCGACTCGACACCACCCAATGCTCGCCAGTCAGACCACTACCTGGGGGCGAATCTTTTGCAGGAGCCCTCTTGGAGTTTGCGCCAACCTACCATGCGACGACGGTCCTGGCTCTTGCGTCCTGCACTCGATCCTCTGGCCGCGAATGCAGAGAACCGTCTCTGTTGCCTGACCCGTCAGTCGCTTCGACGCTACACCCCTGGCGCGATTGCTGAGGCGCTCGGCAGCGCTCGACCTCTTTGCCGCCTCGAGGCTTACACCACTGTCCCGATGATCTCCTCCCACACCCTCGTCGTCAAAGTCGAAGACCACCGAACCGAAATGCGCGAGCTCTACAGAACCTTCCGAGGGCTCCGCACTAGCAGCCCATGTACCCGAGGATCGAAGGGGATCGTCGCTGCCGACAGTGTTTATTTCCCCTCCTTAGAACATGCTTGCAGAAACGGTTTAACCAGTTTAAGATGGCGACGATAATAGGGTTCTCCTCCGTGTTCGCTCTTCCCATCTTATATAATGCTCTAATTTATTCTTTCTCTATAGTGTACCCCCTACCTAATATAATCTAGAGAATCTTAGTGAAATGGAACCCAAAAGTAGCTAGCGTCGTCCGAATTAGGCAAGTCTAAGGGTAAGATAGAGCAGTACAGATCTCGACTAAACGCTATATATAATTACTATCTATATAAAACCCCCGTAATCGCGCATCGCGACGCCCGATTACGGCCTTCTAATTCGTCCGACGCTCTAGCGTACGGTCCGCCTCCGTTTCTTACGTAGTACGTCTAATTACGGCCGTTACCTATAATTGCGACGGTCG